CCCAGCTGGAGCGGCGCCGGCCGGCCAGCCAGCGCAGCCGCGCCGGCTCGCACGCCTCGCTCGGCTCGCGGCTGTCGCGCGGCGCGGCGCTCGGCACGGCCGGATTCTCGCGCCGCGGAGACGCCGCCACCTACGGCAAGGAGCCGCCCATGCTGAACGACAAGCTGTTCCCCAAGGACCAGGCGGCCGACACCAAGCACCCGCACCTGCAGGTGCGCGACCTGACCTGCGAGCGGCCCGAGCGCGGCGGCTGGCGGCGGCTCGTCGAGGGCGTGACGTTCGAGGCGCGCGGAGGCGACCTGGTCGGCATCATGACCACGGCCGGTGAGTGGGCAGGATGGATCAGCAAGCCAGAAGCGGGTCAGCAGAAAAAAGTGAATGCATGGGTGTCCTCGTGCTGGTTTATCATAAATTGTCTAGGTTGGATGAAAACGATAAACTGGTCCCGTGCAGTCCGAAGGCTACACTCAAAACGCTTGTTCTGATAGCACAGAGCCTCACCCCACCGCACCTATTCCACTCAATATGATATCAATATCTGACACCTCTCATCTCCTCTCTCCCCACAGAGCGGGAGGGGACGGCGCTGCTGGACGCGCTGGCCGACTGCGGCACCCGGTGGTCCCTGCGTGTCACCGGAGACCTGCTGGTCAACGGCTGCCAGGTGGACCCGGGCCGGCTGGCGCGGCGCGTCGCCTATGTCCAGGAGAACTGCGACTTCAGCCCCAACATGTCCGTCCGACAGACCATGCTGTTCCACGCCTTCCTGCAGGAGCCGGGCGATGTAGCGCGCGGCTTCAACGTCAAACAAAAGGTATACATACAGTAGCTACTTATAGCCGGGGATCGAGACTGACGTTTATGGAACGGGGGAGATGCAGTGGTCGGTCACCTTTCTGGGAATTATGAGGGACAAAGTGCGACTGAGAGGCAGTTCAACACGTCCGTCAAGTGAAATAGAGCATGGTTACCTTCTGTTGCGCTTTGACCTACTTTTGAGGACATTTTATGTATTCGCTGATATTTTGCCACTTCTTGCGATCTAATTAATTGTGAAACATAGCCAACGTAGACATCTTTCACGAGTCCTCCACCACCTTTCTGAAACACAGCCGCTGACGCCTCGTGCCGCCTCTCCCCGGCAGATAAACGCCCTGATCGAGGATCTCGGTCTGGGTCAGGTAAAGCACACCTCGGTCCGCGACCTCACAGTCTCAGAGCGGCGCCGACTGAACGTCGCCTGTCATCTCAGTCTGGACACAGACCTCGTCCTCCTCGACCAGCCCACGCGCGAGATGGACATCTTTGACACATTCTTCCTGGTCGAGTACCTGCGCCAGTGGGCCGCCCGCGGCCGGATCGTGATGCTGACACTGCAGCCGCCCACCTACGAGATCTTCACCATGCTGTCCAAGGTGATGCTCATCTCTGACCGGAAGGTCATCTACAGCGGCAAGCGGCGCGAGATGCTGCCCTACTTCGCCTTCATCGACTACCCGTGCCCGGCCTACAAGAATCCGTCCGACTACTACCGTGAGTGGGCGATTCGTGACGGAGACGAGGCTGGCGGGTGATCAGGGGAACTGGTGGTATACCGGTATAATGTGCAGCAGAGCAGAGCACCGGGGTGGCGCTATCGAGCGGAAAGAAAGGCGAACGGGTTAAGGCAGGCATAGTCACGAGCATGCAAATTCATGACTTAATTCCGGGGTCAGGCGCGTACAGGCGTGACGCTTGAGACCGCGAGTAGTTACACTGAGAAACGCTAGACGCTCGCTCGTGCGTGCCACCGAAGTGAAAACTCACGGTTCACGTGAACGTGCCGTTAAACAGGAGTCGTGAACTGACTCATCGCTCAGACTGGGGGCAGCCGGAGACGGTGTGTGACTATCGTTTTCACACTACGACCGACCGGCTTTTGTCGTTCTGACCACCTTCATGACCAGTACTAACCCCTTCCCTGAAATGGAGCTTCTGCTCTTCTCTGGGCCTGGACGTGGAATGAGCTGCCCTGCTACCCCTGACGGTACAGTTCAGTTGACCATTACGTCTTGCGCTGACCTCGTCCGTCCCCCACACATACACTTATTACACATACTCATCCAGTCCCATATGTGTTCCCTCCACATCTGGCTTGAATGGCTTCATCCTCCCCCACTGTCCCTTTCCCCCGTAGTTGATTTCCCCTTCTGACCCGTCACCAGCCCGCCGTTGACCTTGTTGACCCATCACCTCCCGCAGTTGACCTGGTGACCCTGGACGACCTGTCGCCGGAGGCCACCCTGGAGTCGTCCCAGCGTGTGACGGAGCTCGCGCAGACCTTCCAGCGGCGCCAGGAGCCACTGGCCGACCCCGGGCCGCCCGGCCTGCTGCCGCCAAAGATCCGGAGAGCAAACTGCTGCATACAGATACTGGCGCTCTGGATGTGAGTGCGGGAGAAAGCAGGCGGAGGTAGAGGCAGTAACCAGGGAGTGTGGTGATGCGCCGTGGCAGGGTCTTACGGGACGGAGTCCGCTTTGTGGATGCTTCTCTATTTATGGACCACGACGTCACTAAATGAACTGGTTCAATGTCAGTCCTTCTCTTTTTCGTTTTTTTTTAAACATTTATTCAAGAAAAGCATCCTACACTCAAGAAACTAGTACTTCGCCATATTGGTCGGCCTTGCTCCACTCAAGGCAGTCCTTCTCTTCAATGCGGTGACTGATGAGGACCACTGGTAGCAAAGGACAGTGAGCGGGTGTGACAATGACCGGAATTACCCGTATAGACGGGACTAACCTCTGTATGCCTCCTCTGCAGCCGGGCGATGGTGTACACGTTCCCGTACAATCTCATTCGATGGGCGTCATCGATGACGCTCGCCTGCCTCATGTCCGTCATCGTGGGCACCGTCTTCTACGACATCAGGGGCGACAACAAGGACCAGGTCAGTGACATAACTACACCAGGGGAGCATAGCAAGGACCAGGTCAGTGACATCATGCTCTTCAGCTCATAGCTTCGATGATGAAATCAGTCGTCAAAAGGGGATGTTGAGATGATTATTCAGCAGTAGCGATACAACAGTAACGCCACACAATTTATGAAGGTAAATCCTCAGAACTAGTAACATCCATGGCGCTGGATTTAAAGCGCCGATCTCTGACCCGACTCGACTGACCGTTCTCAGGAGAACGTGCCGGACCGTCTGGGTTTCCACTACACGGTGATGGCGCTGGGGCTGTGGCCGCTGCTGCTGCTCAGTGTCAGCGAGGTCTGGAAGGAGAAGGACGCCGTCAGCCGGGACGTGGCCGACCGGCTCTACTCGCGGCTCAGCCTCGTCGTCAGCAAGGTGAGACAGAGGACGGCGCGCTCACTGCCGGTAGAGGGGGACTACTGTGACTCATCAGGGACTCCTATTTTGATTAATAGGAAAATAAGCACCGTACTGAATTCGGCTCACATTGTCTCCGGTTTTCTGCGAATGCCTGTCCTGTAAATTCATCGATCGATATGCTGACATTCCTCCACCCATTTTTTCAGTTGTTCTACAGTTTTCCCGGCTCGGTGCTGCAGTGCCTGCTGCTCATCGTACCCGCCTACAAAATGGCCGGCACACACCCAGAGGAGAGCGACATGACATTCTACCTCTACATGGGTATGTTGAACGGGACCAACTGTCTAAATTTCACGATTATTTGACACAAACTGGATGAGACAGCATGGCGGCTGAGCTTGTGTTCATCATGAATTACTACGTCTACAGTCACGACAATTACTACATTGTTTGACAGAGCGGGGCTGTTAGATGATAATATCCGCTCCTAACGCCCCATGCCATGGGCCCGTCACAATACAACCCCCGTGACTTTCGAACATACATATGAGGCCCATTCCGATGCCAGGGTGCAAGTCCCGCCCCCTAACTGACATCCCCCTCTTCCCCTTCCGCAGGGTACATGCTGGCGTACCTGCTGAGTCTGCGGCTGCTGGCAGTGGCGGCCGCCTACCTGACCTCGTCCCGGCACCTGTCGGCCGGCTGGCTGGCCGCCGCGCTCGTGCCGCTGCTGCTGGTGGCCGGCTGGTCGGCCCACCCGCAGGACCTCTCGCCGTGGACCCGCTGGCTGCGCTGGGTGTCCGTGCCCGGCTGGGTGTTCGGCCGGCTCGTCTGGGACGAGCTGGACGGCGTGCGCGGCCTGCGCTGCGACCGCAACCCCATCCTGCCGCAGAGCAATACCATCATCGTGCAGGTGGACTGTGGCGTGCAGACGGGCGCGCAGGCGCTACGCTTCCTGGGCGTGGCGCCGGCCGAGCGGCTGCCGCTGGCGCCGCTGCTAGCCGCCGCCGGCACGGCGCTGGTCGCCGCCCTGCTGGCCACCGCCGCCGCCCTCTGCTGCCGGCAGAGGCAGCGCAAGTCACGCGGAAAGAACATCAAACACTCGTAGGGAGGGAGGGGTGAGCAGGACGCCAAATGGACAGTGTGGTGGGGAACCAGGCCAACGTCAGACATCGAATGCGTTCGGGGCGCACAGATAGGCCCCGTTTTTACCGCATTTATAACGGAGCAGCCAAAGTTCGGGCCGGCGCGGTGTGAATAGTGTTGTATTAACGCCTCGGTTGGGCTCCACGCGACGTGGGGCGATTTATTATGTTTGACGAGGGTGCATGACTGATCGCTCTGGGAGCAACATGGTGTTTTCTATAGCCTCGAGCGACCAGTGTAGGCGTAGAGATCTTGTCAACTTTTTATCAAGTGAAAAGACAGGTCAATTGTTCCCTAAATTATTCGAATTATAACTGACAACTGATGTAGTTTACTGACTTATTTAGCTTGATAAGGTGCGATGAAAATGCCAACCAAATGTCTATGTGGAAGTGCTGGATGATTAATGAATGTCCGTTCTGACTGCCGAATATTGCGCGTGTTTGCGGAAACATCTCGACATTGCGAGTGTTCACGTACGTGGAAGTGTGTTGTTTCCCTGCGTATAATGCTCGGTCTCAGCCGAACAGCCCAGTTCGCAGTGAATCATAGTGTGTATTCGCCTCAACAGGCCGGGCCAGAATATACCACCATGCCAACCAGAGACCATTTCGAGCGGTGTCGGAGCTGCCCGACTAGGCGCGTCGGTAGGCGCCCGACACAAATCATTAGTGGGTGAAAATTCGCACAGGTAGTCGCGACAGGAGAGTAATGCAAGAATAATTAGGTGGTACGAGTGGCGCGTCACACAGGCGGGCGCCACAGCACGGAACAGCCCCGTCCACCGGCCGCAGACGGCGTCAATGGAACCATGGATGATGACTGATAAAACACAACATGCAAATAAGCCAATCGCACTCAAGCAGGCACAAAAGGGCAACAGTAGAAACGAAGGCATTATGCACAAAAACTGGCGCAATTTCAAGAGCGCATCGTAGGTCGATTATCAGCTAGCTACTGGCAGCACACTTTATCATCAAACTACACTCGGTACACGTGTCGACGGTGCCAGTATTCGCTCGTTCCAGACTTGTGAGCACCCGCTGACGGCCGATGACCGGCGCGTCACCTCAGTAGTTTCCTATGGGCAGACTCTCCCGCACACCCCACAGTACTGAGGGGCGTCACGGGCGGGTGGGTGCTGGCGACCGCGATACGCGGCCCGATCATCACATTTCGTCACGCGGCGTCACGTCACGTTAGCGCGGATCACAGTAGCGGCGCCCGAGTCGCCCCGGTCGGCGTCCCGGCGGTGGATGCTGGGGCCGGACCGCAGTGCCCAGCGGAGGCTCCCAAAACCTGCCTCCCAGCCCCAACCGTATTCTCACCGCCGCCGCGGCGGCCGGCCGCTCGGCCGTCTGACGGCAGACCGATTCACCGGCCGCCTAATGCCCTCAGCGCGGGCCGCCGCCGGCTTTCCTAGTTGCTCACGGCGAGCCGAGCCCGCTGTCTCACTGCGGGATCACTCTGCCGTCCCACAGCAAGCACACTGGACGGCGGTACGCCACTGCACGCCGGACCGAGTCGTACCGTACCAGACCGGCCGGCCGAGCTTCTCAAACAGTTCAGAGCAGCCCCGGCCGACCCCTACCGCCGCAGCACCGGCTTGATGTTCCGTGATATCTTCTCCTCCTCGGCGAGCTGCGAGCGGTACACTTCCACCTTCCGCTTGAACTTGGCGAGCACGTCCATCTTCTCGTCCAGCAGGTCCTCCAGCTGCTGAACGTAGGCTGTCGAGGAACAGACGGGCGGCGTCAGCAAACGGATCGATCACTGAACACGGCGGGCAGTGGGAACACAGATCGAAATGAACGAATTACTCCTACGAAATCAAAAGACAAAAGACGCAATATCCGTGATAAAGAACGCCAAAATGTCCAAAGTCAGCACATGGACGACTGTAATGTCATCAACATTGTCAACTGGATATCCCACAGCCTAGTAAGCAAATACTGCGGCTTTTCAATACTTCAACTAGCAACAGCTCGTCCACCCACCGTCGACGTCGTAGTCGACCTCGTTGGTCATGTTGAGGAGGGACATATCGATCTGCTGCCAGCGGGGGGAGAGCTCGATGGCCGCCTTGTGCATGTCCAGCACCTCCTCCTCCATGTCCTGCAGGTGGGAGACGGCCTCGTGGAAGTTGTACAGGTCCGCAGACAGCTCGCCCTCCTGTGGAGCGGTAGGTTGTCAGTGACGGGCGGGGTGGGTGGTCTACAGGGGGCAGCGGTGTTGGCGAGCGAAGAAAGACTCCACGCACCAGACAAGCTGCGACATACCGGATCGTGATTCGTGATTGACTGATACTGCAATTAGAACAGTTGCGGAAATTCGTCTTTGCAACACAATCACTGTGAAATTGAGGGATAAACGATACATGAAGTTATCTTTCAGCCAGCGCTCGTTGAACGTTCGGCGGAAAAAAAAGCGCAAAAGTAAAGGAGACCCCATTCGGGCTGCTTACAAACGTCACGGAGTCGGTCTTCTCGCGGGAGTGGAGTCGCTCCACCAGGCCGGAGGTGGATATCTGAGGGAGAGGATGGAGGGGCCGGGCAGGACAGGTGTCAGAGGATGGCCAGGAGCTGAGAGATAACAGGGAAAGGGCAAGGATATTTTAATGAAGGATTCATGCACAAGATTTACAACAGGAAGCTCAAATAATTACATACACTGGAAGACATTTAGGTGATACCCCGGGCCTCACTCACGACTTTCCGTTCACCTTCAACTAGCGACCTCCCACTTTCCTCCCTTCCATCTACTCACATTCAGCGACCGCAGCTGAGCCAGGTCGTCGTCGGGCGACTCGACCCTGCGCGCCGGCTCAGCGGGCTCCGGACGCCGGCCTCCACCGCCGCCGCCGCCTCCGTTCGAGATGGTGCTCTCCATTTTCATCTCGGTTGGGTCCTGGGCGCCCAGCTCCTTCACGCGGTCGGCGTACCGCAGTGTGTTGAGACTGTGCTCACACGAGCTCAGACCCGGACTGATCATGGCGATCTGAGGGCACGAAAAACAGACGGGCGGGATGAAACGAACCGAAATGGGTGGTAGACGTGTGCGTTTAGCGTTCGTTTCACAGGCTACCATTGGTATAGTAAGCCACGAAAAGAACTGAATGAAAAGTGTAGCTGCAAAATATCGTCTCATCTCAAAACGCACTGTCTTTCAGAGCATAACAGAGAGCGGTACGGAAATCTCTGATCGCCTGTCACATCCACACGAGTAACTACTTCTGAATCCCTCGTGCCCACCGACAATAGCAGCCCATCCCACCCGTTCCCTACTCACCATGCACGTTTTGGACTTTTCTCCGATGAACGAGTCGCGGAGCACCTGGGTCAGTTTGGACGCCCGGAACGGCAGGTGGGCGCCCTTGCGGCCCAGCGCGCGGATGCACTCCTTGAGCGCCAGCAGCGACTTGTTGATCTCGGCGCCCTCCATGCGCGTGTTGCGGTCCGAGGAGGAGGTGTCGGCGCCGCGCTCGTTGCCGGCCAGGTCGATCAGCGAGAACTTGCCGTAGAGTTTCCAGCGGTCGGCCGGCACGCCGGACTGCCGGGTGCGCAGGATGATCTGGAAGACGGCGTGGCTGCGCGAGCTGTGGTTGTTGGCCGAGGTGGTGCCGCTGGTGCGGATGTTGTTGCCGTGCTGGATCAGCTTCAGCACGTCCTCCATGCTCTCGACGGGCCTCTCAGTCAGACCGACCACCTGCACCTGCTGCTTGCCGTCCTCGAGCACGCGCAGCTTGGCCTTGTCGTTCAGCAGGTCAAACACCTGGCCAGAGAGAGGGAGTCGTCAGGTCACTGGTCAGCGCTGATCGACCGGATCGTGAGACACCAGTCATACCAATACTCAACCGTAAAACATGGACACAATTTGGGTGGCATTGCCAGCCGTGAATGTTGAACGTCATGCTTCATTTACTGATAACGAACAGACGTTACGTTAGAAGCGGTGATCAACACCTAGTGACATCCAGGCGTCACTAAACTGTGTAGAATTGGAGCCCAATTCCGTCACGCGATAGCACCGTACTACGCTCACTGCGGCACAGAAATGTATAGGTGATGGAAACACACAACACACGGGCACACACAGCCGAGGACATTTGTCATCGGCCGCTTATGGCAGCGCTGCATGTATGCATGCAGTCCCTCATAACAAAGTGCCACTCAAGGACATGTGTCAGAACATGACGTTTACAACGGTGGAATAATTCAAGAACGAAGATTGACATAATAAAATACATGATTATGACAACTTATGAACGATACCTGACGCTAACAAATACAGAAAGCCAAGAAACTATACAACCTCGAAGTATTAACAGTGGCTGTGCGCTGCTTTCTCCATCACTCCGGCCTGCTCTTTAACTTCATGTCCCGATTCTCGGCCACAGTGAAGACCGCCTCACCTTGCCGCTGTAGATCTCGAAGTAGCTGGCCGACACGGCCAGTCCCTTGTTCTTGTGCTGCTGCGCCTTCAGCAGCCGGAACACGTCCTTGGCCGTCATGGCGTAGATGCCCTTGTTGGCGTCCTGCGCCTTGCCGCTGAACGTGCCGCCCATGGTGTGCGTCTTCCCGGAGCCCGTCTGGCCGTAGGCGAAGCAGGTGGCCATACCGCCGTCAAAGACGGTGTCCACCAGCGGCCGGGCCGTGTACCTGCCGGGGAAGGAGGGGAGGGGGAGTGAGACGGGGGTGCCACACTGGTAATGCGAACGCATAACGCATGCCAAAGATAACGCAATAACGCATACTGCATGGTGCGTAACATGTGTAAATGGCTAAGATAAATCAACTGAAAACTCGCAAATTATAAGGCACAAAGACATCAGGTAACGCCTATCGCTGTGTCGACCATATCACAGGGTGACCATCCGTGCAACAAACACCTCCATTTTTCCCGACCCGCGGACACCTTAGGTAATAGGTGTCGAGGTCGATCCGCCGGCCGCAGCTCTATCAGCGGTGTTTTATGAACAGTCCACTCAGCGGGCGACTTTTTCCAGGGACCTCTGTCTGTCACTCAGGTGTGAATATTTCAGCAGACGTCGCCTTGATTGTCACCACATCACCAACAGACTGTTAACGGACGCGCTGGACAGAAATACGGCAGCCGGCGCCACCGTTGCCATGACGACCGAGTCACCGCTGTCCGTCCGATCAGTGATGTACGCCGCGCAATGACCGACCGAACAAAGCAGGATAGGTAAATGCCGTGTAACGCATTAGCAGCGGCGCTGGGCTTTGTGCTCTGACACGGGCTGTGACTGAACGCGCGACAAACGAGCCACGGCGTCAGCCGCTATACAAATATGCCTACACACGCACTGACTACCGCGTGCGTCCACAAGGGGTCGTTCGATCATCTGTGCGCAAAGCAGGGATCAAAATAATGGTACCTTGGGTTGAAGACCACCTTGACCAATCATGACTTGCCTCTACCATGACAGACACGGCGGCTGTGCCCGTCAATGGTGTTGTTAGCAGCGACACAACACACCGGCAGTACCGTCTGCCCGGGCGGTAATGCCTTCCATTCTGACAGGACGTCCCGACATCACATCAACACCGTCCCACACCGGTCAGCAGCTGCAGCGCTCGTCATAACACGCACGGACCAGGTGCACGCAGGGCCACTGCGGCCGACAGTCGGCCTGTTCTACCAGACAGGTGTTTGGGAAGGGTAATGGTGACCGACGACACATCGAGTGTTTGCATACCTACAGGACGGTTCGATGGGTAGCGGTAGGCGATGACAGGACAGCAGACACGCGCGGTGTGGGCACGATACATTACGGGGGAGACATAACGCACCACCGGAGCACGGCCCGAGCCCATCACTCAAAGGTCACACACCAAATACAAAACAAACGGCGGAAGATATCCGGTCTATGAACGTAGACCATGTCGAGCCCCGCGTCTGTAAAAGTATCTCCGCAACCACCAGTACCTATCAATGGTTCTGTCGTCAGTCTATCTCCCTCCCTCCCCGGCCCCATAACCTCTTCCTTCGGGTCCGCCCGACTCACTTGTAGACGAGCACGTTGTCGGCCGTCTCGTCGAAGGCGTAGTCGAAGCGGAAGTGCTGGTTCTCCAGGTACTTGGTGAGGTCCACCTTGGTCTTGGGCTCGTGCACGATGGTCTGGTCGCGGTTGGGGATGGTCACCACATCCACCTCCTTCTTGGCGACCTCTGCGGGGAGGCGGCGAGTGCGGAGGTCAGGTCAACGACAGGGCGTTAGGACACAGGGACAAAGACAAGGTACCAGGACACTACGATTGTCAGGGCACCGACAAAGTAACGAGTAAACCAAAGCCGAAGGCCCTGTATTCACGTCATTCACGACCGATACAGTCAGCGCCACGAAGTTATTGTTGCCGTTACCTAGCGAAGCGAGTAGGTGAAATGTTGGTAGAGGGTTAACGGTCTATGAATAGCTTACCCTTTTTGCTGAGCGGCCGTTTGCGGACGCAGACGGTGATTTGGTGCTCGTCGTAGGCGTCTCCGTCCTTCAGCGGTCGGAAGTCCAGACCGCTCTGGTACTCCCTGTGATGAGAGAACAACATCACAACTCAGCTCTCAGCTTCACATAGGGCGGCGCTGTTTCAAAAAAAAAAACGAACAAAAAAAAACGCGTCAATTATATAGTTGCTTGACATGGATACGGCGTTGACAATACCTCAAAGCAGTTTGACCGTGAACATAAACTAATACCACGAACTTGGGACCTCGGCTACCGGAGCTTGGAGTCAAAGCAAGCGTATGTGTTTACAACGAAGGCTAGCCTGAAAAGCAAAAACGCTTTACCTCCCAAACTCTTATCGTCACTCAGCACAAGCCCTCAACTCACGAAGCTAATCAGCACGCACCCTTACCTGATCATGGCGAGGAACTCCCAGTTGACGTTGCCGGGGTCCGAGTTCATCAGCGTCTCGCGCTCCTCCCTCTTCTTGTTCTGCTTCTCCCGGCGCTCCTCCCGCTTCTTCTGCAGCTTCTCCACCTCTTTGACGACGTTACTCCGCTTCCGGGCTGCACAGAGGGACAGAGAGCTGGTTAGTAGGGTCAGGGTACGGCGGGGAGGGAGGGGAGACGAGTCACCCTATGGTACTGTTGACAATGTTACGGTAGGAGGGAGGGAAGGGGCCTTGACACGGACAATAAGAAGTCAGAAGTGTCAGGCGGGGACGAGACACGAAACGGACATACATTTATGTTACGGTGACCTGTCCTCGTCCTGGCTAGGATGCCGAGGCGGAGAGGGATACCCATATCCGGTCTTTGGCCTGGTCAGCAATGTCGCGGCACATCGGGGAGGGGTCGGGGGACGGACGTACAGACGGCACGGTCAATGACAGACGAGTGCTGTCCTCGTCGCCGCTCTGTCCGTGATGGGCAGCACTCCATCACCTGACGGTGCACGTGGTACTTAGCCGCCCGTTTGAATAGATGGCAAATGTACCGAGCAAACTGGAATTACGTGTCCTCAACTCTCCGTCAATAGACATTTCCATAAACGGTGTGCCCTAGGCAGGTATAGCACACAGCGTAGTCCGGCGGTAAAGTAGTGATCGATGCTTAATGCCGATCCAAGCATGTAGACTTCGTAGACTATTGCAGTCAATGCAGAGCTGCAATAGTCTATAAAAATAATATGCTTCCTTGCAGAGCATAGTTTACTTTCGGTACTTGAACGTGCTGCTTGCACGAACAAAATTACACATACATAACGACACAAAGTTTACTGACACCCAAGCGTCATAACACCTCACACATCAAAAGCCCAATGCGATCGCGCAGCAAAGGGCAGCTAGTCTGTCCTTAATTGTCTAACTTTCAACTACCTGACCCAATCAACCTGATGACTGGTCGCCATCCCCACTGACCCCTTCACCGGTCACCATCAAACACCAGTGACCTGTCACTACCCCCTCCGGACCTCCTGCGACCCCAATGACCCCTACACCCCTGATGACCCGTGACCATCCCCTGGGGTGACGGTAATAACCGAGCGACGCCCACCGAGCGGCGACGGGGCGCCGGTAATGTCCGAACGGTGTCGATACCATGTCATCGGCCTAATGAAACGAGGCACGCGTGTATTCACTCACGCACTCTCTCCAGCGGGGTTTGTTTTCCGTGCCGCATGTCGTCCTGTGGCCAGTACAAAGGGAGTAGACGACATTAGATTGGATTGGATGGTGAAATGTAACGGTTATGTTTCTTTGCTATGTGAGGATTGTTTCACTCGCGTCTCAAGAGATCCGCACAGAGCAAACGTGAATCCGACGAAATACTTCTCACAGCCGAGTGCCGGTGAAACCCTCAGTGGCCAGTGTACTGTATCGGGTAAAGTCACTACTTAGAGCCCTGGGAGTCACTACTTACAGTCCTGGGGCGGCGCCTTGGAGGCGGGCGGCGCGATGGAGCTCTCAGTGACCAGTGACTGTGCCGGGGCTACTACTTACAGCCCTGGGGCGGCACCTTGGAGGCGGGCGGCGCGATGGGACGCTCAGTGACCGGTGGACCATGGGTAGGAGGTATATGTACTACTCACAGCCCTGGGGCGGCGCCTTGGAGGCGGGCGGCGCGATGTTCTCCGTGTCTCGCGACGTCACCGTCAGCCCCATGTCGGCGTTATTGGAGAGCGCCATCAGACCCGGCCGCGCGTAACTCTGGCGCGTCTTGGTCGCTGCCGAACAGAGACCGGTCAGGGCAGGTCAGAACAATGTTGACTGCTTAATACTTCGAGCCTCAGTCGGCTAGACTGATCATAAATGGTTCACACTGATTATAAGGTTACCGTTAGTAAACGATAAAGGATCTAACAAAGGTTGATTGACATAAAACACGCACAGACACGACTCGACTTCTCTCCGACACGTCAAGGTAAGCCGGAGATCATCGCAGCTGGGAGTGTATGATTCACAGGCAATCAAACAATGAGTGGATTCCTTCATGCATATACATAGTTCGGCCTTCTTTGCGACGTTGCTGAGTGCGCGAGCAATCAGGACTACAAGGCACTGGTAATGTCAGACAAAGGGCCCGATACCTGAGCTTGGATAAGCTCGTATCGCCACCGAAAGCGAGGGCTAAGATGATGCAACAACGATCACAAAGACACCCGTTAAATCTCACAGCACAAAGCACGGACGGTGCAGCAGATATTCAGTGCTGTCAACAGGAGTCAGCTATCACGGTCGAAACAAAGATCTATTGACATTGTTGTCTACGAATGCTTGGTCTGTTTTACGGTTGGGGATAGGGGGTTATCTACACAGCATGATCTGAGTGAGCCACTACAGGGGTTGAGTGGTACTGAGTTGAAGCTAAGCCGGGACTGAATGATAGCAATAACGGCGAAACTGAAACTGAAATGGCCCGGGCGTTACACTGTCAGTCAGGAAGTCGGGGAAAAATAGACGGCAGACGCAAAATGTGTTGATGCAACACGTCTTTTTATTAATCGTTTTATGAACAAAGTCCATTGACTAAATGTCAAAACATATCAATTTGCTGTCACTCTCTGTCACAAGCAGCCGAATGTCATGCAATTTGGGCGTCAGACAAGTTGAAGCGAACGTTCGGTGCCACTTACATTTGTTGTTCTGGATCGCCATGGACTGCCGATTTGTGTACTGCAAAAAAAAAATGAAAAAGTCAGTGGCATTTACCAAATAAAAAAGCTTCCGTAGACACACGGCACCATAAATTAAATCAACAACAAAAACCACAATCATGCTCAGCCGGAGCAAAACGAAAAACGAAAACACAAAACACGCTTACGAGTATGTTAGTGTCCATCAAGCGAAACGTCTTGACACCTACAAGAGCCAAATGTCTCCCCCCCCCCTCCCCCCCATCCAGAGCCCGGGAAAAGCCTGTCGCCATCAGTACCGTGGGTTTAGACGCCCTCGTCGCTCCCCGCACTTCTCCGGGCATCCTGAACACAGCTTCTAGCGCGTTGATCACTTCTACTCCCCACTATCCGCACTGGTCACACTCGGTTGTTTCTGATGCCGCCAAGATTTCACCATAAGTTCACCATATTCATACAGTCCCGTAAGCACTATCTCACAGCTCCATCCCACAGCATCCTCTCCTCTCCGCACGTCGAGTCACCGAGTCACAACAGGCCCTGAGTCACACCACTCTGACCATGTCGGTCCTCTTCTCACAGCACTGTCCTCTGAGCACGGCACGCTAGCCAGTCCGTCGGTCCTCCCACCAATCCACACAGCGTCCGAGCCGCCGCCGCCGCCCGCTGCCGCCCCGCTCCCGTGTACCGACTGACTGACAAAGGCGGCCGGCCGGCCGGCAGCGCACGCCACCGGCCGGTGACGCTCGTCGATAGGGGTGCGTGACGCCCCCCCCCCCCCCCGACAGACCAAACTGGGAGAGCGCCGGAATACGCCGGCGGACGGCAGGGCCATAACGGGGAGAGATCGGACTCCTCCTTCACAGAGGTATCAGTTGGTATCAGACAGAGCCGACATAGCGCACAATGTAACACTTTTTACAGAGACCGGCGGAATCATGGTGGGATACGATACGGGAAGGGTTTGACTGATTTCGGCGCTAAGAGGAGCGGGGGTAAATACTGGACACAGTGGATTAGACAGCGCCCGACACTCTGACTACCGGTTGTAATGTCAACTGCCGCGTATCTGACTATGGGTCCGCTCCAGTCGCACTTCCTAACACATCTCAACTCCTCCAAGATAGCTTCCCTGTCCCAGTGGCAGCTCTAGCCCCTAAAAAGCCAAGGAGGGCCCTGCTCCGACCTCCTCTATCTTGCTCTTGGAGGAGGTGTTAGGAAGTGCGACTGGAACAGACCCAATGACTGGCGTCACACCCAGTGGCAGCCTGCAGAGAAGACCGGAGACTCTCTGTCCTCTCACAACCCCAACGTCCAATGGCGAGGCGATCACCAGCCAGAGTACAAAACCAGCCGTTAAAACGGCGGGCAGTTCAGTGAACCCATCCACTGATCAGTTGGTTCCTTACAGATCGACAGATCGAAAATCGACAGCCATCACAAATAACACACGGTGCCTACGGGTTCGCTCATTGGAGGCATCAAACTTTTACCCCAAAGGCTGGCCACTGTGACGCTCAATGAGAAATGAACGGGACTCGATCAGTGTAAGTGCAAAAAAGTAGCACACTCGAAGGGAGAGAACTGTTAAACTGTGGAAGGGAGAGAACTGGAAGTTCGACCCACTTGTTTTGTTTATGACTCTTCTGAAGAACTTTAACATGAAGTTGCAACCAGATCGATCCACTGAGTGACAAATGATTGAAATGTTCCAGGAGGTCTGATTCAAGATCTATTAACCCCGCCAGTGGAATAACAAACTATAGATAGCCTTCAGAACACTCAATAAATTCGTTTTCGCGTGAAAACACGCCAATAGATAATGCAAACTTCATAACAGAGTGTCACCAACTCGACCTTTCTCTGAACGGTTAACATGCATCAGCAACATTCGAAGAACCACAAATGTTAGCATGACATCAAAGGGATGCCATTATCTATGAATTCTTGAGAGGAGCATAGGAGCGCAGTGCGTCTGTCCATTTTCCGTGCCCTGAGCTGTTCCCTCGGTGAGTTTCTCGTCAGTGACCGTACCGACGTCGCCGCCGGGCAGCCCGGCAGCGCCGTCTGGCCACCGCCTGGAGGGAAGGGCGGCACCTGGCGGGCCGGCCGGCGGCGCACCGTCCAGCGGTGGCCTGGAAGGAGCACTGCCACTGGATAAAAAGGGAACCAGTGACTAATGGTCTGGCAAACTGAGAAACGGTAAGCTGGGTGAGAAATAGCAGGCTGCGGAATGTCATCAGACCTACACAAAAAAGCCGTAACATCAGCAGCGGCCGACAGATCGTCACCAATCAGCGCCCTTATCGGAACAGCATCCCCAGGAAACACATCACCTAAGCCTGCCTGTACCGGGGACCTGTTCGCACACTGGGCCACATGTGACCGTCAGGTGGCCGGCCAGTGCCACAGACTACACACGGTGCCGAGCGGTTCGGTGCCAAACCGCCGACCACAGAGACACCCATCCGACCCAGCAGACTCGCTGCGGGCTGCCCGCTGACGACACTGTGCCGGAGGGTCTGTGTCGGGGGTGGTGAGGTGAGGGGCGGGCTGCAGGGTCTGCAGAGGTGACGCATCTGAGCGGCGGCTCACCTTCCCGCCCTAATATGGGAGAAAGGGGCGTGTCGGGGCGCTCCCGTCTACCCCAGCTCCCCGCCGACCCAGCATGCGATATCTGGGTTAGCAGCGCCCCCGCCCCCCGTCCGCCCCAGTGGCAAGGCCGCCGGCAGCGAGCGAGCTGTCAGCGGCGCGCCCGCTTCCTGCATACCCAATGACCGTCCGGCGGCCGGGGAACAGGCGGCTCACGACCGGCGGCCGGTCAAACGGTCCATCCACAGGGGAAGCACGTCAGAGCGGCGCCCCCGGCAGCGACGGGAGCCGGCCACTGGAGGACGCGGCACGGTATCCGGGGCACACAGCCGACTACTGACAACACCGGCCGTGATATACATACAGCGATGCAGTCCAAAGCAACACTCAGTATTCACTGGACGGCTGGAAGAGCCGGAGAGCCGCGTACCAAGAGATTAATAATACTCGGAAGCGATGAAACGAACGTAACAAGCTCGCAAGGTGAGGCGAGGCATGCTTTTGATTCCTGGCCTAAACAAGAGCAATTACTTGTGAAGGGACAGCTAGATTTACACAGAATGACGGGAGTGACAGACAAATGATGAAGAGATTTGACGCGTCAAGCGAGTATATTCTGGTGACACCGTGCGGCTCGGGTCTGTTTGGTACTGAGGGACAGTGAGGACCCAGGTGGCGGAATGGTGCTACCTACCGTATAGCTCGGGTCCGGTTGGCCGCGGGAGGGGACTGGTGCTACCGTACGGCTCTGGTCTGGTTGGCCGGGGTGACTGTGATGGCCCGGTCAGGGTCTGGCGGTACCGTACGGATCAGGTCTGGTTGGCCGCGGGGAGGGGTCTGGAGAGTGGAGATACCGTGCGGCTCGGGTCTGGCGGTACCGTACGGCTCGGGTCTGATTGTTACTGATGGCCCGGGTCAGGTCTGGCGGTACCGTACGGCTCGGGTGTGGTTGGCCGCGGGGAGGGGTCTGGAAAGTGGAGATACCGTGCGGCTCGGGTCTGGCGGTACCGTACGGCTCGGGTCTGATTGGTACCTACTGATGGCCCGGGTCAGGTCTGGCGGTACCGTACGGCTCGGGTGTGGTTGGCAGCGCGGCTCGCCCGGCTGCTCGTGCTCGTGCTGCTGGTGACCCGCTGCCGGAGTCGGGATGAGGACGGGCCCGCCGCCGAGGCCTCCGACCGACTGGTGGTGTCACCGCGCCGCAGCTGAGGGTCAGACTGGCGGACAACACAGGAGAGGTCAGGATACAGGACCGGGAGCGGATTGGGTGGGGTGAGGTGGGACAAGACAGGGTTGGCAGCACGGGGTGGATACTGGACAGACAGGATGAGACAGCGAGATGAAAGAGCACAAGCAGCACAGCACAAATACGCAACAAGATAAGGCATGACTAGACAACATAGTAAGATGAGACATGATTCATGATATCAATCGGAGGGAACGGGAGGGACGCAGGATAGCACAATCGTACCGCGCACTTCGTCCATATGCATTACGACTTACGAGTGAGATTTTTACATTCAAACAATTCTTATCGCATGACAACTATTTTTGGGAATCCGACAAGGATTTTCAATAGAGAGCAGGCCAGACCGCAATGTAAAAGCTCAAGCAGCAAAATCCAGCTGCATTTTCCTGGAGCCTGCCGAGGTATTCCTGTGCCACCAGCAACGTCAAATATGCCTTCACCTCAGCTCTCAGACATTCCAATCGTGCCGTCTCCGTCCACCAGCCAGGCATAGCTCACTCTCCGACAGCAGCACATATCCATCCTCAGTTCATTCACCACCCGCCGGTCGGCTCACAAAAAGGCAGGATCGCATCTCAGCCACTTTGCCCGGCGCACATCCAACCGCCACCGCATTGTGTAAAAACTCGGCACCGATCACAGAGAGCGACCGCAGTCACCTGGCGAGCAATTACCATGTGGTCCCAACAGACCACCAACCAGCTGACGCAGACGCTTGGAAATGCCAGCGTCTGCAAGCAGCTCGCAAAACGTGTTGTGTTCACAAGTGTACGCTACCTGTTCTTGTCTGTTCCCTGTGTACGCTGTCTCTTTTCGATGGACCCTTCCCGTCAGACCATTCACACCCGTCTGCTGCCAACCACAAGCCGTTTTACTTCTCCCCGAAGACAGCTGCGCCATGGCACAGCGGTAAATGGCTCACAGCCGACGCGTCGATCGCCCCGGTGACACCGACGCTCCGTCAGTGTCGTGGCCGACAGACCGGCCCAACTCCGGCGCGGGGACAGCCGCTCGAAGCGCCGGCCCGTCGTTTTTGCGGCGCCCCTGTCGAGTTCGACGGTCGCCGGGCGCGGAGGGACGGAGCGTCGTCGGGCGGTCCGGGCACAGCGCGGTCAATACGCCCACCCGGGAGGTGTCAGCCCTGCGGCTAACTCCGGCATTTCCGAATGCGTCCATACATCAAAGCATTTCGAAGCGATCGCTTGTTTCAAAAAAGTTTGACAGCAACATGAGGCGGATAAGCGAATCTTCGGAGTTCCTTACGATTCGTTTCTTCTTGTTCTTTCTTTGTATAAGCGAACTAGGTAACTAATGAAAATATTAAACGGTTCAGATCGCAAGACGGTCAGACGGGCGACGAAGTGCCCTTCATCGTCTCAAAGAGAGCGACAGCCGGCCACCCGATACTATCACCACGGAACAGACGGCAGGCGGTCACCGATACAGAGTGGCCAGTGGACCGGGCGATAACTGTCACATGGTGGCTAGAGGAAGGTGCCACGCTATGGCTGGTTGCACTACGCATTGCTAGCAGAGGCGCCACAGCCCAACCACCTGGGCTTGACAGTTTTCATGCTATGTACGTTGGCTGCAGTGCGACCCGTGGCCGGCGCTCAGCTATGCGCTGCGTTGTGCCGTGGTTGGTACGCTGGATGTGCCGTGTTGTGCTGCGGTTTGGTGTCCGGTGTGGTGCCCGGCGCCGTGATGCGCTATATTGTGTGATGGTTGGTACGGGGTTACCTATGTGCTGGTATGTGCTGTGGCTTGATGCGGGTGTGGCGCCGGCGCTCAGCTATTGGCTGTGCCGTGATTTGGTACGGGGTGTGGCGCCCGGCGCCGTTGTCTGGCCCGGGGCGGGACTCGACATCCCCCAGTCCCCGTACAGTGACCCTGTGACGTGCCCCGTCCAACACACCGCGCCCGGTCAGCCGTGTCTCCGGCCCACGAACGGGCAACGTGTGGGGGCCTCTGCCGGGGCCGATAAGTGTGAGCAAACTGAGCACAGCCCCCAATATGGGCGCAAAATGACCTTGGTAGTCGGCGTGCCCTAAAGCCCCAATAAACAAACGACACACAGCCAGCTTCAACACGCAGAGTGTAAGAGCATCGGAGCCGGATTTCTATAAAGGAGAGGTGACGTCCCGACCACAGACCGGTACACTACTGACGTCAGATGTTTGGACTCTGTTTCTATTGTATCTCTAAATAAGAATGGAAAATGTAGTGAAAAAAATATAAATAAAAAATGTAGTGTGGAGTCACGCCCACAAATACCCTCCAAACAGACGATGTACGACAGGCAAACATCAATCAGCGACATGAAACAGTTCGTTCTCTTCATGGTTTCACAATTCACAATCTCCACTCAATGTTCATTGATGACATTATTTCAAAGAAAACCTGCAAATATGTGACTATTTAATAAAGCGAAATGGACCTACTGAAGCTATATTAACTCTTATGGTCATAACATTAGCTAGCCATATTATGACATTTCCTGAAATGCAGACGGCTCACTCGGGCAGCGCTGCCACAAACGAGTTACTTCACTCGAGCCGACAGTGATACCCGGCGCAGCGATTATCCAGTCATCAGCACGACAGGCAACGTCCATCACATCTGTCATGTCGGGGCACGTCACTTGCATGATGCAGCTCATCCAACTGGGCATTCAAACCCACGCGATCGCGCATAGCTCCACCGGCAGTCAGACCCGCGCCCATCCAAGGCGGTTTTCAACAAGTCGGCCGATTGGTCGATCGGTCAATCTATTCCGGCCATCGACCGGTAGCGACCTTTGCGTGCTATTTGTTTTAATAGCCTCTCCAGTGCGCGGCCGCACAGACCTCAGGGACACAGCCTTGACTGCTTACACGTGGCAGCATGCTCTGAGTATCCGTGACCGTGGGTCATCCGCCGTCCAATTCAGGTCGAATGACATCGAAAGGTCAAACACCAGGTATAGCGTCAAAGCCTAGGGCAGCGTTGAAGCATGTCTCGGGAATTAAATATTTCTGGATTCTCTCTGGCATGTCGTGCGAGGAATACTTAACACTGAGTTTTCAGCCTGCAATGACCCAACCCCGGATTGTCAACACCGCCCAGTTTTTCTTTCATGAATTAGTGAAGCGGCGACTTTCGCCCGGCGCCGTTTTTCATCTGCACCCTGTGAGCGGCGTGCCTGCACAACGCGGATCGATCGCCGCTGTTCGCCGCGACTGCCGCGTGTTGTGCCCGTCTCCTGGCGACGCGGCCATGCCCGTACGACTGGAGCACAGCCGTGCCCGCTGAGCGGACCTGCTGCCGCCCGGTGGACCGGCTGGCCGGGCGGGGTACGGCCCACCCCGGGACAGGAGGACGCCCATCGGTGGCGGCATGGAGTTGCATTGACACCTCCCGCAAACACCAGACCAGCAACTGCCACCACTGACGGTAGCTCAGATCAGACTGCCATGATGTTACGCAGCTGCATCCAGTCCCACGGAGAGTGGACGTGTGAGCTGGTGGGCGCGGTCAAACCCGTTCGAGTTCATATCGATCACGCTGTCTGTATCGCTGGTCGGCCCGCGCTCCGAGGGGTTCGCTCCAGCGGAGTCACAGCCGCGTTCGGATAGTTTCATTCGAACAGGGTCCCAGCCCACGCTGGCAGGGGTTCGTTCGAGTAGTTCCCCGACCCATACTGAGGCGTCGAACCTGACTGCGCCCACAAACTGCGTCCTGAGTCGACCACCCCAGGAGTCACCGACCCTGAGTGTGAGTCACCGGTGACTCAGACTCGAGGCCACATTGACAGACCGGTGGTGTTTTCCATAATACGGCGACCCTGAATCGCTCCGATCGATAGGCTAACGTCGAACCACTGTTTTCGTACTCAGGTAGGCAGGTTTCCTGCCGACCAGCACGCCTGCTGTCGGTGGGTACATACGGTTACAATCCCAGCATTCCAGTATAACATGGTCTGACCTGACGTTCGTATCGCCTACTACAGTTCCCTATAACTTCCACTGTGGACAGTAACTGTACCGTCACAGCGGACCCTCACGCTAGCGGTCAGCGACCTCCCCGGCCGCCCCGGGGCGTGGCCTCCCGCCCCAGCCCCGGACAGCAGGGAGGGGAGGGAAGCCCTGTCCAGCCACACTCACCCGACTCAATTTGGACGGAATCACACTCTGCGGCTCGGACGGCGCCAGGTTCGGGTTCAAGTTGAATATCAACTCGATCTCGATCTGAAACAAACACCAGTCGGCAGTCAAGGTCATGGTCAGGGCCAGACTTCTGAGTCAGAGGTGCGTGTTATGTAAACACAGAGCTCAAGGTCACAGAGGCCCGGAAATTCCGCGGAGCGGAGAGGAGGCGACCCGCGGGGGCGTTTAAATGGCGGGGGACACGACAGCAACTGGTTCGAAGGTGGTGATAACCGAAATAAAAGGCATCTGGATAACAGCTGGCAACAACACACGGTACCAACTGAAGAAAAAAAAAACATGTAGCTATTACTACAGCAAGCCGGGTTACCGCATAGTATGATACAAACCCAAACGCCAGTCAACGGAACGGACATACACCAGCTGGCCACTCTCGCCGCCGGTTAATTACGCTCCACATCTGCTCTGACTGACTGCCCCCCCCCCCCCGCTTCTGGTCCAGCTGGGCCCTGTTTCACCGGTGATAGCAGCACGCTGCTATCAAATTGCGCGAGCTGACGTAATGTGATGACGTCACTTTAATGACGTTTCGTGTAATTCGTGAGCTTTTTCATAGCTACGTTTGGAACAGAGTTGCTGTCTCGTTGAATGCGTTTGATACATTTGTTTGATCGCACGGCCGTGAAGATGTTAGCAGCAATATTTGATGACATCACATAGTTTGACGACGCCATGGAATGTTGATGTTTCCATGGAAACCCAATTTGACACGTGTAATAGCAGCGTGCTGCTAGCACCGGTGAAGCCAGGCCCTAATGAGTGTGATACCCCCCCCCCCCTCCCGACTGGGACTCCACCATCTGCATCAGCCGGCCATCGATTACACAGGCGGGCCGCGGCGGAGTGGAGATGGGCGGACGGGCCGGCGTCCAGCCCAAAACCTGAACGGTGAATCAACCTATACCCTTTATCCTACGCTGTCCCGTAACACTGGGCCACGCATTGCCAGGTGACCTACTGACATTACTTGGAATTTGTTTGCGAAAAATGATACTGATGTTGACCAATGTGAATTACGCCAAACGGGTGATGGATGGTAGGTCATAAATGTATGACCGCAGCAAAACTTAACCAATTGTTTTTCAATTCAAGCCACGGTGCGAGCTTGGCCCCAGGAGACCGAGACTGGGGACATGTTTCGAGGCTCCCGCCGGGGACACGGGGGTATGTATGATATGGTGGAGTGAGAGGGACCGGCTGAGGCAGAGCGAGGAGAGGTAGAGTGAGGGGGCAGCTGGGGGCGGCGCAGACTCACCTCCTTTCCCTTAGTCTCTCCCCGCTCAAACCACTCGACGGTGACCGTCTTGGCGTCATTGTTGACCCCCGATATGACTGCCGAGTGAATCCGACCTGCCAACAGGGGCACACACGTCACTGACAGGCCGCACGGGGGATACCTCACCTCACACACATTGGGTCAAGCCCTAGGGGGACTTCTTCCAGACCAAACATCCGTTGAAGGGCACGCTATTCTAGAAAGTTAAAGCGAAATGGCGACGGTGTCCTTCAGAAGGTAATGTTTTCCATTTAAACACGTTGTAATCGATGCTAGAGCACCACAAATACACTCATTGAATACCAAAACAGGCCCTTAACATTCACCCAGCAAGGTCGTAAATATTGCAGCCAATTAGCAGGTGCTAATACATCTTGGCAATAGCTCGATGCAGCCTGCAAAACAGCGGTAAACACATGGCGAGGTCACGGAGTGACCCCGTCCAATTTTCGTGGCCTCCATTCTGGCAGTGACTGGGCTGGCCGTTTGAAACATTTTATCGGGCACTCGCATATCGAGATAAAGTTAAATAAAAACATCACCACAATCACACAATGCAAGATATAAATCACTTTCAATCTTATCACACAAGCAATCGGACACGTCGGCCAGCCCAATTCATGATCGACGCCGTGGTGTTAACAGACATGTCGGAGAGTCAGACAGTCGGAGACACTGCCGTGTTTAACGTAACAAGGTCATCCTCGCCCCCTCGCTATGGCGACGTCTTCAGTCCTAATGGAGCCATCCTATGAATACAGATGGGACGTTACCGATCGGCGCGTCGCGATGATGTGCCAGGTCGATTCCGCGGGTGGGTCGGGGGCGGCGCCCGAGTACCTGCCCAATAACTATCCCCCTACACACACTAATCCGTCCCCGATCCATCCCACACCCGCCCACACTAACCGGACGAACCACAACACAGCCGTCTAGACACTTTGATATCTTGTCCAAAATCCCCCCATCTTCCCCATCCCAGCTACGGCCCAGTCCCGCCTTCTGACCAGCCAGAGACACCCGGCACCGATCCGGCCTGTTCCAGTGTTCCAGCCGCTGCGCCGGCCGCGGCACGCCCCTCGAGCGTCTCCGCGCAGTCAAGGTCGTCACGCCGGGACGGTCCGTGACCCACCTGGCCCAATAACACCCCTTACCGGACGTCCTGCAGCCCCCACGGGCCGGGCCGGCCGGCCAGACATGACCCCAGAGGTCTGATCATACCAGATAGCCAATTCCTGGAGCGGTCACAAGTTACAACTCGCTCTGCGAAATATTACCATTTCGGGTACACGGGCTGAGCTCCCAGCTGGCCACGTGACCTGGGTGCAGCGCCGCAGCTGGCCGCTGCACCACTGCACTGGTCCGGCCAACGTGATCGAGTGGGGAGGGAGCACTCCGCCAGCCCCGTGAATAATACGGGCTGTGACAAGAACGAGCCGCCCGGAGCCCGCGGTCATCACGGTTCGTCCCCTGCATTATCAGCGATCTGTAACTCGGCTGACACGTCCCACACGGGGGCCAAGGTCGCCCCAGAGCCACCGCCGGCCGGTCGGACGGTACGGCAGACGTCTGTCCTCAGCATCGCGCCGCGAGGAGAGAAGACAGTGGGCGGCGCTTCTAATGAACTAAGATGTAAATTTCGAGCCAACGAGCCCGGAGCCAAGGGTATATCTGTTACGGGCCAAGTGCGAAGGCTAGTCCGTTTGCGAACGGACTAGTCCATTCGCGAATGGACTAGGCCGTTTGCGAATGGCGGTCCGTTTGCAAACGGACTAGTCCGTTTGCGAATGGCCGGCCATTCGCGAATGGCCTAGGCCGTTTGCGAACGGACGGGTTTGTGGCGTTGCACTTAGCCGCCGGAAGCATGGATCCTCGGATTGGGGTACGATTCCGAATGAATGGGGACCGCTGGTCGATGCAGGGGCGTCGCCGACGGGGGGGGGGGGGTCGGAGGGGTCCGGACCCCCCCCCCCCCCACACACACACACACACTCCTGGCTCCCCGCTGATGACCCGACCTGACCTTGGTCGAGTTTGTGGCGCTCGATTCATTCTGCTCTGGTGTGGTGTACCGGGACGGTGCGACTTGTGTGTGGTGAGTGCGGTGCGGTGAGTGTTCGAAAAACTGTTGTGTTGCATTGCATTTAACAATACGCGCACTGCAGGGGGGTTGCTTTCAACCCCCCTGTGGTTTTTCACACAGAATACAGAATTTGTATTGCTGGATATTTCGCACTTGGCCTGACTTCGCACTTGGACTGGGAGCATAAACGCCCGTCCATTCGCAAACGGCCTAGGCAACTGCAATAACGCACATGGACTAGTCCATTCGCAAATGGCCTAGTCCAAGTGCGTTATCGCACTTGGACTAGGCCATTCGCGAATGGACTAGCCTTCGCACTTGGCCCGCAACATATCGACTCTTCAGTGCCCTGGGTATATCCAGGTATATACGGTAGAGCCGTCAGCGAGCACAGAGGAAGAAAACTCTGCGACAGTCGGTCTGCAAACACCGCGGTGATCCGTAGCGTTCGCTGATAGGTTAAGACAGCTGACAACACTCGAAGAGGTTCCATGGGCCCGTCTGCACTTGTCGCGATGTTATCCCTTTCTGATACAAGCACAAAGCAGCTCCAGTCTGGACATGGGGTGGCGGTGGATCTGTGCCGGCAGCTGGCGGCGTGCTGGGACCTGCAGCGGTCCCACGGCACGCGGCGATACCCAGCGACACCCACCCACAATGCCGCGTCACGGCGCGTGGCGCGTCAGCCGTGCGCAGAGCAACTCTCAGCTGACAGCCGGCCGCCGCGCCGGAGACCCAGTGTGGGACACCGAACGGTATACCGACACGGGCAGTCGTGAGACGGCCGCCGGACTGGGGTGCAGCAGACAGCCGCCTGTCGCGTCTAATTCACCATTAATCCAAGCAACCACCTTGCAAAGATGCCGAAATTTATCGTTCCGTGAAGCTAAAATCATCGCCATCCGGTGAATATCGCGCTCCATAGCGGCAACCCTCCACATCACCAAACAATGTCCACTATTTCAGCAGCCCCGCGTCATGCGCAAACAATCCATCCTCTCCCCTCCCCACCGTCTGACGCTCCCGTCACTCTGCAGAACGAGGATGAGCGGTGCGGGCCGGCCGGCCGCGGCGGGCGCGGACAGCCGCACCACATAGACACAGGAGCAGCAGCAGCGGCGGCGCTCTCTGTGATCAGTCGGCGCGGCGCCCGGGGCGGTGTAACGGACCCGGACGGCTCCGCGCGCACCGGCCACGGCCCGCGCACAGGTGATTGCCGGAAACGGCTGCACTCACACGCTCCGTCACGCCGTGGCGCTGTGACAGCATGGGATAAGACGCAACAGGAAGAGTAACGTTAGTGTGCAAAGACGGGTTGCAGCCAGAAGGAACCACAGACACGCTAATAATGAATCATTGGCGAATACGCGGACAAGTTTCCGCTGTCCACTGTCTAGTCATCTACAAAATGACTTGTGAATGATAAGATTTTCACTACCTAGGGGAAGTTGGGGCAATGCCGGAGTTGGGGCAAAGCCAAAATTCGATATATTTCGAAAACCGTACGACATGGATGCCACCTGTCAGTGATGCTCTGAAGCTTAAGTGATTACCTATACTCGCATGTTTGTTACCAGTCGTCATTCGGAATACTTCGGCTGTGAGGGCGCCAAGAGTGTTTTCAAGGTAGGTACGTTTCCTTTGCACTACATGCGTCTTCGAAGCTGCATTTCCTAAACATTATGCTACCGTTTGTCTGGCCAATTCGGTCAAGTAATCTTCAGCACGTCTTTGCATAAGTGTGCTTCCTATTTAAAATTTATACAGCACGTTGAAAAGTTATGGGCCTGCAAATGAAAGTATGGCTGGCTGGGGTAATGCCGAAAACGTGCAATTACGCGCGTTAAAGCACGCTACGTGAACTTTACCGCTGTAGAATAGCAACGCGTATTTTTAGTCACACAAATTACACTTTTAACCGACACAACGGCCTGTTACCATAAGGAATGATTTACCTGGCCTTTTCTTATTATATCACACAATTATAACTTCCAGTGTGCACCAAGCGTCCTCAAGCTCTTAAAACGCGTGTCAGCTTTGACGAATTCTGGATAAAATTTGAGATAAAATAGCAAAACATCAATTTCGGCATTCCCGTAGATCATTTCTCCCATTTTCGGCTTTCCCCGCAGTCCGGGGCAACGCCGAAAAAGTCACTTCTATGATATTTTTAGTTTGTGCGCTTAACGGTATGCGAATTCATCAAATGCGCCTGGTATGTTTGAAAGGCAAAAGACTGGCCTCTCGAATGACGCCAACAAGAATAGCTTATGTTGTCTACCTTGCGTGCTACGGGCGTCAGAAAAAAAGTATTCGGCGTTCCCCCAACTTCCCCTATCTGATGTTCCGAAAGATCAAGATCGACATAAAAGCCCGAAATCACTTCACAATGGCTGCCAGTTTCGTCCCGGTAACAGCGGTGCCGCGAGAAGACGCCCTCCCACGCCCTCGGTCTCGTGCCGGAAGCTCACAACAGATGAAGGTCGGTGCTGCGCGGTGTGAGAACACGCCCAGCTCGGCGCCGGGAGACCCCGGGGCCGATCGCAGAGCGGCCGGAACGGCGCCGGCCGACCCCAGAGGTCCAGACAGAGGATCAGGGCCGACACAGTCGCGCCCCGTCACCTATGTGAGCTCACATCCACACCGTCCGGGTCCCAGCCAGGCGCAGGGAGCTCCATCAAAGTCCAGACTGGGTGTTTTGAGCGCAGCCAAAGCCCAGGCGAAATGTAAAGAGCTTGATCAAAGCCTGATCGGGAGCTGAGAAGGAAAACCACACTCCCGGTTCATAGCCAGGTTTCAGTGAGCTCCGCCCGTGGCCCGTCCCAGCCCGATAGTTTGGAGCTCCGCCCGCAGCCCGATGGTTTGGAGCTCCGCCCGCCGCCGTGCGGCTCGGCGGACGAGGTCGCCGCCATATGCGGCGCCGCCGAGCAGCCCACGCAGACCCGACACCTTCCGCCCCAGACAGACGCGGCCGATCGGAGTGAGGCAGACAGACACCCGGCGCCATGGTGAGGGAACGCCCTCACCGTCGCCGATATTTAGAGCCAAACATTCAAAATAGAGCGACAATGGTTCACATAATTGCAACAAAAGAGAACTTATGAACATCGGTGGTGTCATCTTAGTGTAGTTAAAGTTTGTATGATTTCATGGCGTATGATCCTTAGACAAAGTCCTTCTTTACTATGAACAGCAAGTAAAAAAAAAAAAACAAATAGAGCTTATTGTACAGTTCAGCAATTGTTGGCTTCCAAAATCTGAACAACTGTCTCCAATGCTTTACATAAGCACTTATAAACGGCACTCGTGGATGGAATGTAATACCAGACGACATCTGATCTACTCGCGGTCCCGGGAATCAGTCGAGCCGGGCACGCGATACTCCCCCCCCCCCTACCTGCATTGTGGCCCTGAGAGGGAGAAGCTGAGGGGAGGGAGGGAAGGGTCGCACGCGAGGCCAGAGCACGGCAACAGCCGAGCGAGATACAAATGAACACACCCACTCAAGTCAGGATAGACGAAACGGCGGGAATGATCGCTATCTGCCAGTCATAAGAAGCGCGACACCGACACAACTTTGGTCGGGAATTGTGGTAGAGGTCTGCAAACCTATGTTTAAAAAAGTTTCCATCCTTCAATCTACCGCATTCCTCAGCAATCAAAATGATCTATTTGCTATGAATGAAATAAGTACACGACCAGTACTTACCATCACTTCTTTGAATGTCCACATTGACACCCAGCTTCAAAAGTCCAAAAACTTCATCCATGATTTAGCGAATTGATGTAGAAGCAGCCTGAGGAAAAACAAACAATTTATTGGATTAAAAGATATCATTACTCAAACAAGTCACTCATGAAAGAGGACTTTCTTATTAGATGCTACTTGCTTTAAAGGGACCCTCCCACCTTCAAATAAGTTAATTAATTGGCATAAAAGTGATGTCCCTTGGTTCGGAAAGATCAAAAATGAGTATCTACCAAATTTAACCGAAAAATACCTATTCACTGGTTTTCAAGATATTAGGCTTTTACTTTTGTTTACTTTTTGGGATCTCCGCTGTTCCTAGCGACTTTATTTGAAAGTGCGGCACTTGTTGCGCGCAAAACAGCATATACCGCCGCGTGATACCAAACGTTTTAGTAATACATTTAAAATCGTTAGATCTCCGCTGACGTCACAAATTCTAAGGGGGCATTCCAATGCATTAGCCCCTTAGAATCCGAAAACTGCAAGTTTGAAATTCCATATCTCCGATTTAAAGCATTTTTCGATGTTGTGAGTAACCAAACTGGTATTTGCAGGCCATGGCCACCAATTTGGCTATCTCAACTCAAAACTAATGTTAACCCGCGCCCCGTAGGGCTACCGGCGGACCCTACCAGTACCACCCGTAGGGGGGGGGGGGCGTTTCGCCCCCCCCCCTAAGATCTCGGAAATTTACCGGCCGATTTTCAAAATTCAAACGGCGTTCGATAGCCCCACTAGGGAACTACCTTGTGACCGAATTTCATTGACCTAGGTCAAACCGATGACGTCACAGGTCAGGTCAAAGGTCGGATTTTCACCGTTCACAGGCAATTCAAGAAATGTGCTGTGAAAGCGAGTAAATTAGTAAGTTACTGAAAACCATCGATGGTACATTGTTCGTCAAACACATACTTCGCTATATGAGGTCACTGATACCAGGTCAGGTCACAGGTCAGGTCAAAGAGGCCAGGTCACTTGGGGTCACAATATGAAAGTGTCGTGTGATACATGTTTTATGGCCCATTTTACATAACAAATGCGATTATGCGGGTCAGGAAGCCTTTGGGGGCCAGCTTAGGTCACGTTTTGGTGAAGGTCAGGTCAAGGTCAGGTCAAATTAGGTCAAATTTCAAAGTTGATATTTTTGCATAAAATGGGTATTACCCATTTTATGCAAAAAAACATGGGTATCGATTCGATAAAGCTCGTCACAGGGTTTTGAGCGCCCATTTGGCCTAATGCTACCAACTGTTACTGGCGGCATTAGTATATATTAGGTCCGAGTGGACAATTGTGACGCTGTTGATACAAATATGTAACAGCAAAACTTTTAGGTTTTAGGTTAGGTTAGGTTGTAGGTTTTAGGTAGGTTTGTAGGTTTTAGGTTGTTAGGTTGTAGGTTTGTAGGTTGTAGGTTGGTAGGTTGTAGGTAAATAGGTAAGGTTAGGTCAGGTTTGATTATGTTTTTCTTTTATTTCCAGGACATATAAGTATCATTTTTGGATTCAGGATGTCAAATAATGTAAGAATATGAAAACTTTATCTTTTATCAGTCACTCGGACTTAATGTATACTTTTACCGTTACTGGCTACCCCTGCATTTTTCTGTATATTCAAAGCTGTAGGCCTGACAGCTCTTCTCGCGAAGGTCTTTTTCGGTCGAAAATGGCAGAACATGACGTCATTCTGACGTCATTTGTGGCCAACCTATCATAGCCTCTGGAAATTTTTTTGGTCACAATGTGTAAAATTGATGCCCGGAGAGGTCCTGAAAGTTTGGTGGCGATATCTCCAGCCGTTTAGGAGATATCGACGGAAAAGGACAGGGAGGCCGTTTCGCCCCCCCCCCCCCTACGGGGCGCGGGTTAAGGTGGGATGGTCACTTTAAGTACCTATTATGTATGAATGTTAAATAAGTTCAGAACTATAAAAGTAATCTTAAGACCAAATATAGTAACTGAACGAAGAGGCAATGGCTTATCACCCATTATCTGTAATCTAAAGAAACAGGTGTCTAACTAAGGTTATGCCCTTTGATTCAAGGAACTATATAGCACTTTTGCATGAAAGAACAACACTCAACAGCAAAAATAAAACAATTGAAAGGTAAATACAGATTGCACAGACATTTTTGGTTAACTTTATGGATTAGGCCCAGTCACTTCATTAGGGTACCTGCATCAATGGGACATTATCAGTGATGAAACCAGATTGCACTAGCAGTCTTAACTTTATATCTATCCCTAGAATACTAGTAGTGTATTCAATTACATTTCAACTCCTTGGTATCCAAACAATGTCTATATGAATACTGTGAGGCTGAATATACTGGGAGTTTTACTGGAAGCATGATGAGACCTGGTCCCACAGGTCAATTGAGCCCTCCTACAACCAGATCACCACAAGGTAAGATAAGGAAAAATGATGGCAATTGGCAACATTAACCAAACTTGGTGGGGCAAAAAGCAGAAACTACAACAAGTAGGGAACCAGCAACGCCAAGCTTTAAGCTTGGTTGGCTGATGGCATGCTGAGCACAACATGTGGACGGAGAGCTAGTGCAAATTAGAGCTCACACTGACACTGTTGAGTGTTGACTGTTGACTGTTCCAAACAGCCAGGATGAGGAAGGTAGGAAGTGAGGCGTTAGTAGAGCAGATGTCACACAAAGGTTTTCCAACCAAGGAGTTAGGAGAGGCGCTGTAGGTTTGTAGGTTGTAGGGTAGGTTTGTAGGTTTGTAGGTTGTAGGTTTTTAGGTTGTAGGTTGTAGGTTAGGTTAGGTCAGGTTAGGTTAGGTTTGTTTAGGTTTTGTTAGAAAGAAGTACCTCCAGGGCCCAGGCATAGCACCTCTTCTTGGTTGGAAAACCTTCGTGTGACGTCTGCTCTACTAATAACGGAAGTGACAGCTATGCACTAGCCAAATGGAAGTGGCAAGCCCTGCTGTATTCACTGTGGGTTTGTAGCATAGTAAATAAGTAAATAAATAAAAAATGCCAATAGCACACATCTCAAGGCCACAGCCCATCACAGTATACATAGAAGTATAACGCCTGCTTTACAACTACGAGGTACGAGCAGTGACACTGCACTAGGTACACAATTAAATTGAAATGGGGGGTGTTGTGCTGGTTTTAATTTTGACACATGATTTTCATGAATTTTATGAGAAGCAGCAGTGAAAATGGACAAAATATTCATCAAAATGGCAAGAGTTGACATTACATAGGACCTACATGCAGGCATTCATATTCAAATGTAGGTAACAGAGATCAGAATAGATGAGATTAGAATAGATCCGTTCGTTATTATCATGGTCACCTTGTGGGGTCGCAGATCCTGATTCCGTTCGTTATCACATGAAATCTGCCACGTGAAGCTTACATAAATTAAGAAACCAACGCAGTATCACACACAAACAAAACACCCGACGCCTCTCAACGGTTTCAACGCGATTCACATTCGGATTTGAGTGCGCTTGTCAACTGTCCAGACTGGTACTTGGAATTCTAGAGGTGGACAGGTCCTAGCTTATATCCAAGTAGGCACTATTTTAGGAAAATTGTTTCAAGCTTTTGTTTTTAACTCTTATTTTCCTCTTTGCAAAGAAAGCATCAAAATCAATTTTAGGGGAATAAATAATAAATTTCCATCTCTAATCCGTTTCCCGTAAATTAATATGAATATATTATGTACTTCTTACGTAATGCTTTGTTTCTCTATTAAGTAGACATATCTGACGCGCCACAGACATAAAGCAACAGAAATGTAAGCAATTAAACGCAGTTCACACTTGCCCGTAAGGTCTGCCGGTGACGGGCCCGACACCGTCAAAACGGCCGAATCTGACGGAGCGACGGCCGTCAGGTCGACGGGCATGTGTGAACCGGCAGCGTTTGACGGTCGGCAACAGCTGACTGCGCCGGCGCCGGACCTGACGGCCGTCGCTTTGGAAAGTTCAGCAATGTTCAACTTTTGACGGTGACGGGCCCGTCGGTTTGAATATCTGCGTGTTGGAGGAAGAGGAAAAGGAACGTTCTCATGCAGCATTAAGCTTATATGCTTTTTTAAGAGTATTTATACCAATTTCCATCCATTTTTTAGATGAAAGTGTTTATTACGGCACGATATCTTGAGATTCGATCCCTGATTTAAATCAGCGAACCTATGTGTCTTTCATTTGAATAAAATTGCAGCAATATTTGACATAAAATGTAAATGCGTGGTATTTTATTTCTGTAATTCAAATAATTTTTTAACCTCTCGGCCTCCCCATCCCCTTCCCCCATCTGCGTCAATCTCGAAAATGGTGCGCCGTTTCTGTCACAATATATGGCAGCCAATGGGAGCTACCAAATCTCAACTTTCGTTTGACGGGCTGCAGGCCGTCAGGTCGACGGTGACGGGCCCGACACCGACAGACTGACGGTCAAGTGTGAACTGCGTTTTACGGGCGCAGCGAAGCGAAACCACAGGATCGGGATCGTTGAACGCGGAAGGGGGCTTCAATAGTTGGTGTGCCCATGACCGTGGTGTGCCCCCTTGTTTACAGGGGCGTATCATCTTTAAATTAGAAGCTGAATGTTTGTTTTCTCTAGTGTTATCAGTCGTGCCTTGTTTTGAAGTCATTGAAGAGGGAATCTTTCCCCTCACATCGTAGTCGTTCCAGTTCGTATCATCGCAGTTCAAGTTGCAGTGGCAGTGCTGTTCTGACTTCAAAACTTCGAAGATCGCTTGAACGCTTAGTTTTACACTGGATTATTGAGTATCGTGGAATGGCAAGATGAGAGCAGGAATGGAATATCAATATTTTGGTTTTAAGTTCCGAAAAAAGTTGATTTTCATCTTAGTTATATTACTCCTGTATATACATGCTGGCCAAACGAAGACTGATGGCTCAAATGTGGACCATAAGTGTGGAGATAATTTGTGCATTAATGGGGATTGCATAGATGGAAACTGCACATGTTATGCTGGTTGGAAAGGTCCAAGCTGTCAGCTTTGTGGAGGAAGAGTAAGGTAAGATATTTGATAGTCGCAATGGTGTAGCTGGTGTTACATCACCTGTAACCTTCTGTTGATGTGAAAGATGTGACTTATGAGATATTAAAAAGCTTCTTAAGACACCAGTCTTAAAATTGGGATCAAAATATTGTAGTGTTATCATATAACTCAATAGTACAATGTCTCAGTCAATAATTATGACCTGCAGTGATATTTTTAGCAGGCATGTATCAAAATTAGATGGAAGCTGCTTTTCTCTGGTATAGTTACTCAATTTGAGCATCATGTGTTGTGACCATTGACATTCTGATTCCACACAACCTGCAGAGTGTGATGAATAGTGAATTTTAACTGGTTATTTAGTACAATGATTCTGTATTAGTTAGTTTTGCCAGGTGCCTACCTATGAATTTAAACCATGGAGTCGTGTGTTTTTTAGCCCTAGCATTTGCAGTAGGTACATTCCAATTTATTAAGTAATTATGTTATTTACCTTTGCATTATACAGTAATGTAACAGCATTCAGCAATGCTGTTATATGCCACACATTAACTCTGCACACTGAATGCATTAGCAAGAATAACCTCCAAAAGTATATCCTGTTAAAATAGAGGTAGGGACTTTACAGGTTGTTGTTAGAATGTGATTGAGGGATATTTGTCTTCCTTTTTATTGCACTACCTACTTGATTCAACTGGCCACAATGTCTTCAAACATAAGTCTACTTAATTCCATGTATGAGTGAAACAAAACCAATGTTTCTCAATGGTTATATATTATGTGTATGTCATTTAATCATTCACTCAGTGCAAGCAGCCTTGATTGGATGTTTCTATTTACTGTGTTCTCAGGAAGATAAGATTTATATCAGCGTGTCATACATTGATATAATTTTTGTAATTCCTCCTTATAGCTTGTCAACTTGCTGGACAATATGGATGCTAGACAATTGAGCAGTGCAAAACAGCCAAGCCTTTCAAGTTAAGAACTAAACCTTTCATTTGTGCTCAAAGCTTACCTCCACTGGTGTTGACTGTGCAGCTCTGATTTTGTTTGCTTTGCATCCTCTTCAGGTTCGCTCAGACAGGGATAGAACACCTGCCACCTCGTGTACCCTGAGGTCATCTCACTGCTCCACCACTGCTGCCCTGCAGACAGGTCATGTGGCAGCTCCACTTCCACCTGTCCTTGGCAGGCTGAGAGGTCATGTCACTGCTCCACCTCCCGTGCTCTGAGACCATGTCACCACTCCACCTCCTGTTCTCTGTACATATCACCACTCCACCTCCTGTCATCTGTACACGTCACCGCTCCGCCTCCCGTCCTCTGTACATATCACCACTCCACCTCCTGTCATCTGTCATGTCACCACTCCACCCTCCCATGCTCTGCAGGCTGACTGAGCCGGAGGGCGTCATCACCCACGGGATCGGCAACTACTCAATCGACATGCAGTGCACGTGGCTGATCGACGGCGCCGACAACCGCACCATCCAGCTGTACGTGGACGACTTCGCCACCGAGTGCGGATGGGATCACGTCTACATCTATGACGGTGACAGCGTCTACAGCAACCTGCTGGCCGTCTATAGGTGGGTGCGAGAGATCCGAGGTCCGAGCAATCTGGTGGGCCCGTGAGGGAGCGAGGTGGAGACAGGGGGAGGGAGCGTGGAATATGGTGACAGTGTCTACAACTCTACAGCAACCTGCTGGCCGTCTACAGGTGGGTCCGGAAGGGAGGGAGGTAGAGACAGGGAGGGAGTGTGGGAGATGGTAACAGTGTCTACAGGAACCTGCTGGCCGTCTGTGGTCGGGTACGGAGGTAGAGAGAAAGTTAAGGAGAGCAATAAGTCTAAGTGATGAGTGAGGGAGCACATAACAATGGGTGTACAATGTGCAAGTTTGCAAACTTTGATCATTAAATGATCAATGTCGAGATCCGGTGTGACTGACGGTGCAGGTATCTCCTGAGATGCCATCAGCTGTGGTTTAATTTGTATCGATACTTCAGTGTGTCCGTATACGCCGGGTCAGACGGCAGCGGACGGCGTCGTGCCACCCGGCGCCGTGCGATCACCTTCAGCCGGGCTCTGTGTGGGAAGTCGCGGCGTACGGAGTCCAGTCCGCCGTGCGGTGTTGTGGTTTCGGTCCGCTCGGCCGGCCGCGGCCCCGTTCTTAGTCACCCAGGGATGTGATGGCGCAGACGGGCATTGTTTATTGTTTCAGCGGCATGGTGCAACTGGACAAGTTCGCCACTCACAACCTGACCTCCTTGGAGGCAAAGTCGGGTTCGGCCTACGTGCATTTTTATTCGGATGCTGCCTACAATATGACCGGCTTCAAAATAACATACAAGTGAGTATCGGACATGACTGTGGTTTTCTGGCGTGCACTGAGGAATGCCATGGACGGATATCTTTCGTTACATCAGTCGGAGCCCGGTAATAAATCCTCTTTCCCTCTCTGTTTTCCTACTAATTAAGGCCAATGCGTAATAGACTGAGAAAATCCCGTTCGGCTCATGACGCCGTTGTAATTGTGTTAATAAAGGTTTGCTAGGACTTCATAGGTACATGATTGCTTTTGTTTATAATATGATGTCTGATGTGCCCTTTAACATGACTTTCTTCGCTGCCACACTTGCTTTTCTGCCGTTCACCCCAATATAACATAATGAAAACGTAACTCTAATAAAACACCTCTTTCCCGTTAATTGAATGCGGTCCATTACTCCTGTATCTCCCGGTGCAGGCTTCCCGGAAACTCGCCTCTCGATCTCCGGCAATTTAATATACAGTTGACCTCGGCAGTCCTGCTACCCACCCAAATTATCACCAACACTGCATCATACGTAGCACAATCCTCTACCCGTTGAACTGGTTACTCTTCCTCCCCTTCATGTACCAATGGAGTCGCCGTCTGACTCCCTCCTCGCTTCCCGGCAGGTACCACTCGTGCCCCAGTATCTCCAGCGCGCTCAACTGCTCGGGGAACGGCGCGTGCGACCCGGAGTCGGGCCTGTGCACGTGTAACGCCGGCTGGGGTGGCCGGGCCTGCAGTGAGCCACACTGCCCGCGTGACTGCAGCGGCCACGGCGAGTGTGACCAGCAGCGGCACCGCTGCCGCTGCCACCGCGGATACAGAGGTCAGTACATCGGGGGACAGGGGTCAGTACTGGGGGACAGGGGTCAGTACTGGGGGACAGGGGTCAGTACTGGGGGACAGGGGTCAGTGAGGCGCCGCTGCCGCTGCCACCGCGGATACAGAGGTCAGTAGAGGGGTCAGGGTCAGAGAGGAGACAGGGGTCAGTGAGGCGCCGCTGCCGCTGCCACCGCGGATACAGAGGTCAGTAGAGGGGGGGGGGGGCAGGGGTCAGTGACCAGTACTGCTGCCGCTGCCACCGCGGATACAGAGGTCAGTAGAGGGGGTCAGGGTCAGTTATAGGGGACAGATGTCAGTGACCAGCAGCGGCGCCGCTACCGCTGCCACCGCCGATACATAGGTCAGTAGAGGGGGCAGGGTCAGAGGGGAGACGTTGTGAGTATATTATGGACACTGGACAGTGGTCACTGGTCAGTCTGCGTGTGAGGGGAGTGTTTACGGGATGAGTCGAGGGGGACGGAGTTGAATCGGGACTGGCAGAGGGGCGAGTCAGGGACCGCCGTCCGAAAGCCCTTCAGGATCGATGAGCTGGACCGGGACCGCCATGCAGGTGGTATGCCTGTTGATTGGGGGGGGGGGGGGATTGTGCTCGCCGCTGCGTAGCGGACGGACGGGCGTGCCGGTCGCTGCGCTCGGTGAAATCCTGGGCGGGGATTGTATGCCGACTGGCGCTGTGTGTTGGGAGTGTCCGGTGGCTCTACATCGGACAGCCCCTGCTGTTACAATGGTGCTAAACACAGGTTACACAATGATAGTCACAAGGAGACGAAATTAATCAGTGTATAAGCCTATAATGCAATATGGTGCTTCAACGCCGCAGCTGGTGTAACCTGATAAACGACCCCGATTGTGCGGTGAGCGGCGCGACTATTTTCAGTCAGGAGTGCTGGTCGTCTTTATGTGTGATACGTACGAGTATGCAGGGATTTAGGTGCTGAATGGAAAGGTGATCGGCTCAAAGGCGTCACAAATCCGTCTCAAGGCTCGGCTCTACATAGACACGGCCTGTGGGACCATGGCGGCAAAGCCGTTCTCTGGCGACCGAGTCACATCGATTTTGATCGTTAGATAGGTAGGTAGCTGTGGTATAAGATAATGACGACACCTGTAGTGGATATCGGTTACAACACAGTCACAATTAGACTGCGCTATATTATCAAATGAACCCGCAAGAAGCTGTGTCCGCTGATGGTCGACTCAGTGGCAGCTCCCGCCGTGCGCCTGGTACGTCCCGGCACGGCCGTACGAATACCGTCGTGCTGTGTCGGCCTCCGGGAAAGATCATACATCACACACCTCTCTGCACCCGGGCGCAATAAGCCTTCTGCTCTGTCGCGGCCGTCACCGGGCTTTGGATCGGTCTGAGACACAGTGGTTACAGTCGCAGTGACACTGTGCTCGGTGTACTGTGTGCAGTGCTGTACACAATATTAGTGGCGATCTCTAGGATCTGCCGCGGCTAAGCGAACCTCTGCATGTTCCTGTCAGCTTCTGGGTGCTCTTCTCGCTGCGATACACTCACATTTATGGGTGGATAACTCGGATATTACTCATGGAAATATTATCTATGGAGACTTTGACAGTCTTCTGGGATGTGTGATCAAAGCTGCTTCTTAACAGATGTTCTGGATGCTTCATCTCGATAGAAATACTTTAATCTGTAGACTGTATTAGTTGTATTGGATCAGTGATGTTCTATGACTCTCATCGGTTCTGTTCTGCCCTAAACTACCACACCGGTGACGTTACCTGTCACGTCATCGTGCATATCACGGATATATGATAGGTATACAGCTGACTGAAGCCACTGCTTGCAGTCTCTGTTTACAGTACTGTGTCATAGTTCCTGGCCATTCTGGATGATAAATTACTTACTACATCGCTTTGTGTTTTGGTCGAGGGAAATGCTCGCCTTCGGCTTCTCATGTTTACCGGCCGTGATAAGAACAGTGTACTATACCCCTGCCGCTGTGTCCGACGTCACCGATCTCCGTCCCCGCCCGCCCCCAGGCTCGGACTGCAGTCAGCTGGAGGAGGAGGGTTTCTGGGAGCTCCTGCCACCCTCCCCCTATCCGCCCTCCAAGTACGTGCCCGCCGGACGCGCCTCGCACGCGGCCATCATCAAAGGCGACTCCATCTGGCTGTTTGGCGGAGAGTCCTTCACGCCCACTGCCTTCGTGGTCAAGTACGACATTAACGGTGAGTGGACGGACTGTGGAGTTGGACATTGTGGACGGGATGCGGTGGACGGGATGCGGTGGACGGGCTGTGGATGACACTACGTGTGGTGACACTACGTGGAAAGGCTTCTGGGACGCGGGATGGATGTGGAGTGGATGCATTCCATCGGCGATGTAGTGGTGAGGATGTTTGTATGGGGGTATAGGGTTGGCTTTGACCTGGGGATTTTTACAACTAATGCAATGGCCCGTGCGGTGGGCAAAGTGCCGCACGCACTAGCTTAGCTTTAACTACATAGTCAAATACATAGAGTCGTATGGTTTTGTGACAAACATGACATATCAACTGGAACTGCCAGCTCAATGCTCAGCCGCCGGACAAAGATTGTCGATTGAACGATCTGCGCCAATATGGTGCTATGGACCTGCGACAGTGTCTGAGTACAAATCTATGTAGCTAAGGGAACATGTCCGGAGAGTGACCGGGGTGGCATGACTCTAGTTCGTTTAGCTCGTTGGTGACTTGGAAAGGGGGCACCTTCATGGGGAAGGGTTTCACAACTTTTGTATGATCAACTAAATACTGCTATTTAAAACTGGCTTTTCAAAGTGGTTAGTTCCTTAAAATGCATGCGCTGACTTCACCTGTCATTAGGTTTTTACCTGTTAGTGATCATTATACATCATACAATCATACAATCATACAAAAAATTGCCTTGAGTTTTACTGTCGTGCAGGTATGGTTTGTCTTGTTTTATCCCGTAAAATGGAATACCGACGAGACAGCTCGTTCCAGATAGAAGGGATATGCGTCCATATAGGTAGCAGGCCAGGCTCGCTCCACAACGCTTCTGGTCCGGCTGGAGAGATTTCTGGCCCTCCCATCGGCAGCGGGCAGTGTTTTTCTGTACAGAACTGAGAATTGTCCAGCCAGTCTGAGGCGTCTGCTGGCTCTCTGTGACGCTTTTGAAGAAGCAAATATTTACCTGCTTTTGCGCGTCACTGTTCTGATTTGGACGTCAGTGTTCCTCGCTACTCGTGCGTCATAAAACTCAACTCATTATCATCACTGAACCGACTAGTACCGTCGCCAGATGCTAGATACGACCTCTTATGTAATTATCGAGTTTTTTCTGCTAATGGCGCAGCGTATGTTTGCTCTGTTTGCTACTACTGCATTACCTTCGATGGGGTTGTCATGGAAACCGAATGCGTCATAGCTCTGTAGTTGACTCGTTGTGTGTTATCGACCCCCGCCCTTACAGAGCTGGATCTAGCCAGCCAGTTGATTAAGAGTCGCAGCTGAAATATTTATTTACTCATCCTTTGGGTTGATAGGTCGCATTATGGAGTCTTTGGTCCATTAATGGATTGGTTTATTTTTACTGACGACTGGTCTTTGACGGGTATCCTGTCCGTGACCGTGTGGTGAAGTCCACCGCCTTATAATAGGTCGAGCCGGGCTGGGTCGGAGTAATTGAAGGAACAAAGTTGTGTTTGAAGCTTATGTCTTTTATGCTTTCAGTTGGCTCATTGTTTCTTTACTTTACCGATCGGCTGGGGCGGCAATGCGGGTTATGATTGTTTTACCCAAGATCAATAACAGAATTCAGTTGATGCACAATGGAATAAACACCGTTTTTACTCGTAATTGTGTTAAGCGGTATCGTTCATTAGTAATTGCGGTCGCTATCTCACTAATTGCGGGGTTAATGTGATGGTTTTGTTGTTGAATAATTACGTAGGTACGTTCCCTTTTCGCCCGGTTTTTGTCGTCACCCACCCATACTGATCTAATGAGGACGTGTATCAGGACACTCGGACGATAAATAACTCGGACAACAGGATCCTGTCATTCCATTTGGTCGGTTCACAAGGTCGGTTGTGTGATTATTCGCTTATGGCTTCTTGATATTCCCTATCAATTAACCTTTATCGAAGTTCAGTTGGTACGAATACTTTGACATCTTTGGACCAGGTAGACGACAAACTACATCTGTCAACGATATTTATTTCTATATTGTTTATACATTCGATTCAACCGGCTAGAGAAACTGGGCTTTACATTTTATATGGTTTCGTACTAGGAATGCAATTTAGACACCACCGAACGTTTGCACCAGCAAGTGAAATGAAAATGCGCAACGAAACTGACGGCCATAGCATGTTTCAGACAGCATTGTTTCGTTTGGTCAACATACCGCCTAGAGACAAATAAACACAATGCAGCCGTTTTAAACATCGAGTCTTACTCATTTTAGGCTGATTAGAACAAACTTTAAACAGCTATGGTAACCCTGTGATGTCTGGGCTGCTCCCGCTCTGCTCGGTGCCAGCGCTCGCTCCTCAGCCGAGCTTAAGTTCACAGAGAGGCACGCTGTCCAGGTCATAGGTCAGTCGGCTCCCGGGCTGCCTCCGGGGCTCTCCCCTCAGCCAGCCGAGCTGCTGGTCGCAGAGAGGCACCTTCTCCAGACCAGAGGTCGGTCGCGGCTGCCAGCACTTTCCGCTCAGCCGAGCTGCTGGTCATAGAGAGGCGGCCGGGTGCGGGATCTCAGCCGAGCTGCTGGTCGCAGAGAGGCACGTTCTCCAGCCGGGACGAGGTGTCGTACCAGAGGCCGGCCGGGTCCATGGCCGCCGCGTCCACCGGCAGCGTGTCGTTCATCGCGTACCCGTTCGGCTCGGGCGACTCGGGACTGGTGACCCCGTCCCAGTTGGTCCAGTCGAGAGGCGAGTGGTCGTCCCAGAAGCCGTACGGCGGCAGGTCGGCGGTGGCCATCCCCAGCCAGCCGTCCCGGCCGCCAGGGGTCAGCACGGAGCGCACGTGCGCGTTCTTCTCGGCGCTGTGTATGACGGGCAGGCGGCCGGTGGGTCGGAGAGAGTTGCAGGCGGTGACGGCGGCGCTCCGCGGAAGGGTCCGCTCGAGGAGGGCCGTGGTGCGCCACCGCCGGCCGCCGTACAGGTAGGTGGCGCTGGTGGAGGTCAGCAGGTGCAGGGGCCCTGCGGGGAGCGGCGCCGGCGGCGGGTCCGGTCCCAGCGGCCCGCCCGACACCTCCTCTGTCGGCGCCGGCGGCGCGAACAGCCGGCACAGGCCGCCGCTGAGCTGGAACGCGGCGCACCGCGGCTGGACGCCGCAGCGGCGGGCGCAGCCGGTCAGACTGGGCGCCGGCAGCGGGGCACCGAGCGGCTCCAGGGGCGCCGCGGGCGCCTCCCGCCGCGGGTAGACGAAGCTCCGCTGGCAGTGGCCGCCGGAGAGGAGGGCTGCCACCAGGACAGCCGGCAGAGCGGCCGAGGAGACGCGCATCGCCGCCGGGTGGGGCTGCTGGCCGGTCACAACCGCCGGGTCGGACTAGATTCTTTGCCAAACGACCATTATTTGCTGAGATTGCTTGGACTACTGCGGCTGCGTCTCTGCACAGTGACACTGTTTGTGATTGTAGATGACCGTTTTTCAGGATTGATTTATCGTTATGCTTAAATGTATCACCTGCTACGGTTGGAGACCAATTTGCGGCAATGTTGTCCGTGTCATGCTGCCGCCAGACTGCCTGGGAGCTTTAGGTCGGCCGGCCGATGCAAACAATCAAGTACCTGGTCCAACGAAGCTTTCCTTTCCCTCGGCTGCGCTGTAGCTGTTTCGGAGCTGTGCCGTGCTCGGCTCAGCCGCAGCGACCACACTGTCCGTGAGACGACCGAGGACCATCCACTTCGACCCCGCACTCTGCGCTGGTCGCCTGTCGAGCCGCCGAGTCCGCCCCCTGCGCGGGGACAGGGAGCCACTCGAGCCGCTGGTTTGGTCGAGCCAAATGTCCTACCATTACCTCTCATTGCGCCGCCGGGGGCTACAATCACCGGCCCGTCCAAACACGCTCTGATGTGTGGAACTGTCCCGGAGACGGCGCCGCCGTGTGTTCTGTTGGTTCGGCGTCACCAGGAGCGAGCTGTGATTGGCAGCTGGATGACGTGATGATGGAGTTTGTAAACCGGGACCGACTCGCAGACGTCCGAGTGTTTGTCCAGGCGGGAATTAGGGCTGTTCTGATGTGACTGAATTGTGAACAAGGAGACTGTTCTCGAATTCGTGAAGGCGATTATCATTGTTTAAAAAAAAGTATGGCAGGCGTTCACGTACACATCTTTTTTTTGGGGGGGGGAATACGCACATAACGGGATATGCCTGTATATCAGTGGATAAAGAATATATTTAAATCAGAGACAGTACAATCGGATTTCGCAACGAACGAAACTAGTGTTGGTTTTATGTAAAATGCACACATGGGTCACTCGAATATCCGTCCGGTGTCCGACAGTTGTCTGAAGTCGTCCGATCTCCGACAGTTGTCTGAAGTCGTCCGATCTCCGACAGTTGTCTGAAGTCGTCCGATCTCCGACAGTTGTCTGACTTTGTCCCGTGTTCCGGCAGGCGGTGTCTGGGAGGAGATTCACACGTCGGGCAGCCAGGTGCCCAAGGGCCGCTACGGCCACTCCGCCGTTCTCAGAGGGGTGAGTTGGATCGGATGGGCCATGGGTTGGATCTGACTGGGTCTGTTTGGATCAGACGGGACGAGTGGGTTAGTCGGACGCCGCTGTTCGCGATGGTGGTACAGTGTGTGCCTTGTGTATTGTTTTCCGTGTCTGTTTCTCCTTTTCGATGTAACTTTAATTCCCCTCATCCAGCCCTTACCCCCTCACATTTCCCTTCCGTTCTTTACTCCAGGATAACGTGTACATGTACGGCGGCGTCCGTTACGAGGACGACGTTGGCAAGTACGGCGGCGCCATAACGCACGAGCTGTGGGCGCTGGACACCACCACCAAGCAGTGGGAGCTGAAGCACGTGCGATCAGAGGGCTGCTACCGCGGTGACGTGGTCTGCGGCCCGCTGGCCGTCGTCGGCCACTCGGCCGTGGTGATCGGAGACGATCGCATGCTGGTGCTGTTCGGCCACTCGCCCGTCTACGGATACGTCAACTACGTGCAGACCTACCACTTCGGTAGGTGGTGGAGGCTGTGGGGTGTTGGTTGAGAGAGGGGTGGGAGGGAAGGGATGGATGAAAGTGTCGACCAAGGTGCCGCTGGGAGGACGGGGGTTTGAGTTGTGTTATATTGGTTTGATGGCTGCTCTGTAGCTGATGTGAGATTCCTTCTTCTTGTAGGCTTCAGTACTGACCTCTCCCTTCCTTCCGCCAGGCACGGGCAAGTGGAGCGTGCACGGCTCTCAGGGCGCGCTGCTGAAGGGCAGCTACGGCCACAGTAGCGTCTGGGACCCTCACAGTCGGCTGGTGTACGTCTACGGCGGCCACCTGTCCGACAACATCGCCACCTACTCGCTCTCCAACCTGCTGCACTCGCTCGACCCCGAGACCATGAAGTGGTGAGTGAACACAGCCTGTCCGGCCGGACTGGCTGTGAGATGATGTGGTAGCCCTAGAAGCCTTCGTCAAGTCCCGCCCGAGCAGCATGTGTGGAGGATAGCGCGTAAATTTAAAACTGCTGTCATTCTGCGTATGTATATTTCAGAATGGCTCACATTATCACTGGAATTACATATGATAACCTTGCAATGACATGTCTACCCCAGATACGTTACCTTATGTTCATTGTCTGGCCCATTCCCTGCCTCAATTGACGTCCCGCTGACTCCGCCTCCTCCCTCCCGTCCCCAGGAAGCGCCTGTCGCCGGTGGACTCGTCGCGTTTCCTCCACTCGGCCGTCTACCTGGACGGCCTGGTGCTGGTGTTCGGTGGCAACACGCACAACGACACGTCGTACAGCCAGGGCGCGCGCTGCTACAGCCAGTCGTTCCTGGCGTACGACCCGGCCTGCGACCGGTGGCACACGCTCCGGCCGCCCGCACACTTCCCGCACGACCTGTCCCGGTACGGACACGCGTCGGTCACCTACGCCGAGAGCATGTACGTGGTGGGCGGCTACAACGGGCGCACGTTCAGCGACGTCATCCGATTCACGCCCGGCCAGTGCCGCGGCTACAGCAGCAAAAAGTCCTGCCTGGGGGCCACCAGCGCCACCATCGGCGTCAAGTGCACCTGGAACAGGAAGACACGGACCTGTGAGCCCTTCTCACAAGCCAGCTCAAAAGTGAGAGGCGGGCGGAGAGACGGAGGGAGGGCGTGGGTGGGTTGATCAGGCGTGCACTGGCTTTGAGGGGCTGAGCGTTCTCTGTGCCATAGAACACGCGTTTCGGGTTTCACCACGTTTGGATTGATTGCTCAAAGATTTGCCATTGCGTAGTATTGTTTTTTTTTTAAGAAAAAAGTACACCCAGGTGTCTCATACAGCTGGGCAGAAAGTCCTGCGATGTTCAGGTGCATATTCGCAAACTCGTGTCTGCACGTACCAGTACCGACGATGCGTGGCCCTTACCTCTCCTCTTTGACTCCACCATCCCCAGACGCACGACATCTGTCTGGACGATGGCGAGGAGGAGGACGCGGGCGGCCCGTCGCCGGCCGAGTGGTGCGCCGAGATCACCTCCTGTCCGACCTGTATCCACTCGCGGCACGACTGCGTCTGGTGCGGCAGCAGCTGCGCGCACCAAAAGTGCAAGGGAATCGTCAAGGTGGGTGCATGGCGTTTTGGAAGCATTATGTATAGTTAGGTCTGCGCCTAGTTATTGCAAAAGAAAAGTTTAGAAATGGCGAAGATCCGACCCTTTCGTCTCTTAACCCTCGCCGGACCTATTGGTTTTCTACATACGCGCCGGCCGAGGGGGGGGGGGCGGGTACGACCCCCCCCCCCCTCGCCGTTTCGCCCCTGGTGGAGCTAGCGCGTCGCGGAAAAAACGAGCGTGTGCGCCGTTATGAGACGCAGAGATTGGTACCCGATTTTAAGGTCCTAGGTCAACCGGTGACCTCTGAGGTCAGGTCAAGTGCCCCAAGGTACGGTTCAGTTTTTGGTGAATAACTTCGCAAAAAACGGCCGCAGAGCGCCGATTTTGGCAGCATCGTGTTTGTCTCGCTCAGGCGCGTCGAATGATATACTTTTTGTCCGGGTCAGGTCAACTTGGGGTGTTGACCTCAGGTCAAGGTCAGGTCAGCACCCCCAGGTCACGAAGTTGGTCGAAAGAGGTCATGTCGCATATCATTCGATTCGGCAGGTCTTCCTGAGTCCATTGGTGGCTTTCCCGACTCGCTAGCTCAATTTGATCAAGAGTTATTGACGAAAAACTAATATGACCTTGATGACGTCATAAATGACGTCACGCAAGGTCAACATTGCAAAAGTGACGCATCTAACCTTGCAAGGAGTGCATAAAATCACGATTCTGTGCGCTTGAGATAGTTGGAGATCGTTCCCGGCGCCAGAATAGCAGTTTTCATTTTTCCCCATTGACTTATAATGGTGAGGTCACGAAAATGACCTGACCTCATATGACCTTTAGGAAAAATCCGAGATATACAAGTTGTGGGACTCATAATGGATACTAGATCCTGCAAGTTTCATTTCCCTGTGACATCTCCTCTGGCAGTGAGGGCGTTGCGAAGTTGCGACATCTGAAGACCGTGCAGAGGTTCACTTATGACGTCATAGGTCAGTGACCTGACCTGACCCAAAAATGCGGTTGGTGTCAAAAGATGCGGCTTGGATCAAAGGTCAGGTATGCCAAGTTTCAGCTCTCTATCGCCAGCGTGTTCGGAGCTATCGCGAAAAAACCCTATGGGGGGGGGCGGCACCCGCCCCCCCCCCTCGGCCGGCGAGGGTTAAACTCTCATTTGTGTCTCTGCAGCTATTTTTATAAGGTCGCTTCCAGTCGTGTGCTGGGTCCACAAAGTAGGCACTGACCACCCTGCCTCCTGTGTCTGTCGGTATCCGCTTTGTGTATCATATGTGTCTCCCCGCCGTTGTTCTCAGCCGATCACGTCTGACGACCAGTGCCAGCCGAGCCACGCGTCCAACTGCAACCTGCTGCACAACTGCCACGCCTGCCACACAGAGTCCTACTGCAAGTGGGAGCACGATCACAAGTGCTACACATACATACAGACCAAAGGTGAGACGCACAGACCAAACCACGCCTGTCACACAGAGTCCTACTGCAAGTGGAAGCACGACCACAAGTGCTACACATACATTCAGACCAAGGGTAAGGACCAAATGTTACGCCTACGCAGAGGTCAAACCCACTGTACCGGGGCGTCGATGCGTCCAGAACAAGCTGTTTATGTGTAAAGCTCAGGTGCTCTCGCTCTTCTTGAGTCATTAATACAATTCTAGCAGACATTGCTCAGTTCGGGTGTTATTACATTATAGTTTTATCAATGCCACCAAAGTCTCGGCTGTTGTATAAATTTAGTCGCCTATCACTGCCCCTGTCCGCTATCTGCAGCCTCCCTGACCCCATGTCGTCTCTCTCGCCGCAGCCAACAAGACTCAGATGGCGAGTCAGATTCCGCAGGCGCCGTGCGGCCCGTCCTGCAGTGAGCGGACCACGTGTGCCAACTGCACGGCCGCCAGCTGCATGTGGTGCATCAACAAAATGAGGTCAGCCACGATTACTCGGACGGCGGACGCTACTCTGAGAGCCATGAGCTGTGGAGTGTGGTATAAAAATGCTCGGAGCAGTTTAACGCAGTACATTTTTTAGTTTGACATTTACATCGGAACGAAAGAAGTATCAATTTGTTAAAAGGTATGGGTTGCTAATTTGTGAATTTGTATTCTCTCGCTTCCCTCCCTCCTCCCCTCGATTGTTTGTGCATTGTAAGCTGTAACTGCATTGCAAGTCTAGTAACTGCACCTGCCATTTGTCCCTCCACGCCCCCCTACAATCCGCCCTAACCTGGCCCGGCCTCTACCGCAGGTGTGTGGAGAACAACGCGTACGTGGCCTCGTTTCCGTACGGCCAGTGCATGGAGTGGACCACGCAGAAGCCAAAGTGTGACGCCATCCCGCCGGGTGAGTGACGTCAGCATCACCGACCGGTCAATTGTGTCATCTATCCCGGGATATTGGTTCCAGCTCATCTTGATGTTGTTTGCCTATGTCGAAACCGTGCTGTTTTGCTGACCGTGCTGGCTTTTCCCTAAGGCTGATTTTTCGAACGATTCCCCATGATATCGCTTCCCTGACGACTGGCCTAGGTTTATGTGCTGACCTGCCCTGACCGCGCTCCCCGCAGGCGGTTTCTCGTGTAACGCGCACAAGACGTGCGAACGGTGTCAGGAGGACCCGGGCTGCGGCTGGTGTGATAACGGCTCCGGCACCGGTGTCGGCACCTGTCTGAGAGGCGGGTTCGCCGGCCCGACCAACGCCACCTGCCCCAAGAAACGCTGGAACTTCCTCAGCTGTCCGCGTGAGTGGGACCGCAGGGAGTGAGGAGGGGAGTTTGGGAGTGAGACACGGGAGGGAGGAGTGGAGTTAGGGAGCTGGGAGGGACGTGAGGCGATACGGGGGATGTAGAGTTATGCTAGCAGGAGACTGAGTTTAAGGAGTTGAGACCAGATTAGGCTGATTTGAGTTGCAGTTGGCGTATGCGGCTCGTAACTCAATCAGTGATGAATGCTGGGCTCTGATTCGGCCGGGCAGATTGTTTGTGAAGTCTATTTGTACTCTGGGTCGATGTCTGCGCCGGCAGCTGCCAGTCGACGTTTGCGTCCGGTGAGCTCATTAAAATTTCACCGGCCGTATCGATAGTTAGGCTGCTGAGTGGTGGCCGCAGCGCATTGGCAGAGCCGGACCCGAGGCTGTTTAGGATGGATGTAGGGACGTCACGGTGAAATGCTGGGCAACGAAAAAGGCGTCCAGCTAATGGATCGCGGTGTGCTGGCAATAAAGCTGCTGGTGGCAATTCCGCTGCCAAAATGTTTTCCAGAGGCGCGGTGTTTCTTTCCTGCCAATCCTACCATTATTTTGTACCACTGCCACTGCCATTGCTGTGTTGTGACGCTCTCTGTGTTGTTCCAACCGCAGCGTGCCAGTGTAACGGTCACAGCACGTGTTACGTGGGTAACAGCACGTGCATGCCGTGCGGCGACCTGACGGCCGGCGAGCACTGTCACATCTGCCAGCAGGGCTTCTTCGGCGACCCCGTCAACGGCGGCTCCTGTCAGCGTGAGTACACGACCCCACCAACGGCCCTGACCCCGACCCGACCCCGTCAACGGCGGCTCCTGTCAGCGTGAGTACACGACCCCACCAACGGCGTGACCCCGACCCGACCCCGTCAACGGCGGCTCCTGCCAGCGTGAGTACACGACCCCACCAACGGCCCTGACCCCGACCCGACCCCGTCAACGGCGGCTCCTGTCAGCGTGAGTACACGACCCCACCAACGGCCCTGACCCCGACCCACCAACGGCCCTGACCCCGACCCGACCCCGTCAACGGCGGCTCCTGTCAGCGTAAGTACACGTACCTCCCAACCAAATAGCAAGGGTACACATGGGTGACAGGGCCCATGCGGCTTTCTTGCGTGCTTTATTTGACCTCGTGACGTGTTGGTTGCAGAACCACCTATTATTTTATGTTACTTTATGTTGCGTTATTTTATCTTGGGATTCATCTCATGTTATCACTGATCGCTAAATGGGCTCAAGTTCATGTACTTTGCGGTACCCCTGTCCTGAAGTGTCCCTTGTTCGTTATGAACCGCCGTTGTCCCAAGGACCCTCGTTTCGTCTCGGCTGGATGTATCGAACTCACCGCCTCTACTGCCCCTCCCCCGGCAGCGTGCGACTGCAACAACCACGGCACCGACTGCCACCCGGAGACGGGCAAGTGTTACTGCAACACCAAGGGCATCGTGGGCGACCGCTGCGATCGGTGTGACAAGCACAACAAGTTCCTCGGCGACCCGGCCAACGGCGAGGACTGCTTCTGTGAGTGGAAATCGGTCAGAGCGGGGCAGGGTTCCTCGGCGACCCGGCCAATGGCGAGGACTGCTTCTGTGAGCTACGACCCGGGGAGGGGGGAGGATTCCTCGGCGACCCGGCCAATGGCGAGGACTGCTTCTGTGAGTGGCGACCCGGGAGGGAGGGACTAAGTGTTTGGTCAGGGATGACAATATCACACATTATTGTCACGTTGGACGCTGGAAAACGCCGCACACAGGCGAGGGTTATGACACGTGAAGCTTGGTAGGTGTGTCTCCGGGAAGTGGGATTCTTTGTCCAACTTAAAACATCATTATCACGTTCATTGCTTCCATGAGTAGTAGCCACGTCAAAACGTTCATGTGTCCTGTTCAAATGATATGTGTGATTTTTCCGCATCACTGACTCCATCTGTCGACCATCCACAGATAATTTAGCGCTGGACTTTCAATTCACGTTCAACATGACGAAGCCGGAGGACCTGCACTTTAAGCGGATCAACTTCATGAACCGTCCGATCAGGGACGACCTGAACACCGACTTCCGAATCACGTGCTCGGAGCCGGCCAAAATCAACATCACCGTCAAAACGGGTCAGTAATCCATCATTGCCGTCAAAACGGGTCAGTGACCCCGTCAAAACGGGTGGGTGCCAATGCGGAAGAGCCGCTGTGGACAGGAATGACTAGTGTGCGGTTATTGGAAGGTCTTGTCGAGCAGGCAGCGGAAATACTTGGGGCAAGCTCGGCATCTTGTATCACGTCCTTCTGTCATGCCACTTTTTTAATTATTTTGAGTCGCTTTCTGCCTACGGGCAAATGATAGCATCCCAATGGGATGCTATCAACTCACATCCCATGCGGCCAACATATCTAGCGTCCCCCGCTTCTCGTTATCAGTGTCGAATTTCATCTCACTCTCCTGCCCGCGGTGTTGAGTCTGACGTCACTCCCCTCCCCGCAGTGCTGGACCCGGAGCGGGTGATCCTCTCCGACTTCAACTGCACAGAGTACGAGCACACGTTCGCCCAGTCCGAGTACAACTTTGACGCGGCGCACAACACCACCTTCTACGTGTACGTGTACGAGCTGCGGCCGCCGCTCTTCGTCCAGGTGGCCTTCTCGCAGCACCCGCGCCTCAACCTCAGACAGTTCTTCATCACATTCTCCACGTGAGTTTGATAGGAGATATGGGATGGTACTCGTGTCGAGAAGATTTAACCTTGACTCTGGCCGCATCGGAGTTCGCTGGCCGGTTAGCTCAGTTGGTTAGAGCGTCGTGCTAATAACGCGAATGTCGTGGGTTCGACCCCCACACTGGCCACTCCTTTTCGTTCGTTTCGTGGGTCCCCTCTCCCCAGTCCCCATACACGCGCTGACACTGGTTAGTTGAAATAGTGTTTTTCCAGCTTAACTCACCTGATAACATTTATATGACACGTATTGAAATAATTGGTGAGTCTTTAGTCTCAAATCACCACCGAGGATTGCGGAAGATTTTTCAAACTTTCAGGGTTTGGGCCAGTTGGGTACGAAATATGCGAAAGCTCTTCTCTTGAATGCGTCTTCTATTCCAGATGTTTTCTTCTGCTGTTGGTGATAGCCGCGCTGTTGTGGAAAATAAAGCAGAAGTACGATAACTACAGGCGTCGCCAGGTAAGCCGCTATCTTCCATTTATTGCAGCTCCTTTCACTTCTCCCCCGCTGCCGCCTGTCCCCCCACTTATTCTCCCATTAGGTGTGCCACCGCGCTCCTCTGACCTGCCGTGCCGGTGGTGGGCCGGTCGGCCGTCCCACGGGACCACTTACCTGGTCAGTGCGTGGCTAATGCGTCCCCGTCGGTGGCCGGTAACACCAGCCACCGCGGGGGGCTTGCTGAGTCGGTGGGGGAGTCGCGGCTACAGCTGAGGGAAAGTGTCTGTAATGAATACAGTGTGTTAAACCATCACCAAGAAATTAAAGTAATCGGCGTCATGTACATTTTTTATTCTCCGAGCACATTATCTCGCATAAAACACACATTTGAAAAATACATTCCTCGCGCCGAACTCGTGGAATTTTCTAACGATCCCTCAATTTCACGACATTACTCGTGTCGTGGAATTTCCCAACGATCTCTCAATTTCACGACATTACCCCCTCTCGAGTGTGCGGCGCGCAACACCTAGTTACAGGCCCCTATCTAACAGATCATAGGTAGACATGAATGCTCATTACACATGGATACACAATCTTGTTCGACATGGGCATACACAAGTTATATGACACGTTCACATCCTACAGCTTAAAGTCGAACACTGGCTTTGTAAATTTTACGTGCGTACGGTGCAGCCTTCCAGTTGTTCCATCCATATATTCAACGTGACGACGTCCAACCATCCCCACTACAGTGTGTGTGCGCGACCACGGATGCTCCATCTTAAGAGCAACCCCAGCCTGGTGCTTGAAGTTACGCACACGTATGCGATCCCCGGCCTTATACAGCAAGTCTTTTGCTTGATTACGACGATCATATGCGGCTTTGTCAGCTGCGGCGGAAATACGCCGCTGCTCCTGAGCCTGCCGCAGATCTTGGGATAGCGTGCGCAGCTTTTGATGGACAAAGTTATCCGAATACATAGGGACGGATTCATCCACCAGCCGAGATAGCGGAGCGGTAGGATGGCGCCAAAAGTACAGAAAATATGGCGAGTACCCCGTTGTCCTAGACACTTCGTTGTTCAGAGAGAATACGATCCCCGGCAAATGCACTTCCCAGTCTACGCCATGACTGTCTGACAGAGCGCGTAGTCGCCGTTTCATATCGAGATGCTTCCTTTCAACCTTTCCAATCGCCTCATGGTGATATCCTACTCCTGATACGTGTTTCACACCAAAGTACCGACAGAGCTCAGATATTTTTGAGCTTTTAAGGTTTTTACCCGCGTCAGTTTCCAATCTCCCTGGAGGGCCAAACACAAGGAAATGACTTTGGAGAGCGTTTGCAATGTGATCGGCTGAGCCTGACTGAAGTGGATAAAACGATAAGTACCCGGTGAATTTATCAACGCAAGTGAGGACGAGAGAAACGCCTGTCGTCCTGCTTTTGGGCATGTGTACGATATCCACGACCATCGCTTCGTTGGGAAGATAAGCTTCCTGCGGTATCAACGGCGGTGGCTGCGCACCCTTAGTGTCTTTGCGCTCGCTGCAGCGTTTGCAGCTCCTGACGTAAGCGCGACAATCGTCTTTTAATGCAGCGTACCAGGCATGTCGTGAAACTTTCTCAAACAGCTTGTCTACGCCGCAATGACCATGGTGCGATGGGTCGTGATTTTGGTACAGAAGCTCAAAACGCTTGGCAAATGGCCAGACAATCCGACCGGTTTCCGGTGTGCTGTCGTCGTACCGATACAAAATGCCATTCTTTAATCTGAATTTAGTTACATCATATCGCTTCAACGTTGGGCTGCAATGCCTTGGCCACTTTCCAAAGCGCAAATGATGGACAATTGCCCGACAGTCCCGATCGTGTTTTTGGTACCAAATCATTTCTTCGCGACTAAACGCTGGTTGAACGTGATCTGGCTCAATCAGGCTGACGCGGAGCTGATCCTGAGTTCCTGAAAGCGAGGGAGTGGCATTTTCTGACCGTGTTTGTGGCGGAACGGGGACCGTTTTACCGTCTCCTTCGGTAGCCACTGCCGTGCCGCTCGGGGCCATTTGGCTGGTCATCGACTTGTCCTTACTTTTCTCGGTCGCGGTTGGGCTGGATCGCCCCTGTGGCATGTTCTTATCCGGACACTCTGTGTCTGGTGGCATACCTGGTGCGCGCGACAGCATGTCAACGTGCTCCATAAAGTTTGCACGGCGGTGTTCGGGGCTATAGTGAAACTGACTGACGAACGATCGCCAGCGCATCAGTCGGGGGTTGACGCTGTCTTGATTGTTCAAAATCTGCAGAGCGCTTTTGCAGTCACATACCCACGTAAATTCCTGACCAGCCAAATATTTGTAAAATTTATTTAGACCTTGAATAAAACTGTAAACTTCTAATTCATAGATAGTCCACTTACGCTGGTGTTTGTTATATTTGCTGCCACTGAAAGCAATCACTCTTTCCACTCCATTTTGGATCTGACACAAAATTTGCCACTGCCGATCGTACTGCTATCAGTATACAGGATGAACCTGTCACTTACGTCTCTGCTAGGGTATGCTAGTACACGGTCAGAGAGCAGAGCCGCGCGTAAAGACTCAAATGAACGTGATAATTCTGGATTCCAATAAAATTTCTCAGAGTTCGCTAAGTTAACCAATGGAGCTGACAGATCAGCGAATCTTGGAATAAATTTCCGAAACCAAGAAAAAAATCCATATAATCTCTTGGCCTCTTTGACAGTGGATGGCGGTTGCATGGTCGAAATACATCTGAAACGATCAGGGTCTATTGAAATGCCCTCAGGAGTAACCAGGTGGCCCAGGTATGACAGCTTGTTCATCCCGATCTTACATTTTTCAGCCGAAAGCTTTAAACCTGCTTCGTTAAGTCTCTCGAATACTGTGTGCAGCAACCGATAATGTTCATCCATACTGGCGCTTGTTAAAAGCACGTCATCAGCGTAAATGAAAACTCCGGGTATGTCACCCAAAACGCGATGCATAACCCGATGCAAGAAAAAAGAAGACTGGGCACACCCCATTGGCATCCTCTGCGGGTAATATGTGTTGCCCATCGCGTAGAACGCACAGATCTGGCTGGAAGTTTCGGAGAGACGCAAATTCCAAAACGCGTGTCTAATATCCAGGGAGCTGGCCACTTTCCAACCTCCCAAACTATTGAGGAAATCATCAATACTCGGGAACACGAACTTTTTCGGGAGTAAGCATTTGTTTACCTGCCGCATGTCTTGGACTATGCGGTTTTCCCCATGTGACCCCGGTTTTGGGATCAAAACAACTGGGGAGTTCCAGTCAGCTGGCTCTCCTTCTGCTATTACACCGCACGCCTTTAGTTCATCAAGCTGCTCCTTTAGTTGTTGTTCTTTTGACCAAGGAATAGGATAAGGGCGCACAAATTGCGGTGACACCCCGGGTTTCAGCTCTAGGTCAATGGGGTCCCCCTTGTAGCACCCAATGTCAGAATATCCGTGGGAGAAAACACCGGGAAACGACTGGATCAAACCAGCTAACCTGTCCCGTTCTCGATACGTAACCGCCTCACCCATCATAAACCTGGCTAGGATTTCGTCCGTCGTCTGACCAAAGAATTGACGATCCTCGCTCGTGATGGCATTCACCTCACTGGGACCTGAGTCTGAACACCCAGGCTCAGCCGATTCATGACATTCAATTCTCTCCAAAAAGCCAATGACAGTCTTCCTCGGGAGAGTGATATGACGATCTGAACTATTTCTGATATAAAGAGGGATTTCTTGTGAAGAGAAAGGGCGTACTAAAGAGTCAGTAATCTCTAAGCTTTCCGAGTTAAGGCCAACCATAAGGTAAGTACAGTCTGTTGATAGCTGACTGTCTACTTTGACGCTTAAGCATACTGCGGATTTTGCGGGAACACTAACGGGTTTTGAAAGTCTGGTCTTAACCTGAAAGGAAGCATCTGCACAGTTCATGATAGCACCCTGACTACTAAGATAATCCCAGCCAATAATACATTCACGTGACAGGCCCTCTACCACCTGAAATTCGAATGCCGTTTCCTTAGTCTGGCCACTAGATGCCAGCATTTTTACGGGCAGGACACACTTTCCAAGCACATTCATATTATGCCCAGACGCTGATTTGAGATCGGCTGCACGTTTCAGTTCTGTTCGAGGGGCCAATGTTCTCAATACTTTAGAGTCTAACAAAGTCAGCTGACTTCCCGTATCCACTAAGCAGTCGTTTAGAATTGCCCCATTTATCATAACTTTCGTCACCGGCAGCGACATCAGGCCAGCGTTATGAGCCTGCCCGGCTATTCGTTTGGGCACTGAGACTTGCGGTGTCCCCAGCCCCTACAAGACCAACAGCGGATCATACCGTGAAAGCCGTCAGGTGGGTGTTCGTTGTTTGACCCTCCTCGGGGCGGTGTGCGCCTTCCCCAGGCGCCGGGAGGCCGCTGACCTCGCCAGCCACGGCCGCCCCGTCCAGGTGGCCATTGCTGCTGGTAGTAGTAACGGCCGCCCCGTCCGGGCTGCCATTGCTGCTGGTGATAGTCATCCCAGCCAGGCTGCCATTGCTGTCGGTGGTAGTCGTTCCGTTCTGGTTCAGATGGTGAAGGGCTGCGTCCGCGAGCTCTGTTTGGACTCCGACGGCTGCCCGGCCACCTATGTGAGTGATCACTCTCGTAAGGCGGCGAAGGACTACGTCTGTGCCGCCAGGGCGGGGAGGGCGAGCCACTTTGCCGGTGCCGCTCCTGCTGCTTCTGTAGGTGACTGTGTGGGCCAACCCCGTCCGGAGATTGGTGCCTGATCTTACTTTGGCTCTGGATCACGGGCTGGGTCTGGGCTGCATCGTCGCTGTACGGTGAAGAACTGCGACTGATCGGATTGGCCCATTGAACCGATCTTGGGGCTGTGCGCACTGAAGAAGATTCATGCGCTGTCTGCACAGACTCTTGTAGTGACTCCTCGCGCGATAACTCAGCTATTGCTTCCTCGAACGTAGTGACTTTAAGACGCGACAAGAGGGTGATGTCGTGTTGGTCTAGGCCGGCCACAAAATGCCGGTACAATGTGGCACTATAGGCCGGCTTGCATATGTTCTTGACCTGGCCGTTAGTGCAGAAAAAATCGGGGCATGCCTGTCGCACCAAGCGCCGCACTGATATGCCATAGTCACGAGCGCGTTCTTGTGGTTGCTTCCGGAGCTGTGAGAGTTTCATAGCAGCTTGTGTTGTGGAAGTTTGGTCCGAAAAATGACTCATGAGTTCCGCACACAATGAAGTAAATGTTAGGCCACCGTTCAAACTTTCTGTCTCATTGACGACACGCAGAGCCTCACCGGAGCAGCGTGTAGCGACGATCATGCCCAACTTGTCTGAAGTGAACCCACCCAGGTCGCCGAGACGCTTGCATTGAGCGAGGAAGTCGCCTGGCCTTGAAAAGCCGTCATAAGTCGGAAAATCCGCCACTGAAACTTTTGGCGAAGGCGCCGAGACAGCTCCTTCTTCGTCCATGATTCGTAATTCTGGATATAAAACTAACTCCACACCGCTGCCACCATGTTAAACCATCACCAAGAAATTAAAGTAATCGGCGTCATGTACATTTTTTATTCTCCGAGCACATTATCTCGCATAAAACACACATTTGAAAAATACATTCCTCGCGCCGAACTCGTGGAATTTTCTAACGATCCCTCAATTTCACGACATTACTCGTGTCGTGGAATTTCCCAACGATCTCTCAATTTCACGACACAGTGGGAATGCTTTGATGGCTGGTTGAATGCAACTATTGTAGAACGCTATGAGTGTGGCCAGAAGTGTAGTGTTTCTAACCAGATATTTATGCACCCATCTCCCGTCATCGGTCACCCATGCGGCGCGGTGCCCTGCTAGGTGCCTTTTCTCCGCCGTGCACCTCTCCCGTAAACTATGCTCAGCACTGACCTTATCTGACCGTTTGTCTGTCTGTCTGCACAGCGCCTGTTTGTTGAGATGGAGCAGATGGCCAGCCGGCCGTACGCCCAGGTTCTGACCGTTTGTCTGTCTGTCTGTCTGCACAGCGTCTGTTTGTCGAGATGGAGCAGATGGCCAGCCGGCCGTACGCCCAGGTTCTGACCGTTTGTCTGTCTGTCTGCACAGCGTCTGTTTGTCGAGATGGAGCAGATGGCCAGCCGGCCGTACGCCCAGGTTCTGCTGGAGCTCAGCCGGCGGGTGCCGCCCAGCACGGCGCCGCAGCCGGCCGTCCGACGGAGGCACAGGGTAAGACAGGCACGGAACCCCACACCAAACCCAACACCACCCTCTCCCAGCCGGCCGTCCGGCGAAGGCACAGGGTAAGACAGACACGGAACCCCACCCCAAACCCAACACCACCCTCTCCCAGCCGGCCGTCCGGCGAAGGCACAGGGTAAGACAGACACGGAACCCCACCCCAAACCCAACACCACCCTCTCCCAGCCGGCCGGCCGGCGAAGGCACAGGGTAAGACAGGCACGGAACCCCACCCCCTACCCCAGCACGGCGCCGCAGCCGGCCGTCCGGCGGAGGCGCAGGGTAAGCCGCGCTCCATACAGACCGACGCCCCTTCCATAGAGACACAGGGTAAGGCAGGCTCGGAATCCTACCCTCACACCGCCGTCCCTCACCCAATCCCATCGGCTGGCTTGTAGAGACACATGGTTAGGCGGGCTCTCCAAAGAGCCTCCCCCGCCGAACAGTTCCTGACGGCGACACAGGGTAATTCGGGCTCCTGTTAGTCCTGGACTTCTCCCACCCATTCCAGTGACCCAGCCGGTCTGGGCTTACCTTAGGTGGCCTAATATACTCCCTCCCTAATTTCGCCTCATTGTCTCAGATTGTCATCCATTGTATCAGACCTGCTGCATGCTGTGATTACATTTCCGGGACTCTCCCAAACCCGACCTTCATTGAGGCGCCTTCTGTCGCTAAATGGCAGTCTCTGCCGCTGCCGAGCTGCCCGAACGACTGTCCAATTTAGTGGCCGCGTCCCCGGCCCGCCCCGTGAATAGCCGCGCCCCGGCCCGCTGTCAAATTAGTGTCGGCCGGCCGAGTCGCATCAGTCTCCGGAGCGGCGGCCGGCCGGCCGGACGACGGGTATTGGGTACAGTCCGGCGGCGGCGGGGCTGATACCGGCCCGGGAGACAGTGTGCTGGGCGTCCGGATAACCGCGGACGGCAGAGCGTGGCGCGGGGTGACGTCAGACCGGGACACGGGGTGACGTCGGAGTGGGGCGCGGGATGATGATAAAGCATGCCTAGGGTGGGTCTGGTGGCTGTTCAGTGCCCAGTCATGCCTTCATTTCGCAGTGTTCCGCCCGGCTATGCCACTGATGTTGACTGTGCTCGTCACCGGATTTTTACACTGACCTGTGCGAACTGTATTGTCCTGAACTGACCCGTGCCGACCTCCGTTCCCAGCCGGTGCAGTGACCGATAGGACTGCAGCAGTGACCTTTACCGACCTCTGTTGACCTGTGTCCCTCCAGGCGGAGCCGCGTCCCATAGTGCTGGAGCAGCGACCTTTACTGACCTGTACTGACCTGTACTGACCCGTGCGGACCTCTGCGTACAGCCGGTGCCGTGTCCCATAGTGCTGGAGCAGTGACTCGTATAACTGACCTCTGATGACCTCTGCGTCCCAGCCGGTGCCGTGTCCCATAGTGCTGGAGCAGTGCGCCGGCAACCGGGCGGCGCTCATCACGGTGGTCATAGAGGGCCCCACCGGCGGCCACCAGTTCGCGCCCGCCGGAGTGTCGGGTCAGTGGCTGTAGAGAGGGAGGGGGTCAGATTGTTCTGGTAGGCGGGGTACAGGGCAGTGTGGATATGTTAAGCAGCAGACACTTCAATGAGTAGTTGTTTACTCCTGTGGCATTTTTTGGATTAATTTACTTCAACTTGAAGTCGTATTGAGTAAAGTGATCATTCTTCTCTTCTTTTAGTTTGCCTTTGTTCTTGCCAAGCTGGTGCTGTTGAGTTTCAGTGGCAGATGCCAACTGTAAGGTCGGTGTATTAGCAGAAGTGCCCACTTTGTCTCCCTGTCAACCCCTGCTCTCTGTACGCCTCTCGCCCCCACTGACCTCTGAGTTCTGACCGCCCCCCCCCCCCCCCCCCGGTCAGGTATTAACGTGGGCACGGCCCTGGTGGCGGACGGCTCGAGCCGGAAGGACAGCGTCGACCGCTCGCACAAGGCCGACAGCCGCAAGGCGCTGAAGACGACGCTAACGCCCGGCTCGGACGTGTGTGTGTAGTCGGCTGGACAGCCCGGTGAGCCGGACGTGTGAGAGGCGCCGCCCGCCGCGCCACGGCGCACGGCGCCCCGTATATGTGATAACGTAGTCAATACACGTACTGAATGCTTTATATTTTAGAGATGATGCGCCCGTGCCGGCGCGCGTGTATGGCGTCGGCTGGGCGCTCGTGTGTTGCGCGTGGCTCGTTGTTTTGTTCTCATTGTGACGCGGCGCGGCCAATGGACAATGGTGTGCCGCCCCGGCGCCTGATTGACCCGCAGATGACGTCACACACGCGCGCGCGTGACGTCACTTGTGTCCGCGGTGGTCCCCGCTCTCTCTGTCGTAGGAGCGGGCCGGCCGGCCGGCGGGCGTCTCGTTTTGATGGTATTTGCCTGAGGTTTTGTTGTGCCCACTCATTGCGTATTGACAGAACACCGTCGCGTATTTATTGCCATTCCTGTTAGCGGCTCATCCGTGTACGCTCACTAATGGTAATGGAATTAAGGCCTATATTTCAATATAAAAACCTATCCACGCCGAGGTGTTTTGGTCTGCGCTTAACCAGGACACGATGTCTGGAGTGGAAAGGGGACTTTAAATGCTCTGGATGGACGCAACAGGCTATCGCATTGGTGGAATGTCAACTCTGCCTGCCTCCAGACTTCAGGGTTAAGGGTTCGATCCTTCAACGTTTTCAGACTTTATAGGTGATCCGGTAGTCATAACTTCAAAGTGTTATGAAGAATACTGGGCTCTGTATCGGTAAAAGATTCTATATTTACACATTAGCTTGTCTCCTCGTCAAACCCTAACCCTCGCCCGCACATGCCATTTTCCCATCCTAGAACGCACATGGGGGGGGGGGGTTGCCACCCCCCCCCCCCGCGCCATTTCGTTCCTGTTGGAGATAGAGCTTAGCAGTAAAGACCAAAAAGATTCTTTGGGAAGAGACGAATCCAATGATACCCAGTTTTACCTTCTCAGGTCAGTCATTGACCTTCCAGGTCAGGTCAAACTAAAAAATGTTGCTGTTTTGGGTCACCGTTGGATATCAAGTGCGCTGCTTATCAAATACCGATGACGATGCTGTTTTCTGGTGCCAAGCCACCTAGAACCTCTTTGTCACACTACCCGACCAGAGTTTTGCTGCTGAGGTCATTTCAGGTCAAGTTAGGTCAAGGTCAATTATATGTGTTTGTATGTCTGTGTGTGTCTGTGTGTATACTGATGTGTGCACCGATGGTTTTTGGGTCCATATTACATGAAATCATGATCTGAGAAGCTTTTACCAAAAATGCAGTCAAAAAACTTCACAAAAAGTAAATTCAGCTAGCCTAAAACGCAATTATCTTAGATGACCTAGGTTGACCTTGACCCTGACCTTGACCCCTGTACATCGTCGAACAACATGTTCGATGATAGGTGGGAGGTACAGGGTGGGCCGAAATAAAGTACCTTCAGTTTTCTTTCGATAACATGTATATTTACAATGGTACAATGGTAAACCAGGTATATTTCGAATTACAATGAAATGGCAAAACTCACTGCGCACTATTGTCCGCATCTGTCAGCCGCTCACACCTCACAGGATGTGCTCCAGGTGGGCACCGCGGCGCTGCTTCACCAGCGGCAGACGAACTTCCTTGAGATGGATGATGGCCTTGTCGACCATGTCAGCGGGGATACGGTCCACCTCCTGGACTATGGCGGTCTTGAGCTCGTGAGTGGTTGCCGGTCTTCCCGCATATACCCGGTCCTTAAGATATCCCCACATGAAAAAGTCCAGGGGACTCAGGTCAGGAGAGTGAGGGGCCCATGGAACGGCCGACTTCAGGCTGATGTGTCGATCCGGGAAGTGACTTCGAACCCAATCCATCGATGCGCAAGCAGTGTGGGGTGTGGCACCATCCTGCTGGAACCACTCTTGGTTACGCCTGAGTGGCCTCTCCCCGAGTTCTCTCCAGAACGGCTCCAGCGCTGTGCTGACATAGCGAGCAGAGTTGATCGTTGTCGCCACTTCGTTTTCATTTTCAAAGAAGAAGGGACCGATAGTTCCCCCGCCGTGCCGCATCGCCAACCACGCCGTAACCTTCTCGCAGTGAAGAGGCCTGCAGAGGACCTCATCTGGTGGTTCCTTGCCCCAGTGCACAGCATTGTGGGTGTTGACATATCCGTTCAGCCAGAAGTGAGCCTCGTCACTGAACCACAGCTTGCTGAACACACGTGGGTTGTGTTCGAACCACTCGGCCATGGCGACCCGACGCTCCCTGTCGCATGATGATAGCTTCTGATGTATTGAAAGCCGGTACGGGTACAGTCCAAGATCTTCTTTCATGATTCTCCGCAGAGTTGTCCTGCTGATATTCAGTGCCTGAGAGCGACGCCGAGTGGATCTTTTTGGGCTCTGAAGGGTAGAGGCGGATACCCGTTGAATGTTGGCCTCAGATCTGACCGTGCGACCTCTCCCGGGCGGCTTGGTTTTTACCACCGTTCCGAAATTTCGAAACTTAGCTACCCACTTCTGGATAGACTTGTTCCCCGGTGCAAGGTCGAGCCTCCGATGGTCCAGACCGAACTTCTTTAGATACTGCCGCCTGGTCTCATCAAGAGAGTTCGTCAAGACATAAGTCTCAACGCAAAACGATTTTTGTGTGTCGGACCACATTTTTCAAGTGAAGTTTTCTGATAATCTATCTTGCCATATGGTTTGCAGTCGGCATGCGAAAAATCACAAATGCAGCACGTGCGCTTGAAAAGCACGAGACAAAAATTTCAAGGTACTTTATTTCGGCCCACCCTGTAAGTACTGGCAATGTAAGACTGGCAAAAAAGGCCGAAATCAGGGTGTCAAAAGCTCACAAGGCCCATGGCAAACGCAAGATGTTGAGAATTGGCCATTTGGGTCATGACATGACCTAAAAAACAAGGTCATATCTCCGAAACCAAAAATCACAGAAACTTCAAATTTTCAGTGGACATCAAGAAAGGATAGAGGAGCAGCTATACGAAAAATCAGCCCTCTAGCTCTAAAAATGTTGAGTGCAGAGCAGAAAGACTACCTGGGGGGGGGGTGGCAACCACCCCCCCCCCCCCATGTGCGGGCGAGGGCTAATGCCGATCCGTGCCCCGTCGATGTGCGCCCGGTGGCAGTACCGATTACGCACCGTCTGTCGAGTCGATACTGCCGGAGACCGGTCTGACTCATACCCGGTCCGACGGGCGGCGTCCCGTCCCGACCGGTGCACTATTGACGATACCGCTTGGTCGATACACCAATTGAAGGTCGCTACTTGACGGCAACGGTGCCTCCGATACAGCTCGTACTGAAAAAGGAAACGGGAACGGTAATACGACGCCGTTTGTGAAGCATTCCACAAGTCCTAAGCCGTTCTTCCATCTTTCTTGGCGATACCGTACGTTTAACGATAACGATAACGATAACACGCTGACTTCTCAACCGGTAATTGGGTAAACGGTCGTAACTATCGACCCAGGTAGTGTTTACCTTCGCCCAGCCCCAGTGCCGCTACCAGTTTAGGTCTGCAAAAGGTGATGAGCCTCTGACGGCAGTGACCTGCCACTCTCGATTTTCAGTGGGTCGGGTCGAAGAGTAGCAGATGTGTAATCGAACAAATGGTATCTGGTTCGGGAGCTGTTAGCGGTGTTACACAGCACTGGGTACATATCCGGCACTCTGGCTGTGTTAGGTTGCGCCAGCGGCGGAGGCTCGGAGAACGAACAACCACTTTGGTGTGGAGTATTTGCCGAGTAGTCAACGGCGAACTTCACCAGCACGGCGCCTAACAAGCAAGAGTGGAGCAGCCGTATCCAGTGCAGAGGGTAGTGACTTATAACGGATCCGAGCTACTTTGCAACAGTCTGTTCCGACTCGACTCCTTTTCTTTGAAAAATTATGGATCGCCCATGAGGATGAATCCCGTGAATAGTTAGCATGACCCAATCATCAAATAACCCATCTAAAGATCTGTATGAAAAAACTCGAGTTTTCAATGTGCTATTTATACATTTTAATATCAAATTCATACGATTGCGCTCATACAAGCAATCATAATGAAACTATTTCAATAAAGGCAACTGCACTTTTTTACCATCGTGCCTTCGATCTTGGTAATAACAGGTACATGTGGGCAGCCTTATTAGTTGCAAGGCACTCCCCCTGATCGCTTATTTTTACTTATGGCGTATACCTATGTATGCAGCTGGATCGCTCTTGTGAAAATACTCCTGAATTTCAACCGTAATGAGCCCATGAATAAACTATTTTGTTATATGTGCTTGATTTCATTGACATATGAGATCTCGGATATCCACGCTTTGGTTCTGCAGATAGCTATGCGTCACAAGAAGACAACCTTGTCTTGCGGTACAGTCTACCACTTCAGGCAGCACTACTAGCGACATCTGTCGAATGAATGCGTAACTAACGCCCGCCTTTACCTGTGCTTCTGCGATCAGAGACCGCCATTCACCACAGAAAGACAGCTTTGTCATGCGGTACGGTCTACCACTTCAGGCAGTACTGCTAGCGACATCTATTGACTAAATATGTAAGGTAACACTTTCTGCGAAACTGCGAACAGTGCCATGATTTTCCATGACCGCCATGAGTCACAAGAAGATAGTTCTGCCTTGCGGTACAGTCTACCACTTCAGGCAGTCCACTCCTTATGGCGACATCTATTGGCTAAATATATAACTATCTCTCGCTTTCGCCCGTGAAACAAGTTATACACTGTAAACGTCACCTTTTGGAGTACCTCAACAGGAACAATACCATTAAACCACTTCTATCCCACTGGATGGACGAGGTTGACGGCGCCGCCTGCGGTCAGGAATGCCCTCACACGGACAAATCGCGGCCGGCTCCGTCACGCACCCGGACAGAAAATGGGCACGCGATCTTCCCGTCAGTTCCGCGGCCCTTCCCCCAGTCCTCCTCCAAACACCAAACGGAAAACGGGTGACGGTCAGATAACCTGTTCTGCTGCCGCTTTTATTTCTGTTCTGGATTATCGTTAAAGTTAACCCGCGCCCTGGTGGGGTCTGTTTATAACGCGACCTGGTGGGGGGGGGGCTATTTTTTGCCCCCCCCCCTCGTATCTCCGAAACTACTGGACGGATCCGCAAAATTCAAACGGCGTTCGAAAGGCCTGTCAAATTTGTCGAGGAAAACCAAATTTCATTGACCTCGGGGTCACCGATGACGTCACAGGTCAGGTCAAAGATGAAATGTTTCACCGTTCACGGGTCTTCTAGGGAATGCGCTATAACACCGAGGAAAACGCATTTTGTCGAGAATCAGCGATAGGGCGTCAGTTGCCTAGTAGATATATTACTATTAGAGGTCACTGACAATACCAGGTCAGGTCACAGGTCAGGTCACCAAGGGTCACAGGTCAGGTCACATGAGCCACACTTTACTAAGGTTGTGTGATGCATGTTTTATGGCCAATTTTTCATTTCCAACTCAATGGTATTGGTTATAAGACTATCAGGTACGGCTTAGGTCACTTTCTGGTGAAGTTCAGGTCAAGGTCAGGTCAAGGTCAGGCCAAAAAAGGTCAAATTTTAAAATTGATAGTTTTGCATAAAATGGGTATTGATTCGATGCAGCTCGTCACGGGGAGTCTAATGGTGGTCTTTGTTTTGCGCTACGGGGTCTAGAATTGCTAAAAATTGAGTTTGAAAATTTGACGTCATCAATTTTGAACAGTTTTTTCGCTATAACTTCGCCAAAAAAAGAGGTATCGATCTCAAATTTGGTATGTGGATGGAAGGAGGTAAGGACTATCACATATATTCCGGTTTTTGCGAAATTCAAAAAACTTTTTGGATTTTTCGATTATTATATGCAAAAAATTTATTTTTTGATTTTTGGGGGTCAAAATCCAAAAATTTCAAAAATCCGAGATAGCAGTTTTGTAGCCCTGTTGATTCTACAGCTTTTATGTCTTTATCATTTTTCTGTATTTGCAAAGCTATAGGCCTGACAGCTCTTCCCGCGAAACCCTTTTTTGGGTCGAAAACGGCAGAACATGACGTCACTCTGACGTCATTTCCGGCCAACCTATCATAGCCTTTGGAAAAATTTTTGGTCACAATGTGTAAAATTGATGTCCGGGAGGGTACTGAAAGTTTGGTGACGATCGGCGCAGCGGTTCTGGAGATATATCAAAAAGTCTGGAGGGGGGGCAAAAAATAGCCCCCCCCCCACCAGGGCGCGGGTTAAATATACCTACTTACCTAAGCCAGTAAACAAGCCGGAGTAGGTCTATCACTTGACTTTTTTCAGTTGAGTAAGTATGGAGTTTCATGTATCTGTTCAAATGTCAGCTCATTGGAATTGATATAAATTTTCCGCTGAAGTATTAATGGCATCAAGTTTCGTAGAAATTGACGAATCACAGATCAGCACCATTGTGGTTGCCATGCCCGGGTGCGATCGCATACAGTCCTGCTTAGGCTGTCGTGCCGCGATGTCGCATACTTTCCCACCTGGTTGCCGAGCCACTCCGGCGCATGCTTAGGAACATAGCGTGAGCTCGCTGAACCGTACCCCTCCCTCCTACCCCACCGATGGCTGACCGTGACCGGCGTTCATTATCGGGCCGTGTCTCCGACCGGCCGCCCTGGACCGATGCCCGTCAGGACCCTGCACCACTCGGCGACCACAGGGGAGCCCCGACAGCCGGGGTGACGCTGGACGGGCGCCCGGTTGGACTGGGGGTTGTCTGGACAGCCACCAGGACAGCAGAGGTGAAGTCTGAACAGGCGCTAGGGACGTCTGAACAGATGTCCGACTGTCCGGGGACAGGCGGCTGTCCGGGGGACAGGCGGCTGTCCGGGGGACAGGCGGACAGCGGACAGGCGCTCAATGGGTTAACTGTGATAAGCAGTTCACGTCCAATGATATCGACAAGAAAACCAGCGTGAGTAGCGACCTACATTCATCTTGAACGGGTCATTCCACCGTATGGATGATCGCCTTCGATGGTTGCATCATCCGCTCTAGAGTGGAGCGGTAACTTCGATCGATTACCTTTCCCCCGGGCTACTATCCAATCATACCGTTCTTGAAACCATCGTGCGACGGAATATAGTTCCTTGCCGTTTGATCTGCTACCACGGCGGTCCGTTTGAGGTTGTCAGCCCCCTCTGTAACGCGCTGAGGGCCTCCCCTCCCACCGCCCTCCGTTGGCCGGGGAACCCCGCTCGGTCATCGGGTCGGTCGGCCGATCGGAACTGGGTCGGTCGCCGCCGGCGGCGGTCGATGACGTCCGCTCGGCCGGCCGGCGGTGGCGTCATCCGTCAGCCGAGGCGATGGCCGGCGGACGGCCGTCATCGGACGGCCATTGCCGCGGGGGCGCACAGGGGCACGGTGACCAGGCATGGGAGGGCACGGAAAGGGCAGGGTGGACAGAACAGGATGGACGGAGCAGAAAGGACAGGGAAGAAGTGAACTACTGATAGAGTAGGTGTAGACAAGGCAGGGCTTGGATGGGCAGAATACATGAAAAGTTAAAATTTCTACAACCAGACATTTCCTGTAAATGATCGCCGTTCCCGGCTACCAGTCGATAATGTTTCGCTAATAATTTTCATATCGAGGTCAGTATCAAGCAATGTAATTGCCCTTCTAATGTCTCTTGATAACTACATCGATGCGAAGATCGAAACGCTAACAGTAAGCAACTAGTAACCGACAAAAACGCCCACAGAGAAGACAAAGGCAAAAACTTCATTGATGACGGTGCACAGGACAGGAGTAGACAGGACCGATCGTGGATGAGGCACGGTAAACGGGCGCTGGCAGAATGAGTTGAACCCAACTGGCGGTGCCGGGGCTGAGTGGTCTGCCTGTGGCTTTGTTCGAGCGGCTGGGCACGGCGGTTCGCTCGCCTCTCGGTCGGAGCGAGCCTCCGGCTAACGTGTTGGTTTCTAGCGCTCTCCTCCTTCCCGACACACTGGGAGATAGCCCGACGTTGGCGACGTCTCCGGTCAGCTCTGCCTCTGCCGTGTCAGCCGCGTTTCATGGGCCCTTCCAGCCTTATCTAGTGTCTGTCCGGTGGCCAGCTCCCGAGTCCCCCGCTCAGGGTTCAGCCACGGCAGCTCGGAGGGCGCGCGCCAACATAACGTCCCGCCAACGTCGTCGGGCGTGCGTCGAGCGCCGATTGATCGCACGCGTCGGCAGCGCGTCGGCTCGGCTGGCTCGGCGGCGGCGGCGGCGGCGGCGGCGGTGGGCGGCGGCCGGTATCGGCCGGTCAGTGGTGAGCGCGCCGGCCGCCGGCAGCATGAGCGCCGCGGCGCCGATCGTGTCTGCCCGGTCATGTCGCGTGACCTGTACGGAGAGCCGCCGGCCGGGCGCGCCGCTCGCCGCGCCGAGCCGGTGACGGGCGCCTTTCCGCCGGCGTCGGGCGGAGCCGGCCGCGGCGGCAGTCCGCTGGTGCGCCGCAGCCGCTACAGCCGCTCCACGAGCAACTCGCCGCTGCCCGGCGAGCCGCGGCGCGTGCCACACTCGGCCTCCTCGTCACACATCAACTCGTACCCGGACGAGCTGGCCAGCCCGGGTATGGACCACCTGGACCGGGGCGGGCCGCGCGCCAACTCGCACCACCGCTCGCGCTCCACGTCGCGCGGTGCCTCGTCGCGCGGTTACCATGGTGACGGACATGAGCGCGAGTTTGTGCCGATCCGCGAACCGCCGCCGCGCGACCGACCCGACCTCGGCATGCCGCCCAGACGAGAACGCTCGCTCGAGCGCGGCATGCGAGACGGGATGCGCGACAGCATGCGTGACAGCATGCGAGATGGCATGCGAGACGGTCTCCGTGACGGGATGCTGGACGACGAGGGTCTGTACGGGCCGCCGCCGGGCCACCACATGTCGCGCTCGGCTCGCCAGTCGCCCAGCGCCGACTTTGGCGGCAAGCACGGCGGCACGCGCGACTCGTACATTGTGGAGATGCAGGCGCAGAACGGCGAGTTTCACCGAGAGCTGAGCCAGCTCAAAAAGGAGCTGGAACTCACCAACCAGAAGCTCGGCTCCAGTATGCACAGCATCAAAACTTTCTGGTCGCCGGAGCTGAAGAAGGAGCGACAGATGCGCAAAGACGAGTCGGCCAAGTACAGCCTGATGAACGACCAGATCAAGCTGCTGACGGCCGAGAACCAGGTGGGTTCAGCGTGGGCTACGGCGGTACAATACGCTGGCGATGGGTTGGGGGATTGTAAAATTGTATTGGTGCTGCAGATTTGACGAGGCCTTCTTAGGGTGATTCATATGTAACGGCATGAACCTATTTTAGTTCAAACCAAGTTTACCGTTCATCGTCAACTTACATAAGCCCCAAGAAAATATACATAACAACAATAAGATAAGACGTTGCCTTATTCTATCGTCTGGGAACAGGAAGCTGCCTTTATTCTCCGAACAATAAATGAACAGAAACGAATGCAGCATGTGGTAATAATAATAATAATACAAAAACACTAAAAGCAATAAAAAAGAACCCACTTGATGTCACGACAGAACTCAAAAACCGACCAATTGCTGAACTTCAGAGCACCCGGGCACCATCTCCTCCCGCGCCGGAGCCGACGGACGTGGCCTTTGCGTGTGTGCGTCCATTAGCGCATGACACCCGATCCCACCGGTCCTGTCCTCCGAGAAAGGCGGCGAGGTGACGCATGGGGCGCCGAGACCATGACTGCCTACCAAGGGTGGGAGGGAGGCCACTCGGGAACGCAGTCTGGGTTCTGGGAAAAATGGTGAATGAAAGCCAACCGTCTCGAAAAAGACCGTCCAACAAATGCAAAGGTATGTATGCTATTTTGGGTCTCATGACTGTTTTCAAAGTCATGTCCGGTGGCAGCCAGTTTCGTTCACAGTGCAATCATTGCCGCCGTATAGTATTTGCTCCACGTAAACTGTCGGCGACAGCTGCTCGCTGTTGGTCCTGCCGAATCAGCAAACACCGGCTCCGCAGTGCACACCCGGTCCTCACCAGCCGGTTCACCTCGCCGGAGCAGCCTCCGACAGCACGGTCTGGACGTCGGTTTCTGGTCAAAACACCAATTTCGTTTGGCAAAAACATGTCATCGTCTGAGTCTGGTCTGCGGATTCATCGCGGACCGTAGAATAAGCTCAGCTCGCTGCAAAACAGAACGGATTGCCTGAGATGGCGTAACAATGGCCTCTGTCTCAAGGCTGGAGTGGAGTAAAAGTAGTCGATTTCATTTAAGCACTGACCCAAAATTAGGAGTGATTTTGCGAGTTTCGGGGTCAATAAAATCGCTTACTAAAACCTCCCAGGGACTAATGCTCTAAAGCATAGGTACAGAGAAATTGTGATAGCCTTTTACACCCTTATCACACCGTTCCTAGACTCCTCACATTGCGTCATTTTGACTGGCAGGAATGCGTACAAATTTATCGGATGGCATAACAGCTATCGCTCGACAGTCCTATTGCAATTGACAACTAAAAATCGACCTCACGTGAACACATTCCATTGTAATGTGTTGCGTTGAAGTTTACAGATAGGCTAAATGCTAGCTAGGCTAAAGTTGAGGTCTGTAAGATAGGCTAGTGCCTTGCGCCAGTTTCTTAATTATTGCCCCACCATCTCAGTGCAGAGTCTCAGCCTGCTCCCTGTATCGATTACGTCCCGCGCGCTGTTTTGCAGCAGCCCACAGTGTGTGAGCATGGCTATCCGTCCGGCCCCCGGCGCCGCGCCCCCGCTCCGTGGCGGATAATCCTCTGAGTGCACGGCCGCGGCACTTGTGAGCGGGTTAGCTGGCTCGGACCGTGCCTGGCATCTACTCCAGAGATGATCCGACTGACAGGGCCACGGGCAGGGTTATAGCTGCAGAGCCGCGGAGAGCCACGGGCAGGGGTAGCTGCGGCGCCTTCAGAGCCACGGGCAGGAACAGACGCGGCGCCTTCAGAGCCACGGACAGGGACAAACGCGGCGCCAGCAGCCGCTCCGACGACCAAGCTCAGAGATCAGCCTCCGATGACCTTTGATTGGGTTCTTTATGCCTAATGGTCGCATTGCCTTAAATGGGATTCCTTAATGACGTCGGAGAAAACCTTAGAGATAGGGTAACGACAGTCGATGATATCAGTGTTTCGATCGGTTTGTGTAATGTAGCGGACTGGCTCCGGGGCTGATTACTGGAAATGTGGGCGACGAAGACGTCTGACATTCTTATAATTATATTACTTGAAAATATAATCGTTATGGCGAAAGAGTTGCTTCTCTCTTGGTAGTTAGCAAAGCGAAAACTTTGGCATACTTATATCCATAACGATATTACTAATGGCAAAAGTTTATAGACACGATAAATGATCCATTGAAAGACGGCAGCCGATCGTACCATGTTGATAACGTCTTACGTCTTTTGTCCATTTGTCTAGCACACTGGCAGCCCTACTCAATGGGCCAAGCCAATGCAACTTTAAAGAAAGAACTTAAGTATAGAAGTTCTTTCTGCAAAATAAAAAATAAAAGAAACCTTTTCTTAAGATTATCAAGGAGTGTACACCAAATGGACAAAGCTTAAATTCACCATACGATATCAAGTAAAGATACAGATAATAAATTCCATCTTAATAGATATAAGGCAGCAGAGTCAGTAGCAATTTAAAGCGTATGCCTTCTAAGACAAAATCAGAGCGATTTCAAATTAGCCAGCGTTGGCACTTTTCCGTTAGGTAGGGGAACAGCACCAGAGGTCTCGCCTATGTCAGCTCTGTGGTTCAGGTCTGACGGTCAGCTCTGTCGGTCAGCTCTGTCTGTCAGCTCTGTCGGTCAGCTCTGTAAGCTCTGTCTCCGTCAGTCAGCTCTGTCGGTCAGCTCTGTCTGTCAGCTCTGTCGGTCAGCTTGTCAGTCAGCTCGGTCAGCTCTGTCTCTGTCGGTCAGATCTGTCGGTCAGCTCTGTCGGTCAGATCTGCGGGCCGCGCTGACCGGAGGAGGAGGAAGAGCACCCGGACCCATATCGACCACCGGCCGCCGAGGGGGGGGGGCGGAGGGGAGGGGAGCCGGGGGCGGTCCAGCTGGGAGAGGCGGCCATCCGAGGCGCCCTCAAATAACGCCCCGATGGCTGAAAGGACGTCCTACCGTGGCCGGCCGGCCATGGACCTATAGTAGATGGACCGAATCCCCGCGGGACTATCTATGGTTAAAACAGGAATGGAAAGAGAGAGGGGAGAGAGAGAGAGAGAGAGAGAGAGAGAGCGAGAGAGAGAGACAGAGACAGAGAGAGAGACTGAGACCTGACCTAAGTTTATTGGAAGTGAAGTAGCAGCGAATTAATAAGGCGTACTTTCTTTGAATGATTCGCTGCAGCAGTTAGCCGTTACTTCAGGGTATCATGTTAAGGGTTTTTAGACTAAATACACTAAAAGTGGTTCAAGTTTTTTTTAATCAAAAGCGTGTACAATGAAAAACAGGTCATAGTCATGGGATTCAGATTATTTAATGTATATTCACGATCATATGCAGCTGTTAACCATTGAGCTTTCATCTCGGAAAAGGCACATATATGTACGAGCATACATATCTACCTCACAGTTATCTTCAAAATAATTTTGTCACGGTGATAATGTACATCTGCATACCTCCATTAGCTACCTGACCTACCCTGGGACAGTATTCAGAGTCTCGGCAGCACCGCCGCGCCCGGCCGGATCTGCAATGCGTGTGTAATGCGTCCCTAATGAAACTCTGATGCCTAATTGAGCAGCCATAGTGGCCGCATTTCCCCTGAGTCGCGCCTATGCGGTATACGCCGGCCGGTTAATGGTTCCCTGGAACCGGACTCACATGTAACCATTATATGCATCTGCTCCGGTACAAAGATGGCATGGGACGTGTAACGGCAATTTTGTTTACTTCTAGCTTGGTAAAAGATGAGATGATGCTTTTCATGCGATGCTACTTAAGTTTAAAGTGAATAAGATTGACGTAGTTTATAAAATGATTAGTGCTGCACTTCACACGGATCATTGCATCACAGCTTTTTTTTGTGAAAAAGTCCAAATCATTCCAGGTCACCAACTCACGATATGAGGCTTTCATTTGATTGGGTCATGGAAACAACCGACCTAGCGTGGTCCATCAAGGACACTCGCAATGTGGTCAGTGAGGTCAAAAAAAAAAAGAATAAGATAAGCTTAGGTATTTTCCAAAACAGCTCTTCCATTGAAACCAAGAAAAATGTGTGGTATGAAACCTTGGGTATGAAATATTGCCATAGAAGCGACGTCGGGCCCATGCAGCGCTCAGCCGTTTCATCATCCGCACTAAAATAGAAGCTGAAACTATCGGCTACAAAGGTATGCCGCTCATCGGTGTGCCCTTGGCCGATATTGGCACTTTACCGATTCTGTAACTATGGTCTAATTTCATGAGAAGAAAAAGTGATGATTTCGCTTACAAAGGTGTACTAAAACAACTGCTATGAATCGTCTGGTCCGTACCGTGCTTCAGAAACAAATGTCGGTGATCGGCGAGTTGTGCCGTGTTTTTCAGCAGCAAGCGCCTTTGGTCATTGAGCTGCGCCGTGTTGTTTTTCAGAAACAAGTGGCGCTGATCCGACAGCTGGAGGATGAGATGCACCGGCGCGGCGGCAAGAACCAGGCTGTGGTGGAGCTGCAGCAGCAGCTCGACCAGTTCTACGTGGAAAACGACCACCTGACCCGAGAGAACGCCATCCTCAAGGAGACCATCAAGGTATGCACGGCAGCTCACTCCGCACAGCCAGCCATTGCGCCCTGCCTCACGTCTGGCTACACGCACTTTTTGTCCGTCGGCAAATAGCGGACATCTTGGGACGGCTGGCCGGCCGCAAAGCCGTACTGGCTATCCGAGTGACTTGCGGGATAGTCTACCACCGCAGGGTTACTTCCCACCGCCATCTATCGGAGAAACGATGCAGCTGACTAGCTCCGGGGCCATTCAGCTTGCACGGCGAAGTTCTACCAGCTCTTTCTAATTTAGTTCAATCTCTCTCTCTCTCTCTCTCTCTCTCTCTCTCTCTCTCTCTCTCTCTCTCTCTCTCTCTCTCTCTCTCTCTCTCTCTCTCTCTCTCCTCTCCCTCTCTCTCTCTCCTCTCTCTCTCTCTCTCTCTCTCTCTCTCTCTCTCTCTCTCTCCCTTATTCCTTCTCTCATATTATTCTCGCTTTCTCGTTTTATACTTACCGAAGATGCAGTAGTCCTCGGAAAGGAGAAGGCTTACGCCTTACTCTGGTGGGATGGTTGAGTGCCTTTCACCTCAGAGTAAATAAACCCACTACATCTACCTCATATCGTCTCTTACCACACCCACCCGGCGCACACGTGCCTTTTGGGATCAATGGGCCGCCGTGCGCTGACGCCAGAAATGAACGGTGACGTCATCAGAGCTGCTCGGTGCGTCATCTTGGGTAGCAATGACGTCAAACTCGATATGCACTTCAAGGGGGCGTGCGAAAATGTCGGAATGCAGCGTCGGCATGAACTATTCATAAAGTGTGCTCAGAGTCAGAATATAAGGAGCCGAAGTTCAAAAGAATAGATAGAGGTGGGTCGCATCTGTAAGCTAATGAGGTTCAAAAATAGGTACATCTTCGAAAGGCAGGATAATAACAGAAGATCAACTTCTCAAACTAGAATGTTATTCCCGTAACAAGATATACAGTTCGATTGGCTGATCACAGGCTAGATGTAACGCTTGGGTGAACCGTGAACATAGACATGACGATGAGCATTTCAAGCATGACACTAGAATAGAATGATAGCGAGTAAACGCTTTTATTGATGCTATTTGTTTCAGGAGCTAGAACTGAGGATCGACACTCAGAAGCAAACACTTCTCGCCAGGGACGAGAGCATAAAGAAGCTGTTGGAAATGCTCCAAACAAAAGGCCTGGGTAAGTGTGAATGGTGAAACTCAATACAATATGGATACGTGACTCAAAACATCAAAAAGAGTAGAGCGCATTTGAATCCAAACTGCACCTAATCGATAATTCGGAAACGCCTGCAGTAAGTAGACTGCTATCGAGTTCTGTAATTCTGTAGCAAGTGACTTGACAGACATGTTATTTCACTTATCGTCCCGTGTCAGCCGCGTGTCACGCTGCAGCAAGTGTAGGAATGGACTAGGCCAATTTGCACCTTCGGTCTCAATTTACCATGTGTAATTTATTTCAGTAGTATTTTTTTTATATATAAATTTAGTCCGAACCTTTTGATAGGAAGGATTCACAAGGACAGAACCACCGCTAAGCGAAGCTTGTTGCGGTGACCCTGCCCTCTACCCTCCGATCGCGCAATTCCAGTCCTATGGCAGAATTTAGAGTCCAAAGTTTAACGTGCGCACATAGCCGCGCACGGCCGGTCCCCTCACTGACTTCGCCTGGCTACGGCCTGCCACCAACCGCAACCATACCTGTCAGGAGGCCCATAAATGTCAAGCGCCCGTCGCGCTTCGAACCCGGGGCCGTATTCACGTCGATCTTTTTCGTAAGAATTTTCTTAAGTTTGACCTACTTCTTAAGTAAATTTTTTTAATCACGTGAACTCCATCGATAAAAACTTAAGAAGTGTCGACGTGAATACCAAATTATACTTACGAAAGAAAATCGACTTACGAAGTCGACGTGAATACGGCCCCCGGACTGTTGTAACCGGGAACGCGTGCTCTCACCACGCGGAGTCCAACGCTCTTACCAACTGAGCTACGGGACCGGCTATTATTTATTTAAGTAGAAAGTATTAAGGCTATTAAGTAGAAGTATTTAAGGCTATTATTTATTATTTAAGTAGAAAGGCTGGCACTTGGTGGAAAAACATACCTTCCAAAACCACCGTCATGCCACTATCAAACATCGTCCCGTGGCGCCGCTGTCCGGTAAAGTATTTGGGTTATTTGCGTGCGCCGTCCTATCTCGTGCCGCGGGTCATTACGGAGGCAATCTCGGCGCGTGCGGCGCACCTCTGAGGCCGTCCCCGGTGGCCGGTGTAGCCCGCCCTCCCGCCGGTCCTCGGGTCAGCCCCGCAGAGCAGACGACTCTGGGATACGCCCGCAGCCCACTCCACAGTGATGCAAATGGGGCTCACGAGTGGCCTTAAATACCGAAAAGGCCCAAATTTCAAGTTCACCTAATTGAACAAATCGTAATATGGCCAGTCAGGCAAATGTTTGGGGTGTCTGAAAAAACATGACTTTCATGTTTTTGTCAAAACCGGCCTCGTGTATGATTTTCAGAAGTCGTGACATTTTCTATGTCGTAAAATGAATGTCAGATACTCGCAACTTCAAACGCCGCTAGCGTGCGTCCATTTCATACAAATGACAAAAATTATACATGGCAATGATCCCCAAGGTCTGCTGCTTTTAATGCAGGGTCACAAAAAGTCGTATCTCTTTTGGTTTGGCGTTGATCTAACTATTTGTCATCATGTTGCAATCGCAGTTTTTTTATTAAAAAATATTTGCTTTCGTTTCACCTAGAGCAGTTTACACAGTGTGTGCCCGTTAGTGCACCATACCATAGCATTCCCTAATCATTTTTTAGCCGCACTGTGAAAGAATGAAGGCGCTAGCACAGGGGTGACCGGCGCTACTAAAGTTTTCGTCCGTTGCGGTCGGGTGCCGCGGCGCGGTTGGCAGCCCGGGCGGCCGCACCGCGGGCGGGCGGCCTCAGCGGGGGTTCGTCTGTGCATCCCTCTGCTGTTCCTAAACGAAGTGTCCTATCGCCTCGCGACAAAAACCAATGGATTGCTCTTGACAAGGTCTCGCGAGTGAGCATATTACTTTTGACTTAAGGTCAATATTTGACCTACTTATAGCAGTTCAAAGTTAAACATTTGTCGAAATTGCGATCCGCGGTGAAAGCAATCCGCCCCGACCGCGACACCCGACCGCGCCGGACAAAAACTTCAATAGCGCCGGTCTGCCCTGTGCTAGTGCCTTAATTCTTTCACAATGTGACTCAGAAATGGTTAGGGAATGATATGGTATGGTGCACTAACGGGCACACACTGTGTAAACTGCTGTAGATGAAACGAAAGCAAATATTTCTTAGCAAAAAACTGCGATTGCAACATGACGACAAATGATTAGATCACTGCCAAACCAAAAAGGTGCGGCTTTTTGTGTTCCGGCATGAGAAGCAGCAGGCTTTAGGGATCATTGCCATGTATAATTTTTGTCATTTGTACGAAATGAACGCACGCTAGCGGCGTTTGAAGTTGGGGGTATCTGACAGTCATTTTACGACATAGAAAATGTCACGACTTCTGACAATCATACACGAGGCCGGTTTTGACAAACGTATGAAAACTATGTGAATTCAGATGCGCCAAACATTTCTGTGTTTAGCCATATAGCGATTTACTCGGTTTGGTAAACTTGACTTTTTGGTATTTATGGCCACTCGTGAACCCCATTTGCATCACTGTGCACTCGCCGGAAAGACGGTTCTACTGGGGACACGCCGCGCCGAGTGGACTGTCGTGGGGTCAGCTCTCGCCAGGCGGACGGGCATGGGACATCCCCACGGCCCACCCGCCCGTCGTGGGGGCAGCCCGTGCGAAGAAAAGACGGCCCTGGAGTCGGCCTGCCCGCCGGCCCTGAGCCCTGGGGTCAGCTCTGCAGGGGAGATGACCCTGGGATACTCCGCACCGAGCAAACGGTCTAGGGGACACTCAGTCCCGGAGACAATCGGTCCCAAAAACACTCGGTCCCGGGGACACTCGGTTCCGGACACTCGGTTCTGGGAGCGGGGACACTCGGTCGTGTGGATACTCCGCGCCGAGCGCCCGATTTTGGCGAGACGCTATCGGCCGGCCGGTCCTGGCGGCGTGCCGTCACCGCTTTAGTTCCATCCTCGCGCGAGTACGTTCGTTGGCCGGCCGTCGCCGGCGGCAGCTGACGACACCATCGATTTGGACGAGCGCCGGCGGCGGCGGCGGGTGCGGAGTAGGACTGCAGCCGGGGCAGAGGCCCGGCCACCCCCGGTTCTCCCCGCCCCCGCCCCCACCCCGCCCCCACCCCGCCCACTCCACACTCCCGCCAGAGTGGCAGTTCATTGAAACGGTGGACTTGGGTGGTGGCAGGGAGCCGTACTCTTGGCTGGTTTCACAAGGACAGGTTTCATCCGCTGATTAAACGAGATATCGCTAGTTGCCTTATGGAATATGGATGACATGTCTTTAGCTTTGTGCCTTGATATAAAGCGAAATGGATGGAAGCAATTTTGCTTCCCGACAGAAATATCTCTACCGGTAGGCATTTCGCCTAATGGTCTCGATTTAATGGGAGGTTGAACAGGGATACAGAATAACTAATAATCCCGGATCCTATATCACAATGCTGCGAGTCCGGGTCATTGTGGCGCTTGGCCACCGCCAGCAATTTACCTACGTCTGGTCCGACCTGAATGGCATGAGATAAAATTATTCAAAACCGGCAAAACATTATCACTTTCAAGTTAACAGTAGAGTTGACCTTAAAAAATTTGACTAGAATATATGTGGTAGGAGCGGCAACAGCTTCCTCGAAACAAATAGAGCTGCACTTTACTCATGCAATTCTCCCTAGTAAAAGTTTTATTGATTCTCTGGTCATATAAAAAAGAGACTGGTGCGAACAACATCTGGATATTTTGAAATTGTTTTAAGCATGCATGACGACGACAGAGCGAAACTGATAACGAGACAGCACAAATTTCAGAAAGCTGCTGTTAAAAATGTTCGAAAAACCGAAGGTAAAATTTGTCCCCGTAAGGTACGATTTAAAATTCAAACGTAAGCTCGAATGTGATAAAGTACATAAACCCTAAACGCGCACCCTATATCGACAGCTATATGGTGTGCCATCTTTTATCTCAATAGATTGGGAATAGACGCGCTCTTCAACCGAGCAAGCAAGTGAGGGTGTAATTAATGATTCACGTTTTTGCACGTCCTTACAAACGATTCACGTTATTTCCTCAGGCAAAGAAGAGGAGCGGTTAATGTATCAACAGCTTCAGTCAGCGTCACAAAAACAGGTTAGTCGGTGATAAAGGTTGTCGATAATTCCCTGTCTTTTTTGATAGAGCCGTACGATTTTCAGCTTGCCACTTCCCGGGTGCGTATCATTCGCCATGTGTGTGCGTGTGGTCTCTGCCCGCCGTGTGTGTGTGTGGGAGGGGGGGGGGCAGCTGCCCGCTGGTCGTCTCTGGCTGCTGCCCACTACTGGGGGCAGTCCAGCATCCACCCTGTGTGCGTGGAGCCACTGCCTGCTAGCCACCACTGCATTAACCATGACGCGCGGTGCGCGGCGGTCGGTCGGCGGCACGGACGGCGTGAACGGGCAACGTCATGAACCGTGACACGCCATCGGGGGCGGGGACCGGCGAGGGCCGGGAGGCGGGAGAGGGGAAGGCAGAGACGCCGGCGCCGACCCTTTTTATGAACGTCGGTCCTCGAAGTTCTCAGGATATCCGGTGGCCACTTCAGTCCACGGGCTTGCCAACACATGGAAACAATTTTAGGAATCGGATTGCATTGTGACTAACAGTATCCGCAGCGTCCGTGGGCTGTAAAGTTCCCCATACGAACGGTGGGGAAATAGTGGCGAACGAGTAGCCTGGGCGCCGTTTTAACCCTCGCCGGCCGAAGGGGGGGGGCGGGTGCGTCACTCTTGCAATGTTGACCTTGCGTGACGTCATTTATGACGTCATCAAGGTCATATTAGTTTTTTCGTCAATAACTCCCGATCAAATTGAGCTAGCGAGTCGGGAAAGCCACCAATGGACTCAGGAGGACCTGCCAAATCGAATGATATGCGACATGACCTGTTTCGACCAGCTTTGTGACCTGGGGGTGCTGACCTGACCGTGACCTGAGGTCAACACCCTAAGTTGACTTGACCCAAACAAAAAGTATATCATTCGACGCGCCCGAGCAAGGCAAACACGATGCTGCTAAAATCGCGGCTCTGTGGCTGTTTTTTGCGAAGTTATTCACCAAAAACTGAACCGTACCTTGGGGCACTTGACCTGACCTGAGAGGTCACCGGTTGACCTAGGACCTTAAAATCGGGTACCAATCTCTGCGTCTCGTAACGGCGCACACGCTCGTTTTTTTTCGTGACGCGCTAGCTTGACCAGGGGCGAAACGGCGATGGGGGGTCGTACCCCCCTCGGCCGGCGCATATGTAGAAAACCAATAGGTCCGGCGAGGGTTAAGTCGACAGTCACTAAAGCGCGGAGTGGACCCTCATCCCCTCCCCATAGTTTGATGACGCGCGGAGAGGTGTCCGAACTTCTTTGCTTCCCTACACCCCGTAATTTGATGACGCGCGAACTATCCCCCGCGGTTTGATGACGCGCGGACTATCCCCCTCCCCCAGTTTGATGACGCGCGGACCATCTACCGGCAGTTTGATGACGCGCGGACTATCCCCCGGCAGTTTGATGACGCGCGGACTATCCCCCGGCAGTTTGATGACGCGCGCACGGAGATCCAGCGGCGAGACCAGGAGATCGTGGCGCTGACGGCCAAGATGAAGACGCTGGAGGAGCAGCACCACGACTACCAGCGGCACATCACCGTTCTCAAGGAGTCGCTCTGCGCCAAGGAGGAGCACTACAACATGCTCCAGGCCGATGTCAGTACCCGAGCCCACACTGTCCTAATCGGATCAACGCGCGGCCTTGAATTTCGCTCCAGAACGGAGAACATAAGCCTATAAGGGGCTTATCTCGGTGTTTGAAAATCGCAAAATATATCTGATCTTTAAGCTCAATGGCGAGGCCCATGTGGAGGTTTCGATATACATTTGGTACGATGGATTGCTATTTATATCTATTTTAGGCTATGTGCCATTTGGTCAGTTTTTTTTTTTTCTCGGTGATAAGGAAATATCTTGAGATATGCATTCTACAGCTTATTGGCAAATATCTAGCTTCATTTCATAAAGAAAGTCCCGCCATATGCGTCTGGAGACGAGACTGACCTCCACCCTACCCTCGTAGGGAGACGAGACTGATATCCACGCTACCCTCGTCAGGTGGAGGAGCTCCGCCAGCGGCTGGAGGAGAAGAACCGCACCATCGAGAAGAAGACGCAGGCGGCACTGCAGGCCGGACAGGAGCGCAGTCGACTCAGCAGCGAGCTCAACGAGACCAGAGACCACCTGGACATCAAGGACCGCAAAATCAACGTTCTCCAGAGGAAGGTCAGTAATCACGGCGCTCGACACAACAGAAAATCATGGGTCTGACATTTCCGATTTATGTTTCTGCTGCAGCTTGATTGTTAATTCAATTTTTTGTCGTGAAATTCCAATTTACGACGTAACGAGACAAAGGAGTCCTCGGCAGAGAGGAAAGGAATAGATAATTGCTTGTGTAGTCTGTTCAACATTTGGTACGGAACACAGAGCCGGACCTAGAAAACAGATGACATGAATTGTCAAATCTGCCCCAGATTTGTGATCAGTGGCAGGACACAATGGGTGACATCCTGACATCAAACATGCACTAGATGAGTGATGACTCACGAGCCCGTATTACGACAGACGACGTATAGGACAGACGCGTGGCATGGGACATACGATCGGTGTGCGACAGTAATTGGGCCTGTGTCACAGAACGGGAAATCAGACGGACCACAGGGCTGCATCTTAACTCGTAGCTCTATTGATCCACACTCAGGGACTCAGCCGCTTAAACTTTGGACAAAATCCATTTGATTTTTTATTTTACCCCGGATTATATTTTACTCAGAAATCTACATACAAGCATTCAATAAAGTTGATATCCTCGAGCATTTCGTGAAATATGGATGGCTTCGACGCGTTGACTGTGACTTATATTTCACCATGTTATATAATAGTGGCAAGACTTGGTCCTTTCAAACTCATGTTCGACTCTTCAGCGAGCATAACTCTGCTATATGAGGGAAACTTCCCGCATGGATGGCCTTGCTTTAAAGGACACGCTATTTTTGACTGAGTTTCGTTCCTCTGACGCTGACTGCTATAGGCCATCCCCTCCCTACTCTTTCTCTCACCCTCTCTCTCTCTCTCTCACCCTCTCTTTCCCTCTCTCCCCTCAGGTGGAGAACCTGGAGGAGCTGCTGAAGGAGAAGGATAACCAGGTGGACATGGCCCGCTCCCGATTAACCGCCGTCCAGGCGCACCACACCAGTTCGGAGGGCGCGCTCAGTTCCCTCGAGGAGGCCATCAGCGACCGCGACAAGCAGATCACCCAGCTGCGCGAACAGCGAGACCGCGCCGAGCAGGACCGCGCCCAGGAGCGCGAGCTGCACGAGCGAGAGCTGGCCGAGTACAAGCTGAAGCTGCACGCGCTGGAGACCGAGCTGGAGAAGCTGCAGGTGCGGCTGGAGCGCGCCCAGACCGAAAAGGCCAAACTAGAGGCCAAGCTGGAGACGTCCCAGCAGGAGCTGGGCAAGGCCAAGGCGGAGCTGGACAAGGTTCAGGGCGACGTCGGCAGCCGCTCGCATGAGGTCGAGTCGAGCAAACAGAAGCTGACCAAGCTGGAGCTGGAGACGGACCGCCTGAGGGCGGAGAACGACCGGCTGCGGTTCGACCTCGAGCGGGAGCGAGAGCGGACCGAGAGGGACAGAGAGCGGGAGAGGGAGAGGGACCGCGACCGCGACCGGGAGCGGGACCGAGATCGGTTGGACCGCGATCCCAGAGATCCGCGTGATCCGCGAGATCCCCGAGACCCACGCGATCCGCGGGATCCGCGCGACTCGCGGGATTCACGCGACTGGGAGCGATCCACGACCCCGGTGTACAACCCGCAGCGCGAGCGGCACATGAGCGGCAGCCTGGCCGCCTCGCTGGAGATCGAGCGCCTCCAGGAGCGGCTGGAGAAGTCGCAGGCCGAGCTGCGGCGCGCCCAGACCGAGCTGCGCATGTACCAGAACGACAACGACCGCGTGCAGGTGGAGGTCGAGCAGCTGCAGGAGAAGGTGGAAAAGTCCTCCGGTGAGATCTACCGGCTGAAGACGCGCCTGGAGAACGCCCAGAGCGAGAAGGACTGCCTCCAGGAGGAGTACGACCGCTCGCAGATGATCCTGGCGCGCATCATGACCGACAAGGACCGCTCGCAGAGCGAGGCCGACAAGCTGAAGGAGGAGCTGGAGCGGTCGCAGCAGACGCTCGGCCGCACCCAGATCACCCAGGAGAAGACGCAGAACGAGCTGGACAAGGCGCAGATGGAGCTGGACCAGCTGCAGGAGAAGCTCGACAGGACCACCGGCGAGCTGCGCAGGGTAGGTGGTCAGCGCCTTGTCTCGGTGAGACGGTGCGGTAGGCTTTTCAAAGATGTGTAGCGTGTGTATTGGTACGCTTTCGCTCGTAACACTGCTCAATCAGACATACTCCCTGCTATTATCTAAACAAGGGGAGGAATCGTTACAAAAAATATGCGAGTAAGCAGGACATAACCTATGTCTATTGGCCTCTATAAGATTGGGTATTTCTGACATACAAGAAACATATTGGAGCGTAAAACATATACAACCATTTTTGTAGCAACATTTCTCTGTATCCTCCAGTTCTTTACGTTCGCTGTTGTTTTCGTGGTTGTGACTCCCGACATTCCCCTCAGCTCCAGGCGGAGCGCGAGCAGGCGATCTGCGACATGGACCTGCTGCAGGCGCAGGTGGACAAGACGCTCGGACAGTCGACCCGCATGCAGCGCGACAAGGAGGCCGTCGAGAGCGAGCTCAGCAAGCTCAAGGACAAGTACGACAAGGCCCAGGTCAGTGAGGAGAGCTCGGCTCAGTCCCAACGAGGTGGCGGCGGGACGATGGCACGTGCCCGCCGACTGAAAGCCAGACATGCATTTTGAATAACAGACCCCACCGCCTACATTAAGTCTCTGTCAGCTGCACTGCACTCGTTAAATAACTCCCCCCATGAGGCTGTCGGCGCGGCCTGGCGCGGCGTGTCACAAAAGGCTGAGCCGTTTTCAACTGTCGGGGGCCATTCGTTGGACTTTGGACTGCGGCTGACGTCCCACCGACATGAATCTGGGAATTCTTTGACGTCCAGCCTATCGAGTTCAGATCCGGCTCCAATAGTTTGGCCGCCGCGGCAGACCTGCCCACCGCTGGTCCGAATTATTTTCGTGGTATGGGGTGCAGGCCCCCGTGTTACATCCGTGAGCCGTATAGGAGCAGTCGGGTACACTGTATACGTACTCAGTATCAGCATCTCATCTGCATGTGTTAGCGGGGATGCACTTGGGGAGGGCAGAGACGAGGAAGCACACTGGATATCGCTCGCGTCAACTGAAAGGCTGTTGAGAGCGTTGATACAATGTATAAACTGTATGTTCTGAAGCCTGTATATATGAATACTTTGGTGGTATTGATTAACATGTTTCTCCTCGACGCGTAGCAGCTACCGTTGGCTCAGCTCTGACTTCTGATTCAACCTGTAATCTAAATCCATGACAAGTATCAGCCGATTGATCAGCGAACGTCACAACTGGACCATTTAAACCGAACTATGCGGTAACGCCTGTTGAGCCACGTTAACTAATGAAATTCCTAAGAGCGAGGCTCGTAACTCCGGGAATAGTTAGTGTCCCTCGGCCGTGCTCTCTGCGGCGACCTTCAGGTGTAGGCGCCACACACTCAGCGAAGAAACTGCTGGAAGTTTAACGGAAGAAACCGCTGTAAATTTAACGGTGGTCATATATCGGACAAAGAACGGACATGAGCGCTGGATTCTCAGCCTGTCTAGACGGAGTTCGCAGAACTGCATTACCAGGCTCACTTCATGAGGACGAAGTTGTACATTAGACTTCAACAGCTCACCTACTTACACGTTGACAGGTGGCCTTTAAACTTCAAACACTAAAGGTCACTTGTGGCTGAAAATTAATTTACCGTGTGAACGGTACAAAAGACACATCAAGCTATGCACAAACAACACAAGCTAACTGAGCTTCTGAAATGACTTAGTTCAAGCTCATTATTATTCAATCAGTCAATCAACGTTCTAGTTCCATTGGAACTAGAACTGTTCGATGTGAACTAGTGCTATGTCGTATGATTTCTAGCCTCAATTATTTCATAAAATAAGCGATAAATAACGATCCAACGAATACCTACCTTCGGTTCTTGGTGTGATAGCCACGCTTTTCACACTTGCGCCCCATTAAATCACGCTCTGACAATTTATGAAATAAAACCCCATCCAATGTGCTGCGATACATCAAATGTGCTGAAATCCCCGGCCACAGACCCGCGCTGCAGGCTGTGATAGTGAAAATGCGCCCCGAAGTCCCGCCTCCACCTTGCCATCCGTTCCAGCAATCAGTCACCTATCTCATTTTCGCTCCTTTGACGTTAATTGGTTTCCACACGTCCCAGAACGCCAATAAAGTTCTGCTTAATCGGTTTTCGCGCCTACTTGTATGATCAGAAATAGCAATGCGAATGTCTATTTATGCTTTATCTGCGTACCCTGTTATCACTAACTAAAGAAAATTCTGCCACACTTAGCAAAAATCCTAACACCTTAGCTTGCTCTCCATTTCCTGCAGCTCAGCCAGTCGCCACCCCTGCTGGTTTTACTACCGCTCTCGTCTACCGACCGTCTCCTCCTCTGCCGTTCGGGCCGTTTGTTTCCCGGCCCGTCGCCGCCGGGCCTGCCGAGCCCTGCAGGCCGCTCGGTTCGGCGGCAGCGGCAGCGAGCGTCTCTACAGGCCTCTATCGGCTGCCGACCGCCGCCGGCCGGGGCGGGGGCGGCGGCGGCGGCGGGGGCGGGGGCGGCCGGGGCGCTGCATCGACCCAGTGGAGGGTCAGCAGCGTTAACTGGCCGCCCGGCCCGCCGCCCAACGCCCGCCGTTCGCCGCCCGCCGCCCGCTGCTGCTGCGTTTAACGGGCGGAGAAAGTGTATATTACTCTGAGAGTGTATAAGCTGAAAATGCCTCAATAATGTCCGAACCACACACCACTCGCAGTATAGGCCGTGGAGCTCACGCCGCGCTGCCCCGTGCAAAAGTGCCACAGTTTATTGCCGAGGATTACGGCGTGCATTACCTGTGGGGTCTGTAAATGATCATAATCCATCACTTGTTAACGCCCGCCTAATCTAGCCAGATTTACGGAAGCCATGCACTGGCATGAATGCCGCCATCAGCCGCGCATAAAATGAAATAACTCGAGCGTGTACATAATAGAGACAAGTGAACGGTTTAAGGACGGAGAACTGTAGTTTTTTAGGACAAGTATGTACTTTGTAGACTTTGTGTGGACTATGTATGCTGTCGGTATCTCAGGGTCAGCTGGCCGCATACTGCCGGATACGGCAGACCCTCACCCCCTGTTCTGGCCACCGCCTGCTGCCCGCCCCACAGGGCAAGCTGGCCGGGAGCTGCGGATACGGTGTGTAACTCCCCACCTCTCTAACCCCTGCCTGCCGCCCGTGCCCATCAGGGTCAGCTGGCGCGCGTGCTGAAGGAGAAGGAGGCGGTGGAGATGGACCTGCTGAAACAGTCGGAGCGGGTCGAGCTGCTGCAGAGCCAGCAGGCCAAGGCGCTGAGGGACCGGGACACCGTGCAGACCGAGATGGACCTGCTCCGCGAGAAACTCGACAAAAACTCCGCGCTCATACAGAAACTGCAGGTAAGCCACGGACAGGTATACATTTCACAGAGAGGTCAATCACAAGTGAATAGGAACAACAACTAGCATATCCTTCAGTCTTCAATTAGGTACTTCTTACAAATCTTTTAGGAATTATCCAGCTTAACATATTCAGGTTCACGAGAAAGCTATTAGGCAACATAAGATGCTAACTTTACACCAGATATACACTCTCCGTCTAAAAATCCCAGCGCCCCGACCAGTCCGATGCACTGTCGCGCCGGTCCGACAGACACCTGGTGAGGGAAGGGGCGTCCGCCGCTCCAGGCGCGGTCTTATCTGACACATTTATTCACCGGGAGGCCGCCGCTCGCCGGAAACACCGCCACGTTCTACGAACCACTGCCGGGTGGGCCGACTCACGAGGCCGTTTCTGTCCGATAATGTCACTGAGCCGGTGCCGCGGTGAATTACTGCGACTGTGCCCGTGACCCGCGGAGGTAAGCCGACTGTCCTTAGTGGCAGTCTGACGGCCTCCTCCCCCCCCCCCCCCCGCCGCAGATTGAGAAGGAGGACAGGAGCTCCGAGCTGGAGCACCTGCGGGAGAAACTGGAGAAGAACCAGCTGCTCATCTCGCGGCTGCAGGAGGAAAAGGAGACGGCGCACCGCGAGAACGAGCGACTGCTGGAGAAATACGACCGGTGAGACGGCGGCAGAGGTGGAGAGACCGGTGTGCTCCCGCCGGCCGCTGGGCTCGGTGGAAGCAGATGGAGCACTATCCTCCAACATTGCAATTAACTAGAACCCTTGCATTAATTGAACAAAAATTTGGAAATGCACCCGATTCAATGGTTTACTTCGAATATTAGTTCACTAGAATGTTGTCATAATAGCATCAGCTATAGGACTGCAGAGTTTAATTCAAAGCTTTACACTGTCCGAAACCTCCTTCTTACTTTCTTGCTTTCGATTCATTAACTTTTGTAAATCGCATCCCTTGAAATTAGCTCAAGTTTGAGTACTAGTTTTACGGATTGTAAATATGCTGAACCGTTTCCCCCTTTGATTTGAAAGTGTAAAGATTGTCTGTGTTATCATTATGCATTTATTTAGTCCACAAATCTACCTATCTTTTAAACTTCTTTTTCAAAGCACGATTGAAAATTGCTTTCTTTATTGCCTATTAATTTGCATATCAATTACGTACTTCTTGCAAAAAATGCAACTTCTTTTTACCGATAGTTAGCAATATGCATTATACTCCACCCTCCACCCTATAGTTTAAACCCCGGCACGTTAGATTTTTGTGGTCATTTGTAGTGAAAGCAACCTAGTGAGGGGCATGTCAAGACGCTGGGTACTGGCTGAACACGGCCCTTTTGCACGCTGCAGAGTGACCCAAAGCCGGTTCGTGTCTGAACGTTTGTGTGTTAGCCTGGTCGGCACGCCTCCTGCGATCAATGTCTGTTCGTGTGGAGAGAGAGAGAGAGAGAGAGAGAGAGAGAGAGAGAGAGAGAGAGAGAGAGAGAGAGAGAGAGAGAGAAAGAGAGAGAGAGAGAGAGAGGGAGAGATTAGTGTGAGTGAGTGAGTGAGTGAGTGAGTGAGTGAGTGAGTGAGTGAGTGAGTGAGTGAGTGAATAAGTAAGAGATTAGATGAGTGAGTGATCGATGACTATGTAAGAGATTTATATTAGGTTAAATGTAATTTCTTGAGTTGTCAGTTTTCACCCGGCACAGCTCACTGTTTTGCACATCACACCAATATGCGCTTATTTTGCAAGTTGGAAGGCGCTATTGCTCTCGCTTTTGCATGTGTCTGTTTTGGTGTTAACTGTCAATTTTAAATGCTAGTGCGACCGTCCCACCAGTGACAACTATAGCAGTACCGGCTACACCACTGGTCATCATGCAGCCCCGCTCCCCCTCCGCCGTCACCGAGTGACCGCCGCGTCCAATCAGCCAGCTCGATAACGACACCGCGCTGTGATAACGACACCCTCCCCCCCGCCCCTCCCTCGCAGTCAGATACCCGGGGAGGCGGCCGACGCGCCCTCCCCCCCCCCCCCATCCCCGGGCCGTGTTGACCGCGGTGCGTCGCTATTGTCGGCGGGACTGACGCCGTCGGCGCGGCGTTCCGGGGCGGTAACTTTGCCACAGACTGCAGCGCCACCCGATGACAGTCTCGTTCTCAGATACAGCGCCGACTAAGGCCGTCGAGCCGAACTCGAACGAATGGGTCAGCAAACGCGGCTGGTTGTGTGAGCTAACCGAACTAAACGAGTCGGAGTCGGCAGTAAAATGAGTCAAATCGACTGAGATAAAATGGTCAGTCGGGTGGCCCAGACGACTTCTGTTTGCAGACGAATGTGGGGCAGACAAAGTCAAGCACAGTTGTCTAGGGTACGGCCGGAAAAAAAAATATTCGGTTGACCATAGGCTCGTGCGACGCTCAACGCTCGTAGTTTAGGAATGGTTCACGGTGTGCTTGAGTAGCACTTTATTTTCGCTGGCGGTTGACCCGACGCGTGCTAGATGAAAGGTCACAACATTATTAGGCTCGCGTGCTTTTCCAACTTTTCACTCTAACCTCGTGTCTAAATCTACCCCATGACCTACTGGAACAAACGTTTTGGAAATTGCGATTACAACAAACAAGGGTGGAAACATTAATCGGCTACAATGGCATTTACACAACAGATAGATCGAATATTCATTAGCCACGAGTGGGATCCTGTTCTGATCAGGAAATTGTTTAAAAAGCCACATTTTCTGTTTAGATGCATACGTTATTTGGTCGTATGAAAATTTCACGACGAAACGTAGTCGAACTAGAACAAACGAAATGTCACGGCGATTCGGCGGCACATGTTAATGCAGACGTCTATGCAACAGCCAACACCACAGGAATCCTTCCACAATGTAGCCATAAATAACGAACATTTCCGGCGATGTAGCGATAAATTTCACAGAAGCTGGACACATCGTGCAATCACGATGCGAAACATGCGGCTGTATAATTATCAAGCATTCCATTTGTGTTGTGTGCTTTGTTTTGATGGCTTCATTTGCGTTTATTCGTGTCATTATGTGCAAGGGGGATTTATAAATCGTGTGTGTATATAAATGACAGCCTTTCTTCCGTTCCCTCAGTTCTGCTCATCAGACTCGTGCTACAATACATATTTCCCTTACTGCATCCACCACGACGTTCTGATCCGCGCCCCTGTGTTCGCCAGGTCGCAGGGCGAGGTGCAGCGGCTCCAGACCCGGCTGCAGACGGCCCAGGACGAGCAGGACCGGCTGCAGTCCGAGGGCGAGAAGTCGCACCTGCTGCTAGGCAAGACGCGCGAGGAGCAGCGCCGCGCGCAGGACGAGCTCGAGAAGCTGCAGGAGCTCTACGACCGCAGTGCCGTCCAGTTCATGAGGATGAAGGATAGCGAGGAGAGGTCCCGCGAGGAGCTGGAACGGCTCAACCTGGAGCTGGAGCGCGTCCGCGAAAAGTACGACAAGTCACAGATGGAGAACAAGAGGCTGTCCAACGAGCGAGAACAGCTCAAAGAGGACGTGGATAAGCTCGTGTTTGATGTTGAGCGGTCCAAGGCCCAGTATCAGAAACTACAGGCAGCTCAGGATCGCAGTAACGAGGAGGTGGCGCGTCTCCAGGTGGAGGTTGAGAAGGCGTACGAGAAGGCGGAGCGGAGTCACGCCGAGCTGAGGAAGATCCAGGCGGAGCGCGACAAGGCGCAGGCGGAGGCCGAGACGTGCCAGTCGGAGATGGAGCGCTATTTGGCGCGCCTCGGAAAGTACCAGGACAGCCAGGAGCGCAGCAAGGAAGAGCAGGAGCGTCTCAAACTGGAAATCGATCGTGTCAAGGAGAAGCTGGACAAAACGCAAATGGATCTGGAGACGGAGCACCTGATGCGCGATCGTTTCGAACAAGAGGCAGCTAAGCTGCGAATCGAGCTCGACCGTCTGGAGTCTCAGAAGGGTCGCGCGCTCAGCGAGGACAGCCGCTCCGACATACAGCTGGAGGTGCTGCAGAACGAGCTCGACCGCGTGCGGGAAAAGTACGACGTCTCCCAGATGGAGGTTCGCAAACAGCGCATCCAGGCCGAGAAACAGCAGGAGGAGGTGCAGCGGCTGCAGAAAGAGCTGGAGAAGCACGAGAACAACATGACCCGCTTTGCTTCTGAGAAAGAACAAAACCAGGGCGAGGTTGAGAGGCTGAAATTCGAGTTGGAACGCATCCGTTCCCGTTACGAAAAGGCGCAGAGCGAGGCGACGCGACTCGGTCAGAAGGTGGAACAACTCGAGTCAGAGAAGAAGCGGCTGAAGAGCGACCTGCAACAGGCGCAGGGTGAGCTTGACCGCCACTCGACGGCGCAGAACGACAGCCGAGACGACATGGAGAAGATAAATGCGGAGATGGACCGCGTGCGGGCCAAACTGGAGCGCTCGCAGGCCGAGCTGCAGCGCGTCAGCGACGAGAAACAGACGAGCGACGCGGAGACGCAGCGCCTGAGCCGTGAGCTGGAGCACACCCAGCAGCGGCTGACCAAGTACAAAGACAGCAACGAGGCCGCCAAGGCCGAGTTCGAGAAGATGGCCATGGAGATCGAGTCGCTGCACTCCAAGCTGGAGCGTACCGAGGGCGAGCTGCGCACCGCGGAGCAGGAGCGCCAGAACCTGCAGCAGGCGGCCAACAAGGCCAACAGCAATGACGAGCAGACCAGGATACAAGTCAAGGGCTTCCAGGACCAGCTGACCAAGCTACAGAACGAACTAGAAAAGTCGCAAGCTGCTCTCAGGGCTTCTGAGGAGCAGAAGCGCGCTGTAGAGGAGCAGAAGAGGGCTGTGGAGGAAGAGAAGCGCAAGGCTGAAGAGGGAAGAAGAAAAGCAGAAGAAGAAAAGACACAGGCGGAGGAGCAAAAGCACAAAGCCGAGGAGCAAAAACGCTTATCGGATGAAGAAAAGCGAAAGGTAGAAGAAGAAAAACGGCTAACAGAAGAACACAAAAGGAAGATTGAAGAAGAAATGAGACAAATCGAGGAAAGGCGGAAAAAGGCAGAGGAGCTGGCCAAAGAGGCTGAGATTCAGAAACAGCAGATCAGGGAGAAGGCCCGTCAGTCGGAGGAGCGTTTGCTTGCGGCCGGTGGGGAGAAGGATAAGTTGACTGCCGAGCGCATGCAGCGCATCTCTGCTCTGGAACACGAGCTGTCCCAGATCACCGCCGAGCGCGACCAGCTGGTGACGCAGCTGGAAAAGTCGTCGGCCATGCTGACCACCTTCCAGCAGGAGCTGCAGTCCACCCAGCGCAGCCTGGAGTCGGCGCAGCAGGCTGCCGGCGGCCAGCAGGCGCAGGCGGCGCAGCAGCTCAAGGAGCGCGAGGCGCAGCTGCAGCAGCTCACGCAGCAGCTGGCCCAGAAGCAGCAGGAGATGGAGTCGCTGCAGCGCGCTCACGAGGCGGAGGTGGCGCGTCTGAAGAGGGCGGAGGCGGAGCTGCGCGAGGCTCAGAGTAACAGCAGCCGCTCGGACTCGGAGCAGCTGCAGCAGCTGCGCGCTAGCTTGGAGGCGGAGCGTGGCCGCGCCGACCGCGCCGAGCAGACGCTCCAGGAGACGCAGTCGCAGCTGGCGCAGCTCAAACAGCAGCTGGAGGCGGCCCGGACGGAGACGCGGCAGGGCGCGGCCGTGCTGCAGCAGCAGGTGCAGCAGCAGAAGCAGCAGCTGCAGGAGCAGCAGCAGCGGCTGGAGCAGCAGCAGGGCACCATCCAGGAGCAGCAGCAGCAGCTGGCGTCGGCCCACCAGCTGCTGCAGCAGAAGACCAGCGACTCCACTGAGGTCCAGAAGCTCCGGAAGGAGCTGGAACGCTCCAAAAATGACATGCAGAACTCCCGAGTGGAGCGAGAGCGGCTTCAGTCCCAGTTAGAGATACTGGTTCAGGAGCTCCAACGCACCCAGGTGAGAATGATGTCCTTGGTACTGGCGGTTCTAGGAAGCTTTAACCCTATTAGTGGCAGGCTCCTGGCTACCCCTATTAGTGGCAGGGGGGGGCTGTTTACGACCCCCCCTTGATATCTCGAGATCTAACGGGCCGATTTTCAAAATTCAAACGGCATTCGACTTCGCTGAACGTGATCTACATTTCTAAAAAAAAAAAATTAAGAAAATGTCAAAAGGGGGGTTGAGGGGGGTAAAAACGGGCAAATTGCAGATACATTTTAGACTGCTTATCACGGCCAGGTTTCTGAACCAATCTTAACGCAACTTTTGCCGATCGATAAAGAATGAACCAGGAATTCACATGGATCCTAAAAATATGCATTTTCAAAAATCATAGGCGGATACAGATCATTGAGATTGGGGGTACACAAAAAGTATAGCAAATAAGGTTTTTGTTGGTACTGTTTCTAAAAAGGGTGGTAATGGTCTTGTTATGTTACAATTTTCTTATGAGAGAACGACTACAATTGTATTGGTCATGCATAGGCGGTGTCAGGGCACCTATGTTGGGAGGTAAAACATAACCCCCCTTTTTGGACGCCTGGATCCGCCTATTATAGCAAAAACGTGTCAAAAGAGGATGCACAATAACTTTGTATATGTTATCACATGATAAAACTGGTGCATACAGTTATAATACATCAGCATCGTGATCATCGCCCAAATGACTCGCTTCACGAATAGGACCCCCCAATTCCCAGTGCTCTGGAGCCGCCCTTGGTAAAGTTATGAACTTGAAATTTTCAGGGAATGTGCCCAATTTAGTTTTAGGAAAAGTCAGAAAATTTCAGCATCGTAGCTTCAGCGGTTTCGGAGATATTCCCGAAAAACCTGAGGGGTGGATGAAAACAACCCCCCCCTGCCACTAATAGGGTTAAAAGCAATCGTTTTGCTAGTTTGCATCTTTAAGAGCAATCAAAGAATTTATCATTCGAATTATATGATTGCAGCTATCTTTCACACGTTAATGAACTGAAGGGTCACGACACAGAGAGAATAAGTAATTTTGTTATGCCTATTTTTGTTCTTCAAATGCACAACCACAAGAAACTGTAATCACGTTTACATTTCGGTTAACGGTCATTCGAATGATCATTCAAAACTTTGAAAGCTTATTCGTAGTTAGCTATTATGCAATTTCTAATCACATGATTTACGCGTTCCCACAGCTGGATCTACAGAAGGCACAGCAAAAAGCGGCCAACTCGGGCAGTAGCAGTGAGGAGGATTCCAGCGCACAACATCAGCAGCAGTTACAGCAGCAACAACAGCAGCTGCAGCAGCAACAACAGCAGCTGCAGCAGGCCCAGCAGCAGCTGCAGCAGCAACAGCAGCTGCTCGAGGAGCGCACGCGGCAGCTGGAGGAGCGGGACAAGCAGCTGGCGCAGCTGCAGGCTCGCGTCAAACAGCTCGAGTCGGAGTTGGCAGCCAAGGTAAGGGGGATAGTCCGGCAAGAGCGGGTAATTAAGTCGGGGCTGGCAGCGGAGCCAAGCAAGATTTCGTAAAGTAGTTTTCTGCCTAAGTAATCAATCAAAACTTCTATCATTTTGTAAACAGACGAGCTAGACAAGTTAACCCCCATAGCTACACCTTTTACAAGCCTTTAAGCTCGTTCCAATTCGCCAACTTACATATACATTATTGGTCGTATCGTGCCGGGACTGCAGCGTGCCTGTTAGGAATACTGTCCCGCATACACAGCTGTGTTGCGGTACAGTCTACCTTCGAATACGCCAGCCGCGCCACGCCGTTTCTACACGGGGCGGCGGTGACGCAAGAAAAAAGGAAGACGTGGGCTGTCAGAGAAAGAAAACAAATTTTAACCATCCTTTTTGACTCTCTATCCATAGAAAAGCTTTTAGATAACATGAACTACCTTTACGAAGGTTTATGTTATCTATGAACAGCTCTATCCATAAAATGATATTGATTAAACAAACTTCAAGCAGTAACAAAAAAGTCGCGGATTAGAGATAAATAGGTACGGCACATACAATTTGCCACTGCTGCCTGACTGCCCTTTATCTGAAAATCAGCAGAACTTCATTGGGAAACGGACATCCAGAGTGGTTCAAATATAGAGCAGATATCGCTCCCAAACGGCGTCGATGTTAATACGGCTGAACTAATCGTCCAAACATCTCACAACAGGCGGTGGCGGCAGTTTGGTAACTTTACCGAACGATTCGGCGTACCATGTGTTGCCTTTCTGGCTAACGTCCATCGGCGCGGACCGATTGTCCGCATCCGGTCCATTTAATTCGCGATCAGCCACTCGCGGAATTACAGCGGCGCTCGTAAAGTGGCGACTGGGCCCGGCGCTTCCGACCGGCCGCGGGGGAGGCGGGCGAGCCGCCGAGGCCGAACCGCCGCAACTGAGACCATGGGGAGTTGTGGACGCCGCCCACTGAGCTAGGGGACACTTCACTCGCCCCGGGAGAAGTTCGAAATAGGGAGGGGGATGAGAGAGACCGAGGCCGGCCCCACGCACTTGCGTCAAAAAGTTCGGTATTGCTGGCGACAAATGATAACAATAACACGTCAAATGTATATTTAGACACACAAAGCTTTTGGTATGAAAATACCTTGATAACTGTGTTAAACAGAAATGAGGACGATCAAGGTATTTTCATACCGAAAGCTTTGTGTGTTTAAATATACATTTGACGTGTTATTGTTATCATTTATCCTAACTGTCTTGGATATTCTACATTGCTGGCGACGTTGACGCGGTGGCACGGCCTCATTATAGCTATTGTTCAGTGTATTTGGATTGGTCCAGACGAGCAATGTCTTTGGACATTTTCCGGCACATACATGATACAGATATAGGTGTCAGCAGTCCCGCGATGAAAGCTGGTCCCCTCCCCTCTTGGGTGCTAACTCTCTTTAGAGAGAGGCGTCAGCTCTCCGTGCAAGAGGCGCCATCCCGTCGTGAGAGACGCGGGCCTACCGTGAGAGAGGCGTCAGCTCTCCGTGAGAGGCGGCAGCCCGGCGCGGTCCGGCCGCCGCTCTCGGCACCGTCCCAGACAGTGTCAGCGGCATCGATCTCTGTCGCTGTGTGTGAGACGCTGCTGGTCACACACAATGGCCAGTGTGCTCCGTCCCTGGCGACCCTCTCCGGCGGCGGCCCCCGGAGCACCAGCCGGCGTCATATTGATTTATTTGTCCCATAAGGTGACAGTGCGGCGGGTCTGGATAATATCGAAACTTGTTTGTGTATGGTGACGGTGAAGTATGACACCTTATAGAGAGTTTACTAAGGAACTCTCACAACATAAATAATCAATATCCAATTCAATCATTGTCATGTAAATTTCCCGGAAAACGACAACAAGTCTGTTGGCTCTGCCTTTTCCGGTGGATGAATGATTCCCCGTTTCGTTGCTCGGTAAACGTTATCACTTACCGGCTGTCAGTTAGCGCCACGCGGCCCCACTCAGACGATTGCCGCTGGTGACGGCTCCCCACCCGCCGTGTCTGCCCGCAGGCGGAGCAGGGCGGCGGAGCGGCAGAGCTGGCGCAGCTGCGGACAGAGCTGGCGCAGCTGCGCGAGGAGAACAAGAAGGCGCAGGCCGAGTCGGAGCGCCTGCTGCACCTGATGCAGATGTCGCAGGAGGAGCAGTTCGCCAAGGACAAGACCATCAAGGAGCTGCAGGAGTGAGTGAACAGAGGATACCCAGGACGGACCCGGGTGATGGGGTAGCTAGACGGGTCCGGTAGAAACGTACTAGGCTGCCAAATAATCAGGGCCACGCTGTGAGACAGGCCGGCACAAAAAAAGACCCGTGGCGACCGAGTAGGTATGTTGGTCCTGAAACGGTACACCAAACTAAACTGAGACTGGAGTTTCTGGGGGACGTGTGATATAGTTGAGCACGAGAGGGCAGTTGTGTGTCCCCGAGATTTTGTCTCGAGTAGTTAATTCCGAGTAAGAGCGGAGTCGGGAGCGTTGTGCTCAGGCGGGAGCGTTTCGGAGCGGGATGGAATGTACCGCAGGCACGCCGCCGAGGGCTGTGAATCTAATTTCCCAGCGGCATTCACAACAAGATAGACATGCTTCTCTGGAAATCCTGGAAGGCAGCGGAGTTGGTGGATTGTCAAAAAGAACACGGAACAGTGCGAATGAAATTAGAATAGGAGCAGGTTACTTAAGGCCACTTAATTGCAAAACGCATGCAGATGTAATAATGTTTGTTGTTTAGCATCGAACGGCGGAGCAGAGTCATACCCTCATCTTCAGACTCACAGCACATGGCCTTTGTTCCGCGTGATCAATAGCTACATTTGTCACCGGCGAGGCATCGGGGCGTTAGGAGTGTGCTAATAACCCGACACCAGCCCAGTTCCGTGACTTTCCGACACTGGAGGCGGGCATATTTCCAAACGGGAGACTCATTAGGACTGAGACCATCAGCGAGTTTGTGCCATTCGCCCGTTCTGAGCGTTTGTTACAGCAGCAAATGAGGTGCTTTCTATTCTGATGAGGGCAATTTGAACCGTTTAGCTCATTTATGAGGCACCAACACTCGCCTGAATCAGGGCTATTTTTAATTTATGAAAATCTATCGTAAGATGAGCCCGTGCATAATTACTCATTTGTCCGAGGAAGGGTTTCCCTAGAAAGCATTTAAAGAGATAACGCGACGCGCTGAAAGTCAAACAGCTGGAACTTCTGCTTATGAAAGGAAAGCTAGCACAATATAGGCACCGCCGAATAGGAATGTATTTTGTGGGGTGGGTCGATTTTAATTGAAGATAGAAAAGGGGGTGATTTAGTTGAGTAAAATATGTCAGTAAATAAGCCCGGAGCGGGCTGCAGGTCGATCACTCTCCGCCGATCAGCTTCACCAGACGGCGGCCGACGCGCGGAGCCCCCAGCTCCCGACGGTACCCGCCGCGGATTGGTTCCGCAAAGGTCAATGATGGGTCAGGCGGCCCGGTCGGCCCGGACGACCCGGTTTTAACGGCCGTTTGGGCTCGATTGTGTCGTTACGACCGGCCGGGCGGCCGCGGCGAGCTAAAGCGGTGTGCCGGGTGTCCTCGGGACAGCTAGTGGGGGCACTCAATATATGGGAGAGGCCGGAATGGTGATTCATAATGCCGATCAATAATGAATTGATGGTCAAATTATGTTTGGGAAATAAATCTGTCAGGAGCTGATAACGGTAGGGCGCGGGGTTTAAGTTCAGGGTAGCGCTAGGCTCTTAGTCACTCACTGAAGCGTCCGGCCTGTTGAACCAGTGAATCTGCCCACAGCTGATCTCTGTCCGCGTGTCTGTATCCTCAGAGCGCTGAGGAGGTCCCGCGGTGCGCCGCTGACCGCGCCTCCCTCCGCTGGTCCGTCTCGGGCCACCACCCCCGGGGCGGTCACCGCCAGTCCGGGACCGCCGCCGCAGACCCAGCAGCCGCAGCAGCAGCAGAACAAGGTCAGAGGCGCCAGACAGCTACCGATGGGTCACTTCAGGGCTATTGGAAGCTTACTTGCAGGTCACCACTAGGGATATAATCCATAAACGTGAAGTCCATGTTTCTAGGAATGTGCTAGAGTGCAGCTCGTACTTAGAGAACAATCGTCAACAAACTTGGCTTGACAATGAGCATCGTTGAATGAATTATGGATAGGTATACCCTCCCACTCCATGAGAAAAGACCCGCCCATCTGACCGTGGTGTCCTCTGTTGCAGCCCCAGCTGCCGAACCTGCTGCCCGACGCCGCCGGCACGGCCGCCTCCGCCGCCGCCAACGTGGCCGGCAACGTCGCCGGCAACGCGGCTAACGCTTCCAAGGCCGTCGGCGGCTTCCTCAAAAGCCTCTTCTAAAAGTGCAATAGTTCATCGCGTGACTGCGTGCCAGGGGACGGGCAGAGTGGGGGATGGACGGAGAGAGTGAGAGAGCGAGGGACGGACGGTTCGCCGTGGATCGCAGCTGCGAAGTGCCTCAAAGTCGAGAGTCCCTCTGTTGGCTTCATCAATCTGATGTGTTTGTCACTTCATCTGATCTCTGTTTATCACGTAACTTGTAAGTTTGTAACCATCCACTCGTGATCTGACCTTTGTTAGGTCCTAAGTCGCATAGCCAGTCCTCGTGGTAGCTGTATGGCCAATGGCCATGCTGATCTCGGTCGCCGGAGCCGGCCGCTCGAGGGCTAGGTGGCGCTGCCAACGGAGCTCCCTCCACCAGGTAGCGCCACCTCCGCAAGAGGCTGAGCTCACTGCCGTCTTACGGTGAAGACTGCAGGTTAAAACCCGAGGCTTGACAGGGGTAGCCAGCCTGCTATCTACGACCCAAGTAACGTCACCAAACAGCCTCACACCATCAGCATGCTGACAATTAGGCGTTCAGTGTCATTATTCGCCAGCATGCCGTTTGATGTTGCGTCAAAATATGTGTCTTCATTGTGTCAAGAAGGTATATTTTGAAAACGTGTTATGCAGTGCGTTCTGTTGAATATTCGCGTTCTTACTACATATGTGTGCCCATCAGAAAAGTAAGGGTCATTTATTTACACCAATGGTGCAAATACGCCCAACATATGTGCAGCACGAAAGCATGTCCGTTTGCTGCAACCATTTTAATTTTACGACGAAGGCATCGCAAAAACGGTGTGCATCTTGGCACCAGACACGCCGCAAGACTGGATACAAGACAGTGCGCGGCTGATTATGAGTGTGTGCGTGCGAGTGACGAGTGCAAAACAGCGCGGAGGCACCCCGGATCGCGCGCAGGAGTCGGATCGTGTCGAGGGCGTCCCTGCGCGTGCCACTGCCAGCAATGTGCCATATGAACCTCGATGCGCGGGCTCAGGACCCGGTGGCAGCGCGATCGGTGAGGGACGCTCTGCGCGGCAGAGCGCGGCCGACACCCACCTGTGTGCGGCGCACGTGTGCGAGTGTCAGTAGCGACACCGGTAGAGCTCACTCTGACCGAACCGGGTCGGTCAGGGGCGCCGGGGCGCCCAGTGGGACGGCGGGGACTCGGTGTCCCTGGCAGGGCGCCCGGTGCTCTCCGTTTTCCCTGTGGCGGGGAAGAGCGAGCGCCACTCCAGTGGGTGTGGTACCGCAATAGTCGCCGGTGTGGACGGCGGTTCGTAGCGCCCGATGTGTCCCGGGGTTGGGATCGTCCGGCCCGGCCCGTCTCCGGTCACCGGCTCTAGTCACAGCTGCTCTAGTCTCCGCCGGCGTCCTCTAGTCTCGTTCCCTCGTCCTCTAGTCTCCGTCTCCGCGGCGGGCGGTCTATAGCGCCCCTCCTGTGTCCCTGAGGTCCTCTCCGACCGGCGGCGTGCGCACAAACTGCCCTCCGGCTCCCTGTCTGTCCCGGCGGGTCCCGACCCGCCCCGGGCCGCTCCCCGGCCCTGCTCGCTTCTGTCACGGTCGGTGCTGTGGTCGACGTTGTCTCGAGCGTTCTAGTCCTGCTGTCCCGGCGGCGCTCTGCAGCCGCTCGTATCGGCTCTCCTCTCCTCTCCTCTCAATCTCTCTTGTCTCCCTGATAGCTAGCTCTGTACGTACCTCATATGCACGTGTGTTTCTACCTGGGTCCGGGCGCGCCGTGTCTGGGGACGGGTGCACGTGGCGCCGCACGTGGCCGCCGCTCGAGCTCAGACACGTGGCGGAGCAGAGGGCGGTGCAGACGGGCCGAAACCGTGATCTTATAGCGCGCATATCCACGTTAATACTCATTTGTTGACTGTAAATAAAGAGTACATGGATGTAAGTATCCTGAACTGGCTGTTTCACTCAACAAGAAGATAGTCAGATCGTGTTTAGACAGATATATTTCAGATCGTGGATGTAGACGCCACTTTATCACTACCTTTTTCAAAAACGCGTTTCCAATACCAACGCAGGAGAACACAGAAAAACGGTTTTGTGAACCACCAAATAGTTCATGGTATGAATCAAGTAACTAATGTTAATTATATTAAAATGAACAACTTCGAAACTGATTTTATTGTCAAATACCTATAGGTAGGCAGTCACGAATAAAATCGAATACTATTCAAGCATCGCAATTTGCATTAATTTCATTCAGCTCATTAACGACTTTTCCACATAATCATAGCACATAATAAAAAAGACCCATCTGACCTTAAGATGGTCTCGCTGTAAAACGAGCGTGTCTCTCATAAGACGCAATGAACGATATCAGACTTAAATGATGCAACGAACACTTTGCGCCGCGTCAGTTGAAAAGCACCGCCGTCAGGTCCCACGGACGTTCATAGCGTTCGATAGACATCAGTGCTGGGTAGAGGTCTGCACCGGCCGGCTGCAGCCGCGGCTGGCTGCAGCCCCACGGCTGTGGGCCGGGGCGGCTGCAAATATCTCCAAGAACACGGCTACGGCTGTGGCCACGGCTGTGAGATTTCAAGCTCAATCTTAAGTACTCAAATATAAAATCTTAAATCCTTAATCTTACATTCTGATAAGCAGTCTGGCCTGTAAAAATCATGCAAAGGATGCCCAGCAACATTGAAAGTGGTGAAGCCTTTGAAAACCTGTAATGGTTTTACCATTTGCTGTAGGGGAGTTTGCACTCTGCCTCTGGTACAGAATACTAATTATAGGTACCAATTGTTCCTTCATCATCAAGTGCTTGACAGCTTCAGAAAATGCAACATGTTGCATTGTCACATCCCTCTCAAATCAATCCCACCTGGTCATTAGGAGAGCACCTTACAGCTATTGAAGACGAGCGTTCAATAATTCTTTCAGGTAATAGAAAAGGAAATCACGCCTAGGTAAAGGCAAGTAAAGGCTTCATAAAATATCATCTAAAATAACTCTTAGATGTATTTCTGGATTTTCGGCAACTCCAATTACATAATATAAAACTGGCGCTTTATGTTCTAACTGGTGTGCGAGTGACCGCTAACAGAAAATGCTGATCAACGAAGCCAATGGAATTAGATTATAAGTGAGCATGAACCTTACTTACGGTTAATTCACATGATGGTGAAAACCCTGAACACGTAATTCACATGACGGTGAAACCCTGAACACACTATTTCTTACGCGAGCTGTTGACTTTACTAATAAAATGACGTCTTCTTCTAAAAATGTAAAAATTTGATATCTAATCTTTGTTTGAGAGCAAGTTTTTAACTGTATAGCATTATTATTTATTAAATATAGTTTTCATGGCTGTTTATAGTGACACAAAACAATTTATTGCCACTTCTTTGCTATTGACGTCATTGAAAACTCAAGTAAAATTTTTGGTTGAAAGAGGCAATTGTGGCTCGCACGTACTTGGGGATTTGAGCGAAAATCATTATTTGGAAAAATCAAAATAGATGAATGTCTTTCTTTCTTGGATGCTCACTAGTGTTTTGATGCATTGCATATCAAATTAGTTTGAGACTTGCTCAGAAGGCTGCTTCAAGCCTGGCATATCACACCCCAGAAAATATGCAAGGTAAGGAAGAAGCAAGAGTTTTGACTAGACAATCACTGTTTGACAGTCCATCAACTTCAGTTTCATTTTCCATACCTAACATTGATAATGAAAAGCATCACAATCAGGGTCTGTTGTTCTGTCCCGCAACCATGCTTCAGGATTTGGCATTAGATGTCTACACTGCTAGTGCTTCTATTCTGGTTTGTTGTTTATGTTTTCTGTTGATGTAGGTACCTACCTACCCATCTTTCTTAACCCCTTGCAAGGGCTTGTGTAGGCATGCGTTGCGCATCAGGCTTCAGACCTTCGGCCTAAAGCCAGATACACAACCACTTAAGCTATGATGCTTCATGAGCTTGGGAATCTATAGCCCATTGCAATGTGCTTTTGGCTATATGTTTCAACTAAAAAAAACTTATTATATACTATTTGGTTGCATTTCATTGAAAGTATCCATGGCCGGCTGACGGCTGGCTGCCCACAGTTTGCCACGGCTGTGGGCGGCTGTGGCTGTGGAGCCACGGCTGCGGGGCGGCTAGGCTGTGGAAAATTGCAGCCGTGCAGAACTCTAGTGCTGGGAGTTCACGGATAAGCCGGCGGTCATGTATGTAACTGCGGGGCAACAGCCAGCGTCAGCCAAAGGTGTCTGAGGCGTCAGTGGCCCTCGAAAGCACGTCTTCCTGAGGACTGCTCTCTCACACACACACACGAGAGAACTGATATGATTGTCGCCCTAAATATCGCTCTGACTCTGTTTTGAATAAAGGGAAGCGGTTTAAATGTGAAAGGCTTGGTGACTACTGACTACAACTATGTGACTGTACCTATGTAAACGCATAATACCGCGGTGGCCGGTGATTGCGAAAGGCTAGGAAAATTAATTAATGCTGCATCCGTAGAGAACGGGTAACTGATTGCGTGGATGTGCTAAAATGGAAGAAAACGCTGTATCCCCAATCACTAAAATCAATGAAACGGCAATTCGACTAAGACTCAGCAATACGGCGGGTCATGCCCCATGCTTAAGTGCCACTATTATAATTCATAAACATCTCTGAAGTCTCAGGCTAGCCATGGGATATGAAAACAGGGTGCCGCCATCGAGTGACCGGCGCCATGTTTAAATCAGGCCTTTAGAGCGCATCTGCAATGAGCGCCCACGCCCTCATACAGTACCTAGTAGCCTGTAGAATTGCACTGCTCTAAACAGACGGTAGCTTAAATGGCGGTATCAAGAAGCATATGATTAGCGGTGTTTACAGGTCTTCGTAAAAAAAACCTAACGCCTTTGGTGACTTCATCTTCATTTAACTGAAATCAGCGAGATAGATATAATATCATTCAATTTCAATTTTCAACTGCTCGCGTGGATTCAATTGATAGACCCCGAATTATGTGTAAATGCGATGATCACGCAACAAAAAAAAAAATATACAGGTAGGTAGAGCTGTCAAAGCCCTTCTGCCTGGCTGCCCTGGCTGGAGACTTCGATGGCGGACAGAAGCGTATCCCCAACTGGAGACTGCAACGATGGAGCGGTGACTACCACCAGTCCTGACTACTGCCTCGCGCACCTCACCTATTATTCAGTTGGAACCAGCTCACCTCCCAATCTGCTTCCTGTATGTAATCTTTCCCCTGGGACCCTAATCAGCAGCCATCTGCGCCCAGCTTTTACCCAGCGCAGCTCTCATTACCAGCAGCCTCGTGCATCTTATCTTCACCCAGACGAATCCGTCTCCAAGCAGTATGCCCTGTTTGCTCGGACGGCGAATGGAGAACCGTAATTGGTCCGTTGCCCCTGAGCCGTTCTGCTCCGGTGCCGACGGCAGCGACTTGCTGAGGAAGTCACGGCCGTTTGCTGAGTTATGGCCGTGCTTCGAAGGCCCGTAATACCGGCGAGATTGGTGCACGGAACTCGAAGGTCACGATCGCCGCTGTAGGTAAGAAAAGTCAGTCGCTGTGTCAAGGTCCGGCCGGCTGAGCTGGTGCAGCTCTCGGCCACAGGTTGCTGCAGCTCTGCAGACCTCCATTAGCTAATGCCAAATATGCCAGAGTCGGAGTTCGATGGCGCGATACGAACAGAATGCGACATAAACACTCGTAGTGCTGACAGGCACACCGAGAGGCTGCATGAGCATTGCCGCTTGATTGTCGTATACTGCATATTAGAGCAATGCAGCAGATATATAGAATGGCCGACAAAGCCCATAGTGTAGTGTACAATGTTGTTTACGCTGGGTCAGCCATGTCATGGGCTGAAGGTCGTCGTAGGTATTACCATGGATGAGATAATAATGGATTGGTGTCTTCGCAGTTTTTGGCGACATTGAGCTCAGGCCTGCCATCTAGCGGGAGAATTGTCGTAAGTTAGGAGCAAGCCGAGTGAACGCCGCTGATTAGCATTGTGACACACGGGAGTGTGTTGTAGTAGCAGGCTTGTTGTGCAATTTTTCAACAGGTTATGTCCTTATATGTCAGTGAAGGCGAAGAAATTAATAGATTTATGTGCAGGGTCAGTAATAAGATAAGCAGTTCCATGTTATTTCCTCATTAAATCGTGAAACAGGGAGTTATTGGAGACTTCGCTAGCACGTGTCGTTTTCGCTATTTTTCACATGAGTCTTTACTTGGCCTAAATCAAACAAATTGTCCGGATCAAAGAACAAAACGAACGTAAGTACTATCTATAAGTATAATGAAAAGTTAAACGGAATTGCTAACGTCATTGCCGCTCAATATGTAATTCAAAAGACGCTCTATGAAAAGGACCCAACCAGTGCTGCGTAGTCGATGAAATTTCAGTGACTTTGGCTTCAACTCCGATTCCGGTATTCAAATATCGACTCCGACTCCTCCGGGCAGAACTATCGGTTCACACAGACTCCGACTCTGGCTCCGGCTCTGCAGCGCTGGTAAGTCTGTGGAGTCGATGACTTTTCGGTGACCTTCGACTCATACTCAGACTACAGCTTTTAAAAATCAACCGACTCCGGGTCGTAAGAGAACCGCTGGCTCTGACTTCAATTCCGCAGCCCTGGCCCAAGATAGCCGCCTAAAACAACTTTGATGTGTGAACTTCTTCGTACATGGTCATGTTATTTTAAACAAGGAATGGAAAAGGGAGACGAAGCCTTCACAAACAGGGATCTCCTGTTGCGGATCAATCAGCTGCTGAAACAGAAAGGCATAAACACCACGCGGCACGCATCTCATTTCATCGTTTTCCTAATGACTCTGCACCAATGTAAGCACTGATCAATGCAGTGCGAGCATCGATGTGACATTTGTATACCAAGTTTGAGTGTTATCCGCCCAGCCGTT